TGATAATTCAAGTGACTGAAACTGAAAAATTTACAAATCAGATAGCAAAGCTGAACACAATGTTCACTGTGAAAAATGACCTTTGATCTTGACTTATGTAAAGATCCGGGTTAGAATTGGTCTTCAGTAACCCATACTTGGCGGGATCGGGGGGTCAGGCTCGCTGACTTGGTTGACACATGTCACTGTATCCCAACTGCAAGATCGATGCTCATGCTGTTGATCACTGGATTGTCTGGTCCAGACACAATTATTTACAGACCACCACCATATAGATGGAATATTGCTGAGTGCATATTGAACACAGACAATCAAAACCAAATCTTTATTCTTGACATATGATTTGATCTTGAAGAATAAAAATTAATCATGGAAGCTTTTTATGAGTAACATTTCGTTTGGGTACCATAAACAATCTGTTGCCGTGGGAGATTCCAGATAACCAACACAAGTCACTGACCTGAACGCTAAAAACTCGGCAGAGTGACAAGAAATGGCAAACCAGTTTTAACCCAAGCAGTGATAATCTTTTAACGTCTATTTCCGTTTTCCTAATTTGATTATGGTAATGTGTTGCAATTAAACATGTCCTAAAGTTTTCAGATCTTCAAACACTACATTCACTGGACTCATTGTCAAAGCCATATAATTAAAGTTACTAGTTTGTTTTAGACAAACTAATTATTACAGCAACCAGATAGTAATTAAATTTGAAGACACACCGAAAGTAGACATAAATTCGCATGAAGTCTACAATAACATCTTAATCAGATTTTCCTTTGAAGAAAGTTCTCTTTAGTTCAAATTCAAAAAAAATAATCAGAACAAACGTAGAGCTAAGGGAGGACTTACAAGACATCTCAAGTTGTTACAACAAAACCACTCCAGAACGTTGCCTAACATCTAAGACCACAGAAATGTAATCATCAAGCATCTTTCTCAAGGAGGCTGCAATGAATGAACTCCGAGCCTCTACTGTAACAGACATCCACCTTCTAATAACATGCAGTCTAAAGCATTTGAAACATTTAAAGAGGGATCACAACTCATGAAACGAGTCTCTATCAAGCAGCATTTTTCTCAATTTGACCGTCAAACTCAATTAGTCAATCTCTTCGCCTTCATTCTCACAACATAACAAGTTTGTCTTCTAATGAGGCCGAAACTGCAAAATCGGAATAACTCAATGTGAGGTAAAATAGGTCTCACAGCAGGAAAAGAAATTGCGACTGATTTTATCGTTGCTTAAACACCGCAAGGAATGGAATGAACCGGGTGTTGAGGGGGCACTAACATGCAAACAATCATGAAAGCGTGATTTAATTTACATGCTAATTGGCTCCCTACCATCAAGGTAGACCTGGTTATATATACGTCCGATAGTGCTATCAATAATCATCTGTACCCCTGGCTATGCATGGCTGAACGGCCAGCCCTGTTCCAGTGATGTGCAATGAATGCTCCCCATCTACAGCTCCTGCTGTGTTGTGACCTTCCTGTCATCAGATTCGGGGTAAAACAGATGAGGAGCTCTGCCAGACTTGAACACGGGAATTGCATAAGATAAATACTTGAACGAGTTGCGATAAGATCAGTGGCACCTTGACAGGTGACGAGGCAATGGATAGAGGAACCTGTTTGATACTGCCTGGAAATGTAACAACACAGGGAAGCCCCACTGTAGGGGCTAATTTACGGCTTGGAGAGACAGTTTGATGGCATACAATAGGAGCTTCAAAATGAACATGCACGAGCACTAGCCTCCGGCTGAGTGTTCAATGGAGCTTTCTTGTGGGCTTCCTTGATGTTTTATGGTAACAGCTTAAATGGAGTTTAAAAAGGGAAATGTGAGATTTTTTCATGCAAGATCAAGGGATTATTTTGTATATTATCGTAATTTGCCACTCGTCACAAATAGTGATTCATTTTGAAATTAGTCAAGGCAGCTTGAACATTCACAGAACTGATTTTATTACTGTCTACTTGACAGAAAACCATCCTGCGAAATATACATGATAAATGTATAACCAGAGAGATATATCACTCTGTTTATCTCATAACTGTTAAAGGGTGGGTGGGGTAGCCTGGTGGTTAAAGCATTGGCTCATTACGCCGAAGGCCCGGGTTCGATTCCCCATTTGGGTACAATGTGTGGAGCCCATTTCTGGTGTCCCCTACCGTGATATTGCTGAAATATTGCTAAAAGCAGCATAAATCCATACTCACTCACTCATACACTTAAACCTCTATAGAGCAAAACCCCTGCTTTCTGGACATGACTGTCAGCATCTTCTATAGTGTGGAAACCCTGTTTTCTAGATATTACTGTCGGTAAAACCGTTAGCCCAGAAAACCCACTTCCTTTGACAGTAACTTTCATAGTCAGGAAAAACTATTCATTAGATATTACTGTCAGCAACTTCTGTAGTCTGGAAACCCTGTTTTCTGAATATTACTGCTGTCAAAATCTATAGCCCAGAAACCACTGTTCTCCTGACATTAGTCAGAAAAATCTAAAACCCAGGAAACACTGTTTTCTTGACACAATATTGTATGCAAATCTGGAAACTATTTACTGGACAGCAACGTCCATAGTGGGGAAACCCTGTTTTCTTGACATTACAGTCAGCAACATCAACAGTCATCAGTAGGGATGTCTTGATACATAAGTTTCATGAATCGATACGTATCATGATACCCATGTCACGATTCGATATGTATCACGATGGCTATTTTGGCGGCATTATCGCATAAATTTAGTTACATTTTGAACATTAATATTTCATTTTTTATAATTGTCCATGAAAAAATAAACATTTTTGATTCTCAGAGATTAAAAAGTTCTAATGTCCTATCTTTGTGCATGAAAAATAATCATTTATAAATCTCATAACATCAAAAAACACGATACAATTGCAAAATGTAAACGATACATAAACATATTTAAACCGATACTTTCGAAACTAAATATCGATACAGCTTTGAATGCATCGATAATTGTATCGTCTTAGAAAAAGTATCGTGGCATCCCTAGTCTTCAGCATATTTATATGGAAGTGAAAATGTCAAATTCTCATGTGAAACCCTCATTAAGGTACAGATTGACTGAGTTTGGTTTTACGCCACTTTTAGCAATATTCCAGCAACATCACGGCTGGGGAACACCAGAAATGGGCTTCACACATTGTTCCCATATGGGGATTCGAACCCAGGTCTTCGGCGTGACGAGCCAACGCTTTAACCACTAGGCTACCCCACCGCCCCCAAAGGTACAGAGACATCCATCATGATGGTACATCATTGGTGCAAATACACACAGGAATCAAATCAAGTTTGTGACTACGCCAGCGGACATATAACCATGTCTTGTAAGGAGATATGATCTACGTTGTCACTCCATCTTGTCAACACATTCTTGTCTACAGTCTTCACACGTGTCAACATCACTGTTATGTCTTGTTGGTTTTTTCACAAACACATGTTATGAATACTGATGACTCCCAACACTACTCTAGACTACCAGTGAGTCATGTATATGTCCAAACTGATCTAGCTCCCATTCCAGGGGACCTTGTCATAAAAACATGTTCCATTTGAAGTAAAGTACACCTGAGGCAAAATAGAAGTCTGGCAAAACCTGTGTTTCAGCAAGTAAATATTATGAAGCATAGCATTATTTTCAGTATCAAATTGTAGCCATTTTGTGGGGTCGTTCAGCATGTCAAGGGATTAATTACATGTACAACATTCTGAGAGAGTCATTCTTCTACAAATAGCAGTCAGGATTGGCAATTCATTATGCTGTATCACAAGATTAAAAACAAGCAACTGGTTCAAGATGCTTCTCGAATTCAAGAACCAGTCAAGGTAAATTCAAGATGCTTCTCCAATGCAAGAAGCAGTCCAGGTACATTCAAGATCCTTCTCCAATGCAAGAAGCAATCCAGGTAAATTCAAGATGCTTCTCCAATGCAAGAAGCAGTCCAGGTAAATTCAAGATGCTTCTTCAATGCAAGAAGCAGTCCAGGTAAATTCAAGATGCTTCTCCAATGCAAGGAGCAGTCCAGGTAAATTCAAGATGCTTCTCCAATGCAAGAAGCAGTCCAGGGGGAAATTCAAGATGCTACTTCAATACAAGAAGCAGTCCAGGTAAATTCAAGATGCTTCTTCAATGCAAGAAGCAGTCCAGGTAAATTCAAGATGCTTCTCCAATGCAAGAAGCAATCCAGGTAAATTCAAGATGCTTCTCCAATGCAAGAAGCAGTCCAGGTAAATTCAAGATGCTTCTTCAATGCAAGAAGCAGTCCAGGTAAATTCAAGATGCTACTTCAATGCAAGAAGCAGTCCAGGTAAATTCAAGATGCTTTTCCAATGCAAGAAGCAGTCCAGGGGGAAATTCAAGATGCTACTTCAATACAAGAAGCAGTCCAGGTAAATTCAAGATGCTTCTTCAATGCAAGAAGCAGTCCAGGTAAATTCAAGATGCTTCTCCAATGCAAGAAGCAGTCCAGGTAAATTCAAGATGCTTTTCTAATGCAAGAAGCAGTCCAGGTAAATTCAAGATGCTTTTCTAATGCAAGAAGCAGTCCAGGTAAATTCAAGATGCTTCTCCAATGCAAGAAGCAGTCCAGGTAATTCAAGATGCTACTTCAATACAAGAAGCAGTTGGGGAAGTTATCTATTTAATGATGCTTTTCCAATGCAAGTCAGATATTTCAACATCACATCCAAACCGAAGCAGTATGAACAGGAAAGTCATGGTCTATTACACCCTTTTCAATGCAGTCATCTAAAATTAATTTGTTGATTGACCGCAATGAAAAGACCATGGACTTTAATTTATCACAATTTATCTGTTAACTGCTTCTTTCAGCAATCGGTTTCTCCCTCAAACTACCTGTTGGAAATGTTTGTCAGAAACATCATTGTTTGACATCTTTGTATTTCCAACAAGCTCACAAATGAATGTTTGATCACTCCACAAAATGTTTTCAACTTACCAATTCTGAAGTAGAGTCTGGATCGACACTGAAGAATCCATTCCTCTCAAACTGGAACTTGTCAAACGTTTTTGGCCCCTTCACTGACACGTCCACCATTGAGCCCTTTATCACAGTTAGAGAGTCCTGAAAGGGAATTGCATACTGAATATTTTGGTTGTTAGCTATAGAGACACATCAGTGAACGAGCGAGTGAGTGAGTGAGTGAGTGAGTGAGTGAGCGAGTGAGGTATATCACAGGGTGTGAGTTTAATTGAAATATTGGAAAAGCCTAAAGTGAAGCATGTCTCAGATGAACATAGTTATGGTGCTGACAAACCCAGGAAGATAATTAGGGAGAATTGCTTTTGAATCCATGATCAGAGATTTCTGCAGTAACAAAGGGACGCAACTCAGTACAGCGAATTGCTTCACCTCCCATAAACAAAAAAAACAAACACACACTACATTATAATCATTAATATTTAGTCGTGCTACAGTACAACCAGAAATTATTGAGAATTTAAAGATTGTAAATTGTTTATTTTTTTCACTCATTACTCACGTATTAAATGTGAATATTAGCAGAACATAACTCCAGATTCAAAGACAGGTGAACAGTTAGTATTTTGTCAAGTCACCATCGGCAGCAATGCAGGCTTCAGAGCGGCGGGGCATACTACTGATCAAAGAAGTTAGAAAGTCGTGGTCCATGCTGTCCCAATTTTGGACCACCTCTTCTTTCATTTCAGCAATATTTGTCAGATTTTCCTTATTGACACTTTCCTTCATAAGTCCCCAAACATTTTCTATTGGATTTAGGTCAGGGCTATAGCTTGGCCAATCTAATAATGTCATATTTTGGGTCCGAAACCAGGCTTTGAATGCTTTGAACGATGTTTTGGGTCGTTGTCCTGCTGGAAAATCCAAACATTTCCATAGAACACGTGAGCAGATGGAAGTAAATGTCCCTCGAGAATATCTGTGTACCGCTCAATGTTCATATTCCTTTCAAATACACAGAAGGGCGTTGCCCCTAACACAGATATGCCACCCCACACGTTAAATTTCGGACTACTTTGGGCGCTGATACAAAGGTTTTTTAGTTTGTTTGGTCCAGAATTTCAGTGTATTAGGAAACAGCCACACAGAACTTTCATCTGAGAAAATCACATTGTCCAAGTTAAAATTTATATGCTGTAAGCACCAGTTCAACCTACGCTCCTTTTGTTCAGGTTTCATGACCGGTGATGGAATTCCTCGACTTTTCTGCCAACCCATTGCATGCAGCTCAGTTCTAATTGTTTCCTTACAGACAGCCACAGTTCCTCTATCAATCATATCCAGCCTTAAGTTTTCTAAACTCCTTTGTTTGTTTTTAGAAACAAGAATACCAAGCCTCCTCCTGTCTCGACAGTCAATTTTCTGGGCCTACCTGCACCTCCCTGGTGCTCAATGCCATATCCATTTGCAATATTTTTCAAAACACGATAAACAGTGGACAAAGGGATGCCTGTTCTACTTGAAATCACTTTAGCTGATCTGATGTCCTTGTTATAATACCCTAAAATCAACTTCCTCTTCTCTAAATCATCCATACTGAGGATCACTGAAAATGTCGTCTGCTAGCAAGTAAACAAAGCGGGGATAACTCTTCACAAACTAATGAAAAAGGATTAACAGAGTTGTCTCTCTTGAATGAAACCACGCACTTGATAGCTGGTCAAGGTTGTTTATACTAGAAATCCAATTAAACATATTCCTAAAATTCTCAATAATTTCTGGTCATACTATAATTACATGTTAAGAGTAAACACGGTGGCCTCGTTCAAGGTTGCAACAAACAGGTTTAACAATTTTCAGTTCCTGCCTCAGAATATAACAGTGAGTGAGTGAGGAAATGAGTGACTGAGTTAGTTTAGTTTTACGATACTTTTAGCAATATTCCAGCAATATCACAGCAGTGGGACACCGGAAAAGGGCTTCATACCAGAATATACTATTAGAGTAACTGGTGATTTACTGACTTAAATATTAATTTTGAATGTTTTGTTTCATCAAGCATCTATCGATGGCACGGTTCAAACATTATTTGACCATGGGGTTTTGGGTTAGAACTTCTCCTCAGCAACTATGGTTGTCGTAAGAAGCGACTTAGATTGATTGTGTGGTCAGACTCGCTGCAGGGCATTGCTCCTATAAGTCACAGATTTGTATGGTGGAGCCAGAATATTTCTGAGTGCTGCAAGCAGGTTATAGACTTGTAGGAAGTCTGAATCAAGGGGTTGGTGCTGACAAACCTGGAAACATAATCAGGGCAAAAGTGGATTTGAACCCACAATTTCTTTGAGTGGCATTTTAGAAGCTGGGAAGTAAAGAATAGACAAACTGGCTTGACAATGGTACTAGAATCTGTATCGAAACGTCGCATCCTCGTAATAAAGAAGTTGTTAACCATACACTTTGTCTATTTTGAACCCACAATATTTGCGACTGTAAAGAGTGATCTGTGTTGACTTAGACAAAATCGGGTTTCTTAATTCTAAAATGTGACTTTTCACAATTTCAGAATAACTGTACAGTTATTCAAGTTTACTATAAATTATACTACAGTCCTTGAACAATGTTCATATACATATGCTATAAAAATGTTTGGGGACTTCTTATCAATTTGTGGGAATGCAAATTTAAGGAAAAGCAAGGAAAGAGTTTGTTGCAATCAATGGGAGGTAACTCTGGTGCCTACGATCTTCTCCCACAAGAAACCAAAGTGGTAAACCAGGCTGTGATAGCAATGGAATTATGATTAAAGCAGTCTTAAAACCAAACCACTCACCAGACAAGTTAATCCATTAAATTCAATGTCAACTAAACCAACAGTAAATATTTTTGCAGCAATTTGTGGTAGGGATTTACCCCTCTGTTTCATTCCAACAAATTAAATGCTGCTACAAATAGAGTTCATAAAATGTCAAAAAGTGATAAATATTTCCTCCACCTGTGAAGCTCCAGTAAAATATCCATGTTTCAACTTGATACAGTGACTTCTTAATCATGGAGAAAGTGTGTTGCTTTCGAATGAGTGAGAGTTGGTGACTGGGTAGGTGAGTGAGTGAGTGAGTGAGCGAGCGAGCAATGTCCAATCTACCACCCACGCCCAATTTGATGCATGTTACAGACATTTTCTCTGAAATCAATGTTCATGGGTTCATCAGTGACAGTGCAAGGAACAATATCTGTAATTGTGTAAACTCAGGGCTTGTATCACAGAACGAAATCTTGAAGATGTTACTCTACACAGTGATAAAAGCCGTCAGCTAAGACATTTTCTCACCATCACCTCTCATGTAATCCATGATCAAAGTCTTCATGTCTCAAAAATATGAGTAATTATTTATTAGATATTTATCATGGGCAAAACCAACAAACAGTCTCCTCAGACATCTCTAAACCTATTGGATTGTGAGTTGTTCACCAGATACTGACCTTATTTACATCTGTTAGGAAGCCGCCAGGCACTTCATTGGTATCCTCCGGGTTTTTATGGAAGAACCTACAAACAGAGAAACGGTAATGAACTTAAACAAGATAATTTAAGAGGACCTCCAGATCGTATAAGATGTAATAAAACTTGGTTCAAAGTTATATGTTTCGGTGAGAACAACCAATTAGGGATGAAATGCAATGAATCTTCACTATGTTTCTCGCTGGTTCAATCCTTTTAGAAATGAGAGTTACCTGTCATGAAATTAGAGTCGTCACATTTGGTTGTAAAGATAACAAGTGTTTGCCACTGATATGGCAATGTCTCCCGCCGCTAAAGAATGGAATATCTATATTTACTACTTTTTATTTTTGGGTCACATACAAGATGCCTGAAATGACTGGTGTCTGCATAATCACCCAATGTAGGCTGTCAACATACTTGAAAACATTGGGTGCAATGTTTTATGAGATATCACCTTTAAAAGGCAGTCAAAGTGTCGTTGTGACCTTGAAGATAAGGTCAAGGTCACCCAAATCAACTGGTGTCTGCGTAATCCCCCAGTGTATGCTGTCACTAAATTTGAAGCCATTGGGTACAACAGTCCATGAGATGCAGCGTTAAGAAGAGTTTGAAATGTTTCCGTGGTGACCTTGAAAATAAGGTCAAGGTCACCCAAATCAACAAGAGTTTGAAAAGTGGTCAAAGTGTCGTGGTGACCTTGAAAATAAGTTGCGGCGGGGGACAATTACAAAGCGTCAGTTGGGTACAGATCAGGATTTGTTATCATTTTACAAAATTTGTATTTCCTGGTGCCTAACTGATCCTCAGGTTCAAATTTGGAAGAGTGAATGAGTGAGTGTGGTTGCTTTCAGCAACGTTCCAGTAATATCACGGCAGAGGTCACCAGAAATGGGCTTAGCACAATGTACCCATGTGGGAAATTGAACGAGGGTCCTTATAATAACTAAACAATAATTTGGTCTTGCCAAACTGCAGATCTACTGATCAAATTCTACACCCTGATGCAAGAGAAGGTGAACTTATGTCAACTTTGATTCACAACACAAAGTATGAATACTTACAGTCTTTCATAGAGTCGCACTTCACAGGGGAGAGGATCGGACACCCAATGTATGAAAGCCTTTGGTTTTTCAGCATCAGTTGCCTTCTTGCAGGAGACCAGCAGTTCTGTGGGTTTGCCTGTGTTATCCTGGAATATACCTTGTGTCAGTTGTGTTGTCCACTGTCTCCATTCTTTTCCACTGTCCATCCACTGTCCACTATCCACCTGTCCACCTTCCATTGTCCACTATTCCTCCACCCTCCACTATCCACTGCCTGTCCTCCACTGCTCTCCACTGTCCCTTTGTGTCCAGTGCCTCCACTGTGCCTGTGTCCACTGTCCTCCAGTGTCCACTCCATCCACTGTCCACTGTCCAGCTGTCCTCCACTGTGTCCATTGCTCTACCTCCACCCTGTGCTATATGCCTCCGTGTCCATTCCTTGTCCACTGTCCAGTGTCCACTGTCCTCCAGTGTCCTGTCCAGTGTGTCCGCTGTGTCCAGTGTCCACTGTCCTCCGTGTCCGTGTCCACTTCCACCTCCGTGGTTACCTCCACTGTCCACCGTCCACTGCCCTCCACTGTACCTGCCTCCGCTGTCTCCGCTGTCCAGCCAATGTCCTGCGTCCGCTATGCCACTGCTACAATGTCTGATCCACTGTCTCGGCTGTCCGCTGCTCACTGTCCACTACCCTCCACTCCCCATGCCCTCCACTGCCCTGACCAGATCTACAAAGTATCCACAAAAGGAGACCTATGTAAACAGTGATGCAGTTCGTGTGCTAATATATGGAAACTGATTGGAATGGTTCAAATCGATTGCCAATAGATATATGTTAATGTAGCGTTGATTGTCCATGTCTGCGATTGTTGTTGACTTTATTAGGCAGATGTGACATAACCAGCGTATTAATGGAGACCGATGGGACTGGTTCGATTACTTCCAACCTCTTGTGGTTCTTGTCTGGCTTCCTGAGCACAAACAATGGGGGAATGAAAGGTGAATAAAGGAGTCAGGGAATGATTCATCAAAGGGTGACAGAGATGCACAAAGTTTGCTGTTGTTCCATGCTGCACCATAGAAGGTGGTGGTTGCCCTTCAATACTCACAACTGATGTAAATGCTTTTCACTATTAGCAGTAATGGTGGTTAAAAACCATACAGAGCTCTCATCACATGAGGCCATATGCATACAAATGTCAAATAGTGGTGAAACCATACAGTAGGCTCATCACATGAAGGCCATATGCATACAAATGTCAAATAGTGGTTAAACCATACAGAGGCTCATCACATGAAGGCCATATGCATACAAATGTCAAATGGTGAATTGGTGAAACCATACAGAGAGGCTCATCACATGAGAGGCCATATGCATACAAATAGTGGTTAAACTTCCGGGACTACAAATATTTTCAATAAAAGTTGAAAAAATTAAAGATTAGTAGACATATATCTATAGCAACTATTTTTGTAGTGAGACTTAAAGCAGCTAATTACATGCTATTTTTTATTTTAGAAAAACACTGGTTTGTGAAAAAAAGTAGCATGGGATTATTTTTAGAAAGTGTGCTCGTCTTTGTATTGATACACTTTGTGATGAATCATCACATGAGAAACCATGATACACCAGTTAAATGATTTTTGTTTCCCCCTCATTTGTAGAAATAAACAACTAGGGCTCAGTCTTGAAGACATCTTTAGTAACATGACTCATTAAAGTTGTTGTTCAAAGTCAGACAAAGTACTTGTAATTCTTGAGTGAGAGTTAAGATCAAGTTCTTACTTCTCTGAAGAGTCAGGACTGTTCAATAAATATTGTTTTCCGCAAGGTGTAACTTTATGGAATCCCTTCTTCTCATCTCTTGGGGAAGTTTGGCTTTAGAGAACTTCAGCTGCCGTCATTCAGGTAAGTTGCTGACTGTCACCTTCCAGGGGTTCCAGGACAGCCATTGCTCTGTACACAGAATACACACCTACTTATGCTTGGTATTTAATGTATATGGAGATATCAGTTTCGTTTGTTGTCTAACACCACAGTCAGCAATATTCCAGCCACTGTCAAGAGTTTCAGCCGTTTGTGCGAAGCAAAAGTCTTGATAAATTCTGTTTGTAATGGTAGTTAAGCGGTTAACAATGGTTATAATCTCTAGAAAATGATGCTGAGAGTGTTGTTTGGGCAAGTGAGTGAGTGAGTTTAGTCTTACGCCTCACTCAGCGGCGGTCTGTAAATAATCGAGTCTGGACCAGACAATCCAGTGATCAACAGCATGAGCCTCAGTCTGCTGGTGGGAACCCGATGACATGTGTAAACCAAGTCAGCGAGCCTGACCACCGATCCCTTTAGTCACCTCTTCGACAAGCATGAGTAAGCCTTAAAATTGGCTTAAGCATGGGTTACTGAAGACCTATTCTACACACGGATCTTCCCCGGATGGGTTTGGGCAAATGGTCTCAAACAGGTTTGTACACATTTACTCCACCATCCCACCCTCCACTATCCCATTACCCTCCACTATCCCACTACTCCTCCACTATCCCACTCACCCTCCACTATCCCACACACTATCTCCACTATCCCATTACCTCCACTATCCCACCACTATCCTCCACTATCCCATTACCCTCCACTATCCCACTACCCTCCACTATCCCACCACTCCCACACCCCCAATATACCACCACTACCCTCCACTATCCCACCACCCTCCACTATCACCACCCTCCACTACTCTCCACTATCCCTCCAATATCCCATTACCCTCCACTATCCCACTACTCTCACTATACCACTACCCTCCACTATCATACCATTACCTCCAATATCCCACTACCCTCCACTATCCCACTACTCCACCTATCCCACCACCTCCACTATCCCATTACCCCTCCACTATCCCACTACCATCCATTATCCCACTACCCTCCACTATACCATACTACCTCCACTATCCCTACCCTCCACTATACCACTACCCCTCCACTATCCCACTACCCTCCACTATCCCACTACTCTCCACTATCCCACCACCCTCCACTAAACCACTACCCTCCAATACCCCACTACCCTCCAATATACCACTACCCTCCACTATCCCACTACCCTCCAATATCCCACTACTCTCCACTATCCCACCACCCTCCACTATCCCACCACCCTCCACTATCCCACCACCCTCCACTATCCCACTAGCCAAATACAAAGTATCCACAAGAAGAAACCTATGTAAACAATGCATTCATGTACCAATATATAAAACTAATTAGAGAAATAGCGTTCAAATAAGACTTGCACCAACAAATATATTCTGTAAACGTGTGTCCATATGCACGTACCTTGTTGACTTTGTCGACAGATATGACATAACCAGCATGTCGAAGACCGACGGACTGGTTCAGTGCCAGCCTCTTGTAGTTCTTGTCTGCTTCCTGACACAAACAATGAGGGGAATGAGTGAGTAAAGGAGTCAGGGGAATGATTCATCAAAGGAGTGACAGAATGCAAAGTTCTGTTTATAAAAGTGGTGCCCTTCAACTCACAACTGATGTAAATGTTTTCAGTCATCAAAGGTGGTGATACAGAAAGCTCATCACATGAAATAGTTCTGTTTATATAATGGTGAAACCATACAGTAGGCCTCATCACATGAAGGCCATATGCATACAAATAGTGGTTAAACTTCAGGACTACAAATATTTTCCAATAAAGTTGAAAAAATTAAGGTGTAGGAACATATCTATAGCAACTATTTTTGTAGTGAACTTAAAACGCTAATTACATGCTATTTTTTTATTTTAGAAAAACACTGGTGGTGAAAAGTAGCATGTGATTTATTTTAGAAAGTGTATCGTCTTGTATTGATACACACTTTGTATTGAATCATCACATGAAAACCCATGATACACCAGTTAAATGAGTTTTTTTGTTTCCCCCCTCATTTGTAAATAAACAACTAGGGCTCAGTGCGAGAAGACATCTTTAGTAACATGACTCATTAAGTTGTTGTTCAAGTCAGACAAAGTACTTGTAATTCTTCGTGAAGTTAAAGATCAAGTTCTTACTTCTCTGAAGTCAGACTGTTCAATAAATATTGTTTTCCTGAGTGTAACTTTATGGAATCCCTTCTTCTCATCTGAGGGGAAGTTTGGCACAGAGACCTCGCTGCCGTCATTGGGTAAGTTGCTGACTGTGACCTTCAGGGGTTCCAGGACAGCCATTGCTCTGTACACAGAATATACAGCTGCTTATGCTTGGTATTTAATGTATATGGAGATATCAATTTCGTTTGTTGTTTAATACCACAGTCAGCAATATTCCAGCCACTGTCAGCAGCTTCTGCCGTTTGTGCCAAGCAAAAGTCTTGGTAAATTCTGTTTGTAATGGTAGTTAAGCAGCTAACAATGGTTATAATCTCTAGAAAATGATGCTGAAAGTGTTGTTTGGGCAAGTGAGTGAGTGAGTTTAGTTTTACGCCTCACTCAGCGGCGGTCTGTAAATAATCGAGTCTGGACCAGACAATCCAGTGATCAACAGCATGAGCATCGATCTTCGCAATTGGGAACCGATGACATGTGTCAACCAAGTCAGCGAGCCTGACCACCCGATCCCTTTAGTCACCTCTTACGACAAGCAGTCGCCTTTCGTGGCAAGCATGGGTTACTGAAGACCTATTCTACCCGGATCTTCAAGGGTCGTTTGGGCAAGTAGTCTCAAACAGGTTTGTACACACTGTAACTATATGAGGGTCGGATGTATCTTAGGATTATGTTTTTAGACATGTTTCGGATGACCATGTTTATTGCAATTACTTGAGGCATAAATAAAAGGTCTATAGTCAAGTCTGGACCAAACAAGCCAGTGATTGATGTAAGAATGATACACAGTGTTGGGGTAGGTAGGATGACCTACAGTCAACAGGTTTCTGAGCATGGCCATCCGATTCAACCACAAGCATTCATTGCTGGGTAGCTAACCACAGGGCTACTGAAAGCAGTGTACTAGACAGTAACATCTCAACTAACAGTAAGTAATCAAGTCTGGACATAAGCATTCATCCACACAACTGTGTTTAATGGTAAGCAAACCTCGAACATTGCGATATACTCATTTCTGTCGACTCTCATTAATAGTATGTGGGTATGAGGTACTAGGGGCTTCTAACCATTCCCATTAAGAGACAAGTATTGGGCACTAGGTACATCTAACCTGGCTCTTCATTTGGAGACAAGTAGAGGGACATTGGGGAATGAGAGTGCCCTGGAATCCCTGTTGGGAGATATGCATGGGGTGTTCTGTTCTGGGATGATACTGTGGACTTACAACCTACCTTGGTGCTGTGACATTGAGGACATCTCGGACACACGCTTCAACCATGACGGGATCGATAACAGTCTGAGCCATTGTCACTCCCACCTACAACATCAGCAACAGTTTAAACTACATAACCAATTCTTTTATAATTCACACATGGCAACACCCATGAAAACTAAACTAGACACAAATTATTAAGATAATTCTGATGGACATATAAAAACCAGAAACAAATAATTTGCAATGTTATCAGAACCCTTTGGATCTTAGTATATTTCACATTGTCAGAGATTATACTAGAGTTACTTCCCTTTTTAGGAAAGTCTGTCATAAGGAAAGGTTGGCTAATTGTCCTTGTTGAAAACTACATAGTTAATTAATTTACAGTGTATGTTTACTATTTAGTGAATTATCATGACATAGATGCACGTGTCATGCAAAAGACCTGGGTTTGATTCACCAACTGGGTACAATCAATGTTTGAAGCCCATTTCTGGTGTACCCATGCCCTCCCCTTTCACCATGATATTGCATCACTCACTCACTCATTCGGTAGCCATTAACATCCATGCAATATCTTTATAAGAACACAAATTATTTCCATGTTTTGCATTATCATCACTGATGTGAGTCAGGATACAATGACATGCAAGAGGAGGTGGGGTAGCCTAGTTGTTACAGCATTCGCTCTTCACGTCGAAGACCCAGGTTCAATTCCCAACATGGGTAAAATGTGTAAAGCCTGTTTCTGGTGCCCCCACCATGATATTGCTGGAATATTGCTACAAATGGTGTCACACTCAACTCACTCACTCAATGACATGCAATCAACCCTCTCTGACAACCTGATACTCTTCTTACGATTAGCACAGTTTCCAAGGAACCAGCTCGAATCCAGAATATCCACAGTGGAAGTGTGTATGGTTTAATGTCTGTTTTAGCAACAGTTCTGTCAGAGAAATACAGAAACACCAAACATTCACACATCAAAACTGCATAGTGAATTAAACCCATGTCTATGGAGTCACAAGCAAACACTTTCACCACTAACCTACCAACCATCCTAATTATTAAAGTAGGACAACATGAATATTTGGCAGAACAAGAGGCCAAAGCAGATGAACAATTTTGAATACAGCTGCAAATAATGTTTTCATTACAACTACCGTACCTCAAACATTGGCAACATTTTGAAAGTCAGCTGTTGGGTACTTTTTTCAGAATAGAAGATGAATATGAAGGAACAAAGAGTGAGTGAGTGAGTAAGTATGGTTTTACGCCGCTTTTAGCAATATTCCAGCAATATCACGGCGGGGAACACCAGAAATGGGCTTCACACATTGCACCCATGTGGGAAATCGAACCCAGGTCTTCAGCATGTCGAGCGGACCTTTAACCATTAGGCTACCCCACCACCCCGAAGGAACAAAGAGCTGACCTTGGCACAGAACAGGTTGATGGCTTCTGAGGGGAATCCTCGTCTTCGTAATGCTGTCAGGGTGAACAGACGAGGGTCATCCCAGTCTCTGCAACATCATTTAACATGTGTCAGTCATAATAATAAACTTATCTGTCAATTTGGATGCTTCCATACATTTGACACAATCAACACATCTGTTCCCACTGAATTAATAGTGTTCCTTCCAGGAAGCCATGTTCATTCCACAAAAATGTCAACTAAATAAGTTTTCACTGACAACACAGGCATCTTGAAATGTCAGCATCAAACAAGTTGGCAGTGGGTACATTATTTGGTTTCAGCTATCTGAGCATATCTGCAGTGAAGTTTAATTCAGTTTCATTAAAATCTTTTATGTCATTACAATACCATTTGTTTGAGTGGCTTTGTAGAAGTTGGTGGTATAGAGATGACAAAACTGTATGGATGATCAACTTCTTTATTTTAACAATGGCTACGTTTTGGTATAGATTCTTATACCGCTTCAAGCAATACCGAAACGTCGCCATTATTAAAATAAAGAAGTTGATCATCCATAAAGTTTCATCATCTCCATTACATGATTACAATACCACTTTGTGTTAAGATCTCATACCTCACTCAGACACATTGACAGAAGGTTGAGTCAGTATAACAATGAGTAAACTTCTAAATGAATGCTATAAAGCTTCCTGAGCAAATCAAATGTCAGATTTCTAAAATGATTCTACTTCATTTGTTTACCACCTCCATGTTTTTACGAAAATTGCGACAAATACTCCTTTGTGGGTCCTTTGGGTGTATATGCCATGGCACTAAGAAATGACCAGGAGTATGAAAACATGAAAAACAATAACATCCCGGAACTTGTCATATTAATTTGTTTGGGACAAACAAAAATCCATTTGAGGGTCTCAATGCTTCGCTCACTCAAAACAAGTTTCCTGAAGCCTTGATTCTGATTGACTGACAAGTGTCCCTGGTGCTAACTCCTATTTGTTCCAGGATCTTTACACACATAGGTGTCGTAACTGAGTTGAAAGATTCAATGAGATTAATATGGCCTGCAATGTCTTACTTGGCTGTGGTTTGGGCAAACAGCCATTCAATCCTTAAGTTCATTGCAATAATAACATGCAGCACTGTCAACCATTGGAATGAAACCATGACCCAGAAATCACTAAGAAGACTGACAGTTTGGATGCGGCCAGAGCAATGAAAGAGATTGGGGACATTTTTAGACATTTGCCTGTGTTTGGGATTCGAACCAATATCACTTTAACCAAAGGCTACCCCACCACCCCCTAAGTTTTAGCCATTTTGACACCAATATCATACAAAACACCAGCATACCTGACGAATCCTTCAGTGATAAGCTTGCCTATTTTCCTCTTGGAGACGACAGTGTAGTTGAGGTTGAGGCGAGCGTACTCCCACTGGACGGGGCAGTAGATGTCCAGGGCGTTACACAGCCAGTAGTAGGATGACCGTCTGCAACGGAAGGCAAAATATCAAGGCAAGGGGAAAAAAAGGTGAGTGGTAATCACACCTGCATTTCTGGTCTCACAAGCCAACACTTTAACTACAAGGTTACAGCGTGAGTGAGTGAAAGTTTTCAATTAGCAAAACCTTAATAGTCAGAAGTGAGGTGAGGTGAAATTGGGTTTAACATCGTGCTTGAGAATATTTCACTTATATGACGACGTGCATGCGTGTGTATGTGTATATGCGGCTGCTTGTACTAGCCCAGACAGAAGCTGGTTTTATAGTGCTAGCCCACTGAGATACCATGCCGCAGTGAAGCATGAATGCCCCACTCAGACACATTATACTGACTCCAAGCCGACCAGTCCTTGTTGTACCCATTAATGCCGAGCGCCAGGTAGGGACCAACAAGTACCATATTTTAACGTCTTTTGGTATGACGCGGCCGGGGATCGAACCCGCGACTTTCCGCTCTCTGGGCGGACACTCTAACCACTACACCATGGAGTCAGTCCTTAATAGTCAGAATGAACAGTAATACCACAGTTTGATACCATAGCTTGATACCATACATTGTAAGCACATCGCCGCTATGAATATATTTAGTTTTCTCACATTCAACAAGCATTCAGGAATGTTCAAGAGTTATACAAGTTCATCCTAATGGCTGCAAGAGTTTTTGTATGATCCCAGGGAGTTGAGATTGAAAATATGATGCGCCACTGAGATTGCCATCCAATGATCGAGGGGAAAAACAAAGTGCCTTTGAGAAGCTGAGCTGGATATTGACACTATACAAATATTAGTATGTATATCACTTTTGTCAATAACCCAGAAATATCACCTATGTGGACACCAGGTATATGGGCTTTACCCATTGCACATGAGATATTTTCCTACTTATCCCACACTTAATTTTAATGTGTCAGGCAAGTCGGGCATAATAACTCAACACCCCTGCATGGGCTTTACCCATTAAACCCATGCGGGAGCCCAACCAAGGCTTACAAGGTTACCCCACCATTTCTTAATTCCTGACTCCCAGACAGTCAGCAACAGACAGAAGTGTTCTCACCTGGACTGGAACTCCTTGGTACACAGAGAGTGGGTGATGTTTTCTATGGAGTCGCACAAACAGTGAGTGAAGTCGTATGTCGGATAAATGCACCTGTCAAAGAACAGAAATCAGTTTTACTCTCACAATACTGGGGATTTTCACTTAATCAATCACAGGTATATAAATTTATTGTTTCAAATAATCTTAGTAATTCCTGTTCTTAGTAACTACTTTGTAACACAACTGTCAACACTATTAAACATTTTGATCACCCGATACCCTCAAGTAGGCTCTTTCAATGGCCTTGGAGTGCTGGGGAGGGAGAAATCCACCAGGATCCCCAAGAGGATAATAAGACCGTCAAGTATGATGAACTGTAATCGCACCATTTATCTCCAGTCCGATGGTGGGGTACAAATTTGATCCTGTAAGCAACAGGGTCCTTCTTTCCTTCCTCCAGAGTCGTCTTCATACGAAGAGTTGCCTCCCCTTCAGCGAGCTTGCCCTTCTTCATATCCTGCACAACAGACAGAACAATTGTTCCATTTGCAAAATATGCCAAGCTTTATTCAACTCCCCCACACGAAATCATACATAATAAGCTTACATCAGCTGAAGGTCATGTCCACGTTAAAAGAAGGTCAAATGTGCCCTACATTAACAAAACATAAAAGATAAAGTGCTCCTTAGATAATATACGTTGTTCACTGGTCTCGAGGGGGACATGGGCTGATGTACCCTCGATATTTGTTTATGTTAAAGAAACATCAAGGGTACATCAACCCATGGGCCCCGAGGGACCAGTGAACAACGTATTCATCTCACCGAACACCTCTATGGTCATTTTGAACTGTTTGAAGCACGGGTATCGGATCATAGTATGGATTACAAGACGACAAGAAAAACAAATTTACAGTTAGCTCCCTTCCATCGATTTGCATTTGCAAAACATCGGTCATTTCCATACATCATACGTGATTCGATGTTATTCGAGATAAAGAATTACTACTACTAAGTACCAAATGAATTCGGCATTCCCAGCGTGGTACAGAGAAAATGTTACTCACTTGTTAGTGGGGTACATTGAAAATAATAGAAGAGTGCTCAGCCAATCAGAAAACAACATTCACGTGTGAGGCAAGATAAATTTGTTTGTTTGTTTGTTGTTTATTGCTGCATTCTGCCATAATCCTTCAAAACTCTCCTCAGAACGTTTTTATTTAAGAAGTACTTTGTCTAGACTCTCACCCAATTAACTTAACTTGTGGCACCATGAGCATACCAGCTGGCGTGGAGATTGGCGAGTTACAAATTCACTCATTATTATTATTATTATATGGTAGGGGTCTGTATAAAATTTAGTCTAAACCAGACAATCCGGTGATCAACAGCATATTTATATTTACTACTTTTTAATTTTTGGCCACATTCAAGATGCCTGAAATGACAGGCGTCTGCATAATCACCCAATGTAGGCTGTCAACATAATTGAAAACATTGGGTGCAATGTTTTATGAGATATCGCGTTTAAATAAGTTTGAAAAGCGGTCAAAGTGTTGTGGTGACCTTGAAGATAAGGTCAAGGTCACCCAAATACACTGGTGTCTGGGTAATCCCCTAATGTAGGCTGTCACCAAATTTGAAGACATTGGGTACAACAGTTCATGAGATATCGTGTTAACAAGAATCCGGACGTACTCTGTAAACAAATATTAACATGGTTTCTGTTTTCTAACTCCATCAAGACATTCATGTCCTGAAAACACATAAAAAATTTGGTTTCCCTATCCATAACAGTTTTTGAGAATATCTGTCCCCATCATCTCGGACAGATGGACAGATGGACGGAGCTCAAACCAATATGCCCCTCCCACTTCGTGGCGGTGGATAACACCAACAAGTTTAAGAGAATCTTCTTGGGTGAAAATATGAATGCAAGAAGTAACATCTGTCCTACCTCTGACAATGTACCCATAAACAGGGCTCCAGATAACTTTTGGGGGTGCGAGTGTACTTACACAGCATATTGCAAGTGGAGGTGTACTGAGAATTTTGAAGGAGTACTGACATGTTTTTGTGTGAGCGAGTTGGTGATGTGGTTTGTCTGGACGATTCATCGATCACTATTTCCAACCATGTATTTGTATTTGAAGACGTGTGAGAAATAACTGAGCGATCGTGTGATGCGCGAAATGTCAGGTGCGACTGGATATAAATAGGAACAGTGTAGTTTTTAGCCAATCGAATAATAGTGACGCATATCGTTGCATGGCAACGCTAGGGATTCCTACTGTCGGGGTTTCCTCATGTGTCAAATTGTGTTTCAAAAAAGAAACTTGACAAGTATCTATCCGAAATAGATTTCCATTTGCACGATACGTACGGAAATTAAATGTTAGACGTACAAAGGTATTTATGCTCGTACATGATACGCTTGAAATCTTATATCATGTCGTAGTTATTGATTTTGAGGCGTACATTACGCCTGTACGCCCCTTATCTGTAGCCCTGCATATACACCTTGTGTTTCACCCCAGAATGTGAACTTACTTCGAAGAGCTGCAGAGATTCGTCAACAGGCCTGTCCCTCCAGGGTGAATCTGGGTTATTGTAACCCTTCACCTCCTCCGGTCTCTGGTGGCAGATGTATGCCTGGCCCCGTTTGATCAACTGGACAGCGTATTCATACAGCTGGTCAAAGTTGTCCGAAGCGTGGGTCACTTTCCAGGGCTTGTAACCTGTAAACATCCAACACCGTGATTCAGCTGACTGATGATTATTTATTGCGATTGCACAGGTCACGCAGCCACACCAGGACCTAAATGTCTTGTAGCGGCAGACATTCAGCAGAATTCACTTTTCCACCACTTTCAGTATACAGATGAATTTGCTTTTTTCTTCGAAATCAAACATTTTGCAAAAAAATTCAACGATTTTCATGTGCTTTACTTCTGTGTACTGAAATGAGTAAAATGAATTGAATGCTTAATCCTAGAGTGAGTGAGTGAGTGAGTTGGGTTTTACGCCGCTTTTAGCAATATTCCAGCAATATCACGGCGGGATTAATCCTAGAGCATAAAATTAGCTTCATCCTTTCTTGGCATTTTAAAAGCTGCAGCATTAGCAACTGTTGTTTAACCCTTCACTCTGCAATATTCCAGCTATATGAAAACAGACTGTGAACCTGGACAATCCAAGTTGATGCTGTGAGCACAACCACACAAAGCCATCATGTTGCATCTTATGACAAACAACTGCTGCTGGGGGCAATTCTAGACCAGAATCCCAGCAAGACCAACGGGCTGACACAAACTGCAGCTTGACCAACCTTAAGCAAGCTAAGCAGACTGAAGAACAAGCTCCCAGTAACATCTACTCACCAAGCCATTCCACCATGTTTCTGATGCCCACAAAGAACTTTTCCTCCTCCTTCTCAGGGTTTGTGTCATCGTACCTCAGGTAGCAGTTCCCGCCCATAGCCTGAGGATATCCAAACTTCATGTTGAAAACACATCGACATTCAAAATCTGCTGCCATTGGTGGCATTAAGAGTATATGAATTATATGAATTATATATTGTGATATGTGCTGGCATATTGCAATTGTAATATATTGTGAAAGTGTAACACATGTTTTAAGGTAATGAAATTATTGTTTGCCTTCTTTTGAAACAATGCCACTAGCCACTGTCAGGACTCAGATGTGATTGTAAATGTTTCCAAAATGATGACATTGCTCTAAAATTTGGAACTTAAGACGCGTCTGCAGTGGCGTCCTCCATTTTGGCTTGTTTGTGCCGGTACCAATCTATATTTATTTATTTATATGGTTTAAAAGTCATGCAAATGCAATTATATGACCAATAATCATTCTCAAAACTATTAATGTATAATAATATAAAGGAAATACAAATGTTATTAGTATTTTTTAATACATCACGGAAATTGCCGATCAGATGAGATGAACCAGTTCGCGAAAAGTGTACCGCAATATATCCTATTGTGAAGTTCAAATTTCAATATAACGGTTCACCGGTATTATCGCCAAACCCTAGCTGTGAAAAATTTTACTATTTCAGTTAGACCATGTTGCATGAAAGTCTGAAGATGCTCAGATCTTGGAACTTCATCAGTATAATTGCTGGTAGTGCGATGTAATCTGAGCAATCACTGGTCAGAGCCATTACTGGCTTGCCTCTCACAAGAGCCATACCATGATTTGTTACTTTGGTTAAACATACTGATAGATTACCGATTGATCATATGTATTGCCAGGTCTGTACACAACCTGTAAAGTACTGACGATGTGCTGTGACAGGTAGCTGAAGATACCTACCTTGGCATATCCAAAGTTGAAGTTGATTGCCTTAGCATGACCAATGTGGAGAATACCATTTGGCTCGGGCGGAAATCTTGAATATACCTGTATGAACAGCCAGGGAAAGATGACGTTAATAACACATTCCAAGTATGACACACATGATATTGTCACAGCATGTGGTCCGCAATTAGTACAACTATTTAATAACAGCTTGCTACTGTAATGATGGTACTGTAGATTGTGAGCCCAGACCGGTCCTCCTGGAGTTCCAGGTAGGGTTGGGCATTGCCAAAATTTTCGTATTGCGATATACTGTGATATTTGTTGGAGTATTACAATATGTATTGCAATATATTGTGAAAGTGTAACACATGGTTTAAGGTAATGAAATTACTGTTTCCTTTCTTTTGAAACAATGCCACTGGCCACTGTCTGGACTCAGATGAGATTGTACAAGAGATCAATTGAAAATGTTTCCAAATTGATGACTTCGCTTTAAAGTTTGGAACTCGAGAAAAGGAGTCCATCATTTTGGTTCGTTTATCCCTATGAGTGCTGGGATCAATATCTTGTTATATTTAAATGGTTTAAAAGTCACGCAAATGCAATTATATTACCAATAAACATTCTCAAAATTATTACCGTAATGTAAAATAATATATAGGAAAAACAAATGTTATTAGTATTTTTGACAACATCGCGAAAATATGCTTGTCATAAGAGGCGACTAACGGGATCGGCTGGTCGGGCTCACTGACTAGGTTGACACGCCATCGGTTCCCAATTGTGTAGATCGATGTTCATGCTGTTGATCACTGGATTGTCTGTCTGGTCCAGACTGCTGCCGATTATATTTACAAACTGCAAAACGCCATATAGCTGGAATATTGCTGAAAGCTTGGCGTAAAAGCAAAACTCACTCACTCAAGATGTAGCTTACTGAGCTTGTACAGTTGTGAAATATGTGAGAGGGAGGATTTAACTTTGGTTTTAATTCCAAGAGAAGTTAGGTTGTTGTAAATCTGCCTTGCATTCAGTATCAGGGGATATTCTCTGCATGAATATCATTTAGTGACAATGAACTGATTGCTTGTATCTATAGTACTTGTACAGTTGTGAAATATGTCAATGTATACCATCCAAAAATGGATTTACAAGATTGATAAAATGAGGAAACAGATGATGAAGAGAAATTAAGGGAAAATGTGACAATTTATTCCATTCCTTTGGAAATGTTTCATCTGTATGGATATATATTACTTTTCTCATATGCATTGGCGTTGGCTGGTGGTATGCTCACAAAATGGAATATCCCCTACTTTTGTTGAATGGTATATAATATTGTGCATATCAGACTAGAAGATGTAACCATGACCTTTAGAAACCATAAATGTTTTATGGAGTAGCACACTAGCACGAATATTGGTTGAAAGTGCATGACACTGTACACTCTAATTTATAACATGTGCTTCTTGGGGAATACAAACGTGTGATGAAACATATATCACATTAGAAGTTAATAAACAAATAAAACAACTGAAACAAGATGAAAGGCAATGAAAGACCAAAGCAACACACAATATCTACAACTCACCTGGTTTGTGGAACTTGACAGCATCCCCCATCATCTCCATGAAGCTCTTAACATGGCCGTCCTCCCCCAGGACTGAAACAATCAGTGCACTGTGTATAGTGCTGGTTATCACTCACACGCTCACAACATGCACTTGCATCGGTCAACTCAATATCACAAAGGAGATCAGTGATTGATCAATAATCAACTGTAATCTTTAACTCCAACACACTGAAACTCATATAAGCACTAACAGGGACACAATCGTAAGATTGTGTAAATAGAACAAAGGCTGATTAATACCATGATCAAGGCGTACAATTGAGGCTACTTCCTGTGAAGTAGATCGAGACACATCACGAGGAGAAGTATGTTGTTTATCAATGCTTGTAAAAACTCATATAAGCAATAGCGGGGTCATCTGATTAAAAAATTGGTTAGTATGTTGTTCATGCAATCATCAAAAAAATTGGTTAGCATGATTTTCAGGTTCTTTGTTGATTTTTGTTTATTTAGAAAGTGCGAAAATTGTATTAGCGAATTTCACATCCAGTGTAATATGATGCAACTTGTTACCTTAAAGTGATGACTATTATATCATGAACATAAAGTTCCCAGTGTCTTCAAGAAATATTCAGTCATGACTTTTCAGAAAGTGAAGTGTGGTTTCTAAGAATTAAGCATGTTTTCAGGTCCTGACAGCTTCTATGATATGTTCCATCATCAAGTATTTCAAAGACTAAAACAGTAGTTCCAAAATCGTTTGTGTTCGATTATGAGAAAATATGATCGATTGCTTGGTCGTTTGGTCACTGCGACCAATCTTCAATTGTTTTAGTTAATTGGAACACCACTACTGGACAGTCTGGTAGATAAAGCATTCGCTTATCACACTGCAGATCCGAGTTCAATTCCCCACATGGGTACAATGTGAATCCTATTTCTGGAGTACCCTGTTATGATATGCAGGACACAACTTTTCAGGATACTGTGTGTAGCTTCTTATTTTCAACATCTATAATGATGAATGAAACAGCTGACATGATCTGCACCCGGGAACCACCATCACCAATCTGGAATTATCTCCCCTTGCTCTTCCTTCTGCCTGTATTGCCATTATAAGTGGATGTGTTTCTCTTCACTTTGACATATTGTAAGGACTAGTGGTGTTCTGATCAATTGAAATAATCGAAGATTGGTCACAGTGACCAAACGAACAAGCAATGGATCACTTTTTCTCCTAATCGAACACAAACGATTTTGGAACTACTGTTTTAGTATTTGAAACACTTGACGATGGAACATATCTTGGAAGTTGTCAGGGCCTGAAATTTTTTTTTTTCACTAACTGAAAAGTCATGACTGAATATTTCTTGAAGACTCCAGAAAGTTTATGTTCATGATATATTAGTCATCACTTTAAAGTAGCAAATTGCATCATGTTATACCTATCTGCAATAACAACCTGGGCCTCCTTTCACAAAGCACTAAGGTGATCGTAAGTCAATGTTAAAGAATGGGAGTTAAGGTTAACCTTAGTAAAGGTTGCTTCGTGAAAGAAGACCCTGGATAGGAAAATCTGAAAAATGATGCTAGCCCATTTTTTTCGATGATTGTTCATGTTTGGTAATGAAGCAATCATCAGTTGTGAGATTTCAACCAATTCCCAACACTAGTTAAGACTTCTGATTGTCCAGTCTGAGTTTGAATAGTGAGTGAGTGAATTTACTTTCACGCCTCACTCAGCAATATTCCAGCTATATGGCGGCGGTCTGTAAATAATCGAGTCTGGACCAGACAATCCAGTGATCAACAGCATGAGCATCGACCTGAGCAATTGGGAATCGATGACATGTGTCAACCAAGCCAGCAAGCCTGACCACCCGATCCCGTTAGACGCCTCTTATGACAAGCATGGGTTACTGAAGGTTCATTCTAACCCAGACCATCACGGATTCTATAAATAACAAATCCTGGCAAGTGATTGATATTATGAGCAATATTCCATCAACTTACAATCAGCAATCAGGCACGTTACTGTGACTCAAGTCCATTTAATCTGCTCTTACCACAAGCACTGGTTGTTGACAACTAATGCTTGAAGAATTTTCAACTTGGTTCCTCAGGGACCATTCATAATTTATGGCCAGGGGGTGATGAGGATTTTTATGGAGAGCATGTACAATGAGAATGACCCCCCTGAAATTTATGTACAAAGTAAGTGACCCTCCTGCATGTCATGTAGAAAATCAATGACCCCCCCACCCCCATTTCCATAATTTTAAACATTTTTATGTACAAAATTGCTGACCACCCCATCCCCTTTAAATTATGAATGGTACCTTAGAGACGAAAATGACAGAGTTCCACTTACAGTTCTCTGCAGAAGGGCCAGCAGCAGCAGCCGCAGCTTTCTGGGCATCACCTGCAGACTTGGCTGGTTTGGGAGCCTGCACATGATAAACAATTTCATCATAGTTTCACATGTTTCCAAATACATCTACTCACTATCAGTGACTTTTGTATGGCCATTTCGGAATGTTCATTCACTTAGCGCAGTATGAATTGGAAATACTAATAAAATTGATTGAATATGAAGAGGATTAAGTCTATCGCAATTACTTCTCTGGAACGCAGCACTCAGCAATATTCCAGCTAAAGGTATTACTGCAAATAATTAAGTCTGGACCAGACAATCCACTGACTGATATTATCAGCAGAAATTACCACTGTTAGATTACATTTATAATCAACATGTGACCCCTTCCAGATAAGGGACATAACTCTCCAGGGTCTTGTGGTTCTCCAGATGACTGGGCAATGATTTAAAACAGTAACATCATTGTGAAAACAAGTCAAGTTTTGGCCATTGTGTGTCCTATCTTTCAGTAACTCCAACATCCCTGAAAATGATATATTTTTTCAAACAGACTAATTTAGACATGACAACCATACCTTTTGTTTCTGTGGTTTCTCCCGATCAGCATCAGTCTTTGCTCCTAGGAGATCTAAAATCTGCAGTAAAAGAGACAGTTACTGTTTACATTTATTTGGAAACATTCTTTTTATTTCCAAAAGTTCCTATATATAACTTCTGTTCCAATTTGACACATAATATTTCACTGAAGTTAAAACAGTTAACCTGTAGCACAGTCACCAGTTGATGATTTGGTTTCAAACAAACAGACATCTTCAGTACCTTCACCCATTCACTTCAGTAGTGCAAGCAAGATGAAATAGAATTATCTCCCTTCATTTGAGCAGCAATTTGGACACAGTCTGTTCAGCTTGGTCACAAATAAGACCATAAAATCCCAATCTCCAACTAAATAGCCATTTCTTCTTAATTTGCCGTCTCTAGCCCTCAGTTTTCCAACCTAGACAAATTCCTGATCCCAAAAGACATTTCTTCTCCTGGCAGTTATTACATATACATAGACATAATGAATTTATCACATACATAAACTACATCATTATATCAACTATATTAAAGTATACTACTCAAAGGAGTTACGGAACACTGATTTATTGTATTATTTGACCATAGTTAATCTGAGTGTGTTCCTTAACTTGTTTTGCGTAGCATAATATCTGTGTATCAGCTGACTCCGCAGCACCAGGCTGTCCTGGTTTGTACATTACCTGTATATCCACCTCGTTCTTGATAGCCTTGCCATCAGCCCATTTCAAGCTGTTCCTAGCTTCACCTGAATCGAAAACAACTGTGCTAGAGTCGTGAAAGACGGGGGGTGGGGTAGGTTAGAGGTTAAAGCTTTTGATCGTCACGCCAAAGGCCCGGGTTTGATTCCCTACATGGAACACAATGTATGAAGCCCATTTCTGGTGTTCCCCCAATTGTTTGAATATTGCTAAAAGCTGCATAAAACCACACTCACTCATTCATTCACTCGAAAGACAACCTAAATATTACCTAACACACTTTCCATTCAACATGCCCTAACTGGAAACTGAAATCATTTACTTAAACTGGAAAGCTCATGAAGCAGTTTTAACTGTTCACCATCAACAGGGCTTATAACAGTAATATGTCTAACATTGAGTAGGTTTCAGCAGCAGTTTCTATTAATGCTGTAGAAATGATTATTCTGTTTAAAGAAACAAAAGCATAGGCAATGACAGAAAAGATGAATATTTCTCAACACAAATAAAACTTCAAAATACTGATGTTGAACAAAGTGCAACTGTCTTATAAACTTCACTAAAACATACTCACTGCAGCTTTGGAAATACGATTTACTTGTCATTACTTATTACGCAAGTTTCACAAGAAACAATCACACAATCAGTCTTACTCAGCAGAAGTCCAGTGTTGAATCGGTACCGTTTTTCCACCAGGTCATTCTTGTATTTGCCAATAACCTTCTCCACCTGAAGTTGAAAACAGAAGAATTAGAGGAATGGCAAAACAGGATAAAACACATTGGAGTTCTGAAATTGAAGGTCAGGGTTTAATCAGATTCATTAGGTGTCCTTTGGATTTACCCAACCCGGTATTCTGAATCTCGTACACTGGGTCAAAAACTAATACTCTGTAACAACATACTGTATCTCTGCATCTTAGACAACGTCTATGACAGTGTCACTGTTGTCATGAGAAACACACACCGTATCAGTTTTGTTTGTTTGTTGTTTAACACCACAATAAGGTGAGGTGAAATTGGGTTTAACGTCGTGCTTGAGAATATTTCGCTCATATGACGACATGCATGCGTGTGTATGTGCGGCTGCTTGTACTAGCCCAGACTTAAGCTGGTTTTATAGTGCTAGCTCACTGAGATACCATGCCGCAGTGAAGCATGAATACCCCACTCAGACACATTATACTGACTCCGAGCCAACCAGTCCTTGTTGAACCCATTAATGCCGAGCGCCAGGCAGGGACCAACAAGTACCATATTTTAACGTCTTTTGGTATGACGCGGTCGGGGATCAAACCCGCGACCTTCCGCTCTCTGGGCAGACACTCTAACCACTACACCACGGAGGCGGTCACACCACACTCAGCAATATTCCAGCTATATTATGGCAGTCTGTAAATAATCAAGCCTGGACCAGACAATAAATTGATTGACTTCAGGAGCACTGATCTAAGCAATTTGGATTATAATTCTAACCCAGAACTTCAAAGGTTCCAATGTATTAAGTAGCAAATACATCATGTAACATAAGTGAGTTGGATTTTACATACAGTGGAAGCCCTCTAAACTGGCAACCCTCCAATCCAGCATGCTCTCAATATCGGCACTAGAATTTGGTCCCGGCAGAAGCTAATGGATTTATGATCATTTACACGCCCCTCTAATCCGGCGTCATTCTATTCCATATTTCGGCAAAACATAGACCGCCCAATTGACTGTTTGTACAGTAATTAAGACTCTCTAAACCGGCATCCGGTATCTCGGCTCTCCTGTTGATTGGCTGATTGGCTGAACGTGTACCAAATTGGCAGGCAAACAGTTTTGGACATTTTGAAAAATTTCTGGCCCTATTTGGAGAGAGAAAACTATTTAGTTTGCTTCAGAATTAAATGTCAACAAGTTTTACGGCACACGGAAAGGTTCTCTAAACCGGCATGCTCTCTATATCGGCACTTTTTGTCAGTCCCAAAGAATGCCGGTTTAGAGGGCTTCTACTGTACTTCAGTAAAATCACAGAACGACAGTTTTATAGGGAAAAAAAACCCAAAGTGATGCAGGTGCGCATGTTTATGGTGCAGACAAACCAAGAAACATTAGTGAAACTGGGATTCAAACCTACAATCATTGGGGTTTCGTGCATGACCAGCAACAAAACCATTCACAGATACAGCAATATGCAAGATACAATGCATCACCCATGTCAGCAAGCTAGAGTTCCAATCTAATTTAGTTGCCTCTTATGACAAGCATGGGTTGCTGAAGATCAATTTCAAACTTGATCTTCATGGGTCCGCTTATCAAGTAGTATACACCAGTATACATGGAATAACATATACAACATATATAACATGCACGTGACATTCACAAAGGTCAATGATCGATCAAACCTATTCTTCATAACCCCATTAATGACACACCTAAACTCCAAAGGCATATGTCAACATCTTTACAAGAACCCTGAGGCATATTGAACATGAAACACATTTCTGTCCCTGACTGCTATGAAGAATGGATTACAAGTTAGCTACATGCTATGGCCGCCACCCTTATGAAACCCAAAAATAGATCTGAGTTAGTCAGGGATGGCAACAGGAAAATCTATTTTCAGCAGAAAACTTAATTTTGTGTCTTCGAGTTGAGGGTTTCGCAATGGATTTAGATGATTCACAATTGAACAATTTGAAATATAATCCACGGAAATCTGCGGATCAGCGGAAACTTGCCATCCCTGGTTAGTATTGGTTTTCAGCACCCATGCTTGTCATAAGACTAAGAGTGAAGAAACAGGATTGGGTGGTCAGATTCAGTGATTTTGTTGATGCATGTCACTGTAATCCAATCAGATTGCAATTGTAGACTGGTGCTCATGATGTTAATCACTGGATTGTCTCGTCCAAATTGAACTATTTCCTGGTTGCCATTATATAGCTAGAATAGTGCTGAGTGCAAGAGGTAAAGAAAGAAAGAAACCAAAAAACAAAGAAAAATGTGAAAAATGGACTGACCTCTGTCTCAATCTCCTCAGGTGTGATGACCACCCCCACTCCACATGCCTGCTCAAACTGACCCTTGTCCACAGGTTCAATTGGGTTAGACAGTAAATACTCCAATGCAGCTGAAATATAAAGAAAAAGAAATGCACAGATCTTCATGTGATTCATCAAATTATGTTGTGTCCAAAAAAGTCCAATAGTCCTTGTCATAACCCTAATGATACATTTGTTAAAAGCAGACAACTGAAAGATCTCTAGAGTCGAACATTACCACAGCACTTGATATTTATTTCAACATTTTTCCTTTTTATAAATTCATTTATGTTAGATTATTTGCTAGTTTGTTTAACGCAGCACTCAGCAATATTCCAGCTATGTGGTGTCAGTCAATAAATAATCAAGTCCAGGCCATACAACCCAGTGATCAACAGCATGAGCATCGATCTACGCAATTAAGATGCGACATGTGTCAACCCTGATCCCGTTAGTCGCCCATCCACACCAGTTTGGGTTGCTGAAGACATTTATGTTACAGAAGAGTCAACAGGTGGCATAAAAGTCAAACGGAAGATAACAAGGACAAAAAACAGAAGCTTGAATGTTATTATCTTCTTCAAACCACCAAGCAGTCGGTTAAAATGGTCTAATTACTAAAGCTGTAACGATTCACTCACCTTGTGTACTTTTGGAAAGTGAGATATGCAGGGATGGAATATGTACTAGCATTGCAGTAGAACGAAAGTCATGTTAGTTTGCCAAGGAGCATGTTTTAAGGTACATTGTCGACTATAACTATTACATACCAAATTTGAGTGTCATGAGCAAGTCACTGGTTATTGGTGTGACAAATCAAAACTGTCAACAACATTACATGCTCGAATTGTACATCAATCACTTAACTACAATATTGTATTCTGTGAATAATTATATTGTACAGTTACCCAATATTCATGATAATGTATCATATCTTACCCACTATTCATAGTGTATTCACATGCAGCCCAGCCTAATTACCAGAGGAAAAAGCCAACAACATGGCCTCATGAAGCCCCCTCTGTGTCTTACCAGTTAGCTGTGCCTCAGATACAATTTTTTCTTGGCCACATATTCCACAAGCATGGACTGATGGTTCTTGATCTGAGCCTTCAGCTTGGTGGCGAGGCTGTACAGCAGCTTGCCTACCTCCTTGTTGGCTACCTGACCAGGGGCGTACTTCTCAGCCTGAAATATACATGACCCTCATCAACATCAGCTACATGACAGTAAAACAGTAAAATGAACATGAAAAACTAAGACGACACAAAAATACAAACATATCATAATACAGCATTAATCAAGAACATAATTATCATTAAATGAAAATATTAAATGCTAACAAATTATGACAGGGATTGAATTTATGCCTGAAATATATCCCAATTTTTCTGTCTAATATTTAGTAACAATTTGATATACAATGATAGGTACTTCAAATGAGTGAGTGAGTGATTTAGTTTTACACCACACTCTGCAATATTCCAGCTATATGGCGGAGGTCTGTAAATAATCGAGTCTGGACCAGACAATCCAGTGATCAACAGCATGTCAGCGAGCCTGACCACCCAATCCTTTTAGTCGCCTCTTACGACAAATATGGTTACTGAAGATCAGTATTCTAACCCGGACCTTCACGGGTCTCACATGAGTTAAACACAAGCATGATGTCACTTTGACAACAAGTTATGTAAATAATCATATTTCATCAACATATGATAAAAATACCAATACATTTCACACAACAAAATATACCGAAAAAGGGTAGTTGTCAACACACAAAAAATATGAAGTAAAACCTCTTCAGTGAGCTGATTGGTCAGCAACAAATTCCTCTGTCCTCTTGGCATATTTGTCAAATAGAAATATTTATATTACTTCCAATTCAGAAAACTATTTCTGGTGTTTCTTTCAAGCTGGTGTAAACTTGTGTATGAACTCAGGGCTAACTGAAAGCGCTATTACTTTCCTCATGTATTTATACACATTTAACACATGTTTCATCATGCTTGGTTAATGCTGGATAATCCAGCATGACCACCGGTCCATCATGACCATGACATACATTGGTGTCAGCTGATAACCTAAATAGTAACCTGCATGATGCAAGTATTGGAAAGACTGCTTAAATGTATACTGTAAATCTTTGAATGAATGCTGGGATTTTCAATATTTCAGACAGACTATAGACATGCTTAACACAGTGTCTATTGGAGGAAAACATCTACTTAAATGAAAATTATGTAAGGCATGTGTTAAAAAAAAGGTGTTTGATTCAAGTGTGGAATCCAAGGTAGCTGAGTGGGTTAGGCGACTGACTTTGTGTGCTGGCGATTAGGTGCCTGACTCTGAAGGTGTGGGTTCGAATCCCAGATAGGGCTCAACCCAACAAAAGAACTAGAATCTTTACTTTACTGAGAAAGTGCACTCCTAAATATAATGTGTTACACTGATTCAAGTGATTCAAATCTCTATTTTTAATGTTTCATAGTTTAAAGGGATATGATAAAATGATCCCAACAGACCGAGTCTATTTTCAATGCATGTATATAGTTTGGTATGCACCTTAAATTTAAATCTAGAATTTATGCAATTCAGGTATTTATTCAAGGACCAGTAAATGCATTTTGGATTTAATTAGAGGATATTGAACATGCACAAGAAACATGCATTACCATTTTTTAATATACATAAGCAGTTATAATGCATTTGTATACAGGCTGACCAAGAGACAATGCTTATTTTGTACAGTTATGAAATAATATTGCTATACAAACAAAAGCCTCCAGCCACATGTGACACAATTAATTGTGTGTCTAATTGTGGTGCTATCGAACTGCATGGGCTATTTAAACATGCTAAAACAATATTTCAAAAACTTTAAAAGTTTATCAGAAAATGTGTAACTTAAATAATATATCATAAATAATTGAAATATCACTATTGTTGAGTAACTATGAATACATTATAATCATAGACCTAGTCTGTAATTTGTCATCATTATTATTTATGTTTCTTTTTTACTGTGAGCATATCTCTAATGAAAATATGTTGACAAACAAACGTCAAAGATTTCATCATCCAGGTAAAACGAAAGTGACAGGTGAATGTAAACTGCCGTCGACAAAGCATCACGCATTCACAAAACAGCCCATTTGTACCTGGTCAATGGTATGTTTTAGGTTTTGTGTCAGTTGTTCATTTTTTAGCGTTTCTTTCGCTTTTTGTTCACTCAAGCCGATGCCAACAAACAGATCCACGAGGTTCGCAGCCATGTTGCCAGTGGTACTATGTAAAAGTTGGACTTCCGGGATATACCAAGAAAACGACTCATGAAAACAACAATCTTGGTCATATGCATGACTTCACCCATACATTTGTAATGATTAACCATTTTAAAGGCACAAAATTCGTGCCATAATATATGATATCAATACAAAAAATATGTAGATGACTGAATGTTAAAATTCCTGGTGGAACAAGCGCCTGACCAAAATGTAATAACCCGGACCAAGAAAAGCCGGGTCAGCGGGTAATACAAAATAGATTGCAGAATATTAAAACGAAACGTGTGCATAGTGAAGGATGCACCTCCAGCGTCCATATATGCATACTTTGCCCAAGTTTGAATCAAAATATTTATCCAACAATGAAATAAAGCGATAACTATGACTACATATCGAGTGTCCCAGAAGAAGAGTTACTGTCTTGATGTTGTCTTTGGCATGTCTGTGTGAAAAGCTACCGCACTAGCTTATGACGTGTGATGCAAGAAGTAACAGTGTTTTGACTCCTTTTCTCTTCTTTCCTTAAATAACTTATTGGGGCTTCCTAATAACCTTTATTGATTCCGTGGTATAATCTAATATATTATGTAGTTAACACATAGTTAACTAGAACCGATATGGTGCTGTCACTTATAGGTATTTCCGATCACTGCAACCATAAGCATTAGAAAACTCTGTTTGGACGATTGCTTACATGCCCAACATCCCGTTCAGCAAAATGTGTCGTGTTATATCGCTACTTCAGCCATACAGTCAGCAATAGTCCGAGTTACCCATGGATTCATTCCGGAGATCAAAAGACGTGTATCTGCTATGGACTGGGAGATGTTCTATCACAGATCCAATTATGTTCTATCCCATGCCCAATAACCTGGAAAAACCAAGGGAAGAAGCATGTCTTCAAAACCGAGACTTATGAACTTTTATCACGGGTGGAGACTGATGCAAGTATGTCGCTGTTCCTCACCAACCACTGCACTGCACAGGGTGTACATTCCACATCTGATATGGACAGAGAGTACACATCACCCACACTGACGAGGGAGGCTCAAAGCTACCCTCTCTCTTATCACGCACCCAGTGAGAACTGAAGAGTGCCCAATGTGTTCCTGCATTGTTCATGGTCTTGTACACCACAGTCTTCACCTTTGTACTAGAGTCTACTGACAGTGTGGTAAGCGCAAGACGAGAAACTATGTGGCTGGACATATTCGGCGGTGTAAATACATATGTTCTGTTGGACAATATAGAACACTGACCGAAGAGCTGCTCGGACGTCATGTATCACACATAATGACAACATACAATTGCTGCTACTGGTTGGACAGTTGGCGTCTGGGATCAACTAGTCAAGTTTCATTCTTTAAAGACTCTAATTAATCTATCATAACATTTCAACACTTACGGCTAACAATTTAAGCTTTTAATATTCAATTTATTTTGTATCTCCAAATCTGGAGGAATTAACTCAACCTACCTACTTACCTACCTCCTTAATTAACCTATTGGGACTTCCTAATAACCTGGGCCGGTGGGGTAGCATAGTGGTCAAAGCGTCCGCTCATCACGCCGAAGACCCGGGTTCGATTCCCCACATGGGTAAATATATTATTTTCAAAGTGCCCTTTCATTCAGGTGGTGCATAATTAATGTTCATGTGTATATAAGTACATCACTGACCTACATGTTTCACAAAGGATAGAAGCTTTAACTACGATTGTGACATACCCTTTATCACAAATTTTAAAAAGAAATGAAAACGGATCAAAACAAACTGCAACTAATGTGTAATGCATATTTTGAACAAAGCGTGCGTTGATTGAAATCAAACATTACAAAACACCCAAAATGCATGAAATACGAGCATATGACAATTATCAAAACACCTTTACATGTCTCTTTGGCAAAGCCTTAAATTCCACTTTGGCTAGGTTCGCATCAACGACATGTGGATAGAATGAAGAAGTACATTTGCACAAACACAAACTTGGTCCAATATGAATGTAAGTATCTTATTATAATATTCATCAATACATACACATTGTGTCCCGGTCATATTAAGTGTTGTGATCCCCGAGCTTTTTGCTGATTACAGTGAAGGGATTCCAATTAAATTTCACCATTATCAATTGTTGGTTTGTCTAATATTTAAACCCTGTATCAATTGACTTCGTAAAGTTGTTATTTCGCAGAAACCCGCCAAAGCCAGAGACACACATAGCACTGTTCGCCATAAGTAAGTTGTCCATGTTTTGGAATGTGTGTACCGTTAGTTTTCATCACAGTGAGTGTCACAGTGGTCCAGTTTTTTTTAGGATATACTCATATGTAATAATTCCCATTCCGTATTAACGTTGTGTCTGCCAGTCGTCAAAATTGAAACTCCATCGAGATGAATTTCTGTTCTGCCCCAAGAGATTCCCATGACGCATTGGGTCACAACAGCAATTTATTTAAGTTTCTGTCAGTCATGGGCGATGCTTATACACATTCTTAGAATTAGAATTTACTCCAGTACAACATATTGAGAGATTTCCTAAGAAAGTTCAGAGAAATCTGATAAATACGGACTCAGATGCAGCCTTTCGCTGCTTTATTCACCGTAGACTCCATTTACACGTGATGCCTGCATTTGATTATTAAATAGCGACCTGTAAAGAATTGTCGGTATCTGATCTGAAAAGGCCACAATTAGTTATTACGCAAACTGTCAGTAGTGTCTTTGAATCATATTTATCCCTACACATAATGCAGAAATATTTATTATTAACAGAGGTACAGATAAGCTGTGTATCTGCGTAAATTACGCAAATATTTATGTGAAAACTCAATTCCTATGAAGTATATTGCGTACAAGTACGCTTGAATTTTTGTAAATACTCAATAAATGTGAGCTTACATTCGTACACACAAAAATGTCAAATCTGAACTTGCGTACATATATAGATAAAATAACTGAGGCATACTGAGAGGTTCTACTTCAGCACATAAACTTGGCAACTTGCAGTCTTTCTTGTCGTTTCTCATATTATAGATCAAATATAAATAACAAACACTAACATTTAAACTTAAATATATTTGTACGATTAATGAAAAATGGCAAAATACCCTATTGAGTTTGAGTGAGGTGAGTACAATTTATTTGGTTACTCAACGGAAAATTAGTATACCCAATTGAGATGATGTTATTTTGTATAGACCCGTGAAGATTCGGGTTAGAATTGATCTTCAGTAACCCATGCTTGTAGCAAGAGGCGACTAACGGGATCGGGTGGTCAGGCTCGCTGGCTTGGTTGACCACACGTCATTGTATCCCATTTGCGTAGATCGATGCTCATGCTGTTGATCACTGGATTGTCTGGTCCAGGCTCGATTATTTATAGACCATTGTATCCGTTTTATAAAAGTCGACATCCATAATATTTCCCCTTTTACTGTTCTTAACAAGTTGGGGAAACTTACCGATCGACCTATAATAGGCCAAACGGGATATTATAGGCCGTTCTGCCTATAATTATGATATTTATCAAATAAATTTGAAGTGGTGCATTTCCGCATGAGGATACTAACATCATTCAAGTTTTGATGTCCTAAGGTTTTCATTCAAACCCTTTTTGAGAAATTTCATCACATGATATAGGAGTTTGGAAATTTCTAATTAAATATAAGTCTATAATATGTTTGACAATTGTCACTGAAAATTCATGACATAGATATTCAGTTTTAGTTTTCAAAAGGAAAATCTATGCAAAATTGTGTTCTTAATGAAACATCTTTTCCTGAACATGATATAAATTTCCATTTTGTCCAAAAGGAGGTCCATTAACTATTCATCTCTATGGTCATATAAAATCATTTCGTGAGGAAAATTGATAGTTTGTGAAATAATTAGAAAAATGTTCAAATATAGCCCGATCGGCCTATAGCAAAATTGGCAGAACGGCCCATAATATCCCGTTCGGCCTATTATAGGCCGATCGGTAAGTTTCCCCAACCTGCTTAATACTATTATATTTACCTTTTTTTACTAGGGGATGTTACATGCGCTGAGATCACGCATACACACTTCGGAGAAAAATAAATAGCGTCATGTAACGCAACAATTACAAATTACTATTACTACTTTTACTTGTAATGCACATGTTGCGTACTGAATATCAAGTGTTAATCTCCTTCGTGCACTATATGACACTTATACACTAATAATTTGTTAAGCAAATATTTGCAGAGAATAAAACTCTGGTGCCGGATGTATGACGGGCCTCGTGTGGATTAGAGAGAGGTAACCTAGAGAGACAGTTGATTAATGTCAGTTTACAAAAACCGCCTGATGAACAGATAACATAGGATATATTGATACTGTGCAAAGATGCGTACTGATATATAATCACTTGTTGGCATGTACTTCAGATACGACTGTAAGCACGGTCGACCAAGCTGTCTCAGGCAACGGAATTTCCTATACAGAATTGTATACATCAGGGATGGACAGGTCGATGAGCATGGGTTGGAATCTCAGTTTGACGTGATTAGGATTGTTGGATTGTCAGCATCAAACCCGTGGTTGTGGGTTTAAAGCAGAATGAAAAACAACGAGACATTAATTTTTATGTGGTAGGTGTGTCATTAATTACAAACTTTTAATACATCCTCAAATGTTAGCTAGCGTAAACATGTTTGGGGCGGGGGAATCGGGACTTGAATCACGTTCAGCTCTAAAGCCACGGAACACGCATTGACATAGGCACTCTTCCCTTTAGAGTTATAGGCTATCCAGGAGTTCAAGTTAAACATTGACAATGTCTGATTTTTATATACAAAGGTTAAAGACAGACAGTTATTTAGAAATATAAACGAGAAAGTCTTTAAACGGCATTTAGCAGTGATATACATAAAGGTGACAATTTATGAATGTCAAATTCTTGATTTGAAAAAAACCCACGACGTTTCGGAGTATATTCTCGCTCCTTCGTACATCCATCAACTCTGGCCTTTATAAACGAAACACTCCATTCTTTTGAACGGCACCACGGCGCTCGATGTCCATATGTACAGTAACACATGTAGGTTGTTTATTCAATACCATTTCCGCTTTATGTGTGTGAAGTTATGATGAATCCTCCCGATTCCCCATCCAGTCACACACACGGTACATTTCCCCGAACAAAACAATACACTATAAACTGCTGAGAAACACCACAGTCGGTAATTGGAGATATAATTAACCACAGGTATGGCTAGCGTCCCTTCTTTCAAGTCTAATCAAAGCCCTAATCAAGGGATTAGCTATTGCGGTACATTACGGTCAGGTTTGATGTTCAAAACAAACATTTCCCCCCGTTCATTATGCTATATCGATTATCTGGTTCATTTATACCTTTGATTTGTAATTCCGCGTCCTTGTTGCAACCACACAACTGATTTTATGTCAACTTAGGATATTAGAGGCTACATCATTTTTGCATTGCTATCAAAATCATTGATTAAAAGAGTTCATTTTGCCAAAAGACCGTTTCCATAGCTGTTTCACGCATTGTCCACTGTTGTTGGAGTAACGTGTACGAGTAACTGCTTAACAAGAAACATTGCTGGAGATGACTTGGCTGGGGGTTACAGTTCTGTCGGTGTTCTTGGTGGAATGGTCCAGTGCTAGAAGTTCTGACGTACAGATGGGGTACTGGAGCAGAAACAAACAGATCAACCACCTGTATCATGACGCGTACAAGTTTCACAAGCTAGACCGTCGGCTCAAGTGTGGCGAACAGTGTCTCAATACAAGGTACTGTACGGGGTTCGCCTATGCCAGAGATGTACATTCCTGTTACGTGTTTGTACACCGGGAATACGACGCCATGGTCAACGGTAACAACTTTACTGGACTTCGACATTATCGGAAACGTATAGGTAAGAAACAGCTGAGTCCTACAAGGGACAACCTTCTGATATTGAAAGTGATAAAAAAAACAACTTGTTTCAGGTTTTAAAAAAATACTTAAGTCACTGACGATGTTCAATGTTCTCAGAAGGTAGTGTCAGTCCTGCAAAGGACGACTGGGTTGGGTTTTCAAAATTGATAAAAAAAAATAGTGTGTCGTGGGTCCTCAAAATTGTTTTTAAAATCTCGTTTTCCTCGTTTCGTTTTAAGTTTTCCTTGGTGCTGTCAGTGTAGAACTGTCTGGAACACGAAAGGTCATCCTTAGCATCACAAGTGATTGCGAATGAAGACTATTATCGCTTGCGATTCGGCAGTTGTCCACCTTTGACTGACTGACGACTTATTAAAATCGTGTATTTTTGTCCCATAAAACTCTTAAGAAGTGAGTGAGTGAATGATTGAGTGAATGATTGTCTGAATGTTGTTTTAAGCCGCATTCAGCAGTATGACAGCTGGATCACAGCTGCCTGTTAATATACAGGCCATTCTACACAAACTAGGGAATGCATGTTGGTGTTGTATTGTTCCACTGTGACAGCTGGATCACAGCTGCCTGTTAATATACGGGCCATTCTACACAAACCAGGGAATGCATGTTGGTGTTGTATTGTTCCACTGTGACAGCTGGATCACAGCTGCCTGTTAATATACGGGCCATTCTACACAAACCAGGGAATGCATGTTGGTGTTGTATTGTTCCCTGATGGGATTCCAGTTTTAACTGGTGTAAGGTGTGAAAACGAACGCTGTGCCCGGAAGACTGCTCTCGTTTGAAAGAAATGTAAATCACGAAAGTTTGAGATTTTACACTGTGTAGCATTTTCTCAATATTTCAGAGATCGATTTGCCTATAAGGTGCATACATTGGCTCAATACATTTAGAATATTCATGGGATTAGTACTGCAGCAAGAATAAGGAAATTAAAAATATTTACAATGCAATGCTTTGGTAAATTCAAAAGAAATTATCAGTTTCCGTACTGCGTAAATGACTCACAAAATCACGAACGACAACAAATTCTGTCTTTTTTTATGCATGTATATCAAAGGGTGGGGTGGAGGTTTGTCTATACACCTTTGTTCTAGTACAAATACTGAAGTACGCAAGTTGTAGTTATGTCCTTTTAGGCTGCTTGTCTTAGAACGAGGTCGGTTATTGACACAGTGACGATCAGTGAAAATGTATGTACGTATTTTGAGAAACCTGTAGAACGAGTGGTACGTTAGTCATGACTCTCGTCAATATTTTTCAGTTTACGAATTTGTATTTTTCGTGTAAATTTGCAGGTTCAATGAAATTTTGAAAGAGTTATTTTCTAAGTGTACAAAACATAATTTGAGTCCATAGACAAATCAAATGCGTTACGTTCCGATCACTAATACTTCACATGAAGTTTTTAATAACCGAAAACATCGACAGGTATATAGAGAATCTCACCCAAGAGTCTACTTATAACAATTTGATCTATATCAACACGAACTGATAAAGATACAAATATAATTTTACTTTTTTTCAACGAGTGGTGATATAATTGATATCAGTAGACACGAGGGTGAGATTCTGTTTATCAGAAAAAATCACTCTTCATTAGTTTTCAATCAAAAATGTACATCTCTGAACACGGTACTACCATTAGACTAGCAGTGCAGCGATGTCACATCATTGTGACGTCATCAAGATCACGACGTCATAGCATTGTCAGGGCATTGTACAAAATCTACTGTCAAAACGATATCTCCCAGGAGATATTTATTGGATATTATAGCTAAAATACACGGAATTATCATGAAACGGCCCTCCTGTTATCAGAAATTTGCTGGCTGCTGCAAATGATATTGGACCGCTCAACCTTAACGACGGGCCACTATCAGTTCTGTTGTCAAGTGACGTCATAGTGGGTGCGTCCTCATTGGCTTTGGACTGGCAGATATTCTGGGTCAAACAAGTCAAAGCAACCCGAATTACCGCTTTAAATAGCGGTAATATTGGCTTTCTTGCTGGTGCTAACCTTAACAATTGCACTATTAACGTTGTTGTTGGATCAAGCCCGAACACTGACATAGTTTGACATGTTGCAGGCTATGGTCTTGTCAAAGGTCAAGGTCGAATATCGTCACTTTCTGTTGTAACGTCACTTGAATTGTTCGATGACGTAATTGCATTCGGGCAGTCAACCCCGTCAGAAGTTGGTTTTGAGTAAACTTACAGTCAAATTTCTTCATTGTTTCCTTTTTCTTTTCAACACAAATTCCATGTATTTTAGCAATAATAACGGTAATGCTATTTTTGAGGGCATTATCATTTGCAGAAGCCCTAGGTCTTTTTCAACTTCCCTCCTTCGTCGGGCAGTTAATGGAAGACCGCGGGCTTCTGCAAATGATAATGCCCTCAAATATAGCAATACCCTTATATCAAACGAGCTTCCCATTTGATATCAAGTTTGTGTCCCGAGTGAAATATTTTGCTTTCCTATACAGAACCGCACAACGCGGATTAATACATCATATTGGTGACTGGAATGCTAACTCCAGGATATGCTGCGTAGAGGCAATGTCGTTCCTTTAACTAGTCAAGAAAATAAACCAATTATGACAGAATCAAGTCTGAATCAAAATTAATTCTTTTCACTTGAGGATTTGGTTTCAAATGCAATAATATAATTCATCAAAACACTTGTAAAGTGTAAACATTTTAAACTTAACTAAATTAAGTGGCCTAAATCTCGCTCGAACGTCAGACGGCCATCACTGTCGGACTAGTCGTCATGCTTAGAACTGTCCAAAAACAAGCAGATAAAAGGACGCTTTAGGAGCGGCACACACAACAGGAAGCCGAAAGTGAATAACATGGAACTGTATGTCTCAAATAGCTCGCCAAAGGCTCGCATAATACACTTTTTATTCCTAATATCTGATATTAATGATAAGGAAACACACTCTGTTAATAATCTCTATATAACACTGGGTCTCAAATGATATTAATGGTAAGGAAACACACTCTGTTAATAATCTCTATATAACACTGGGTCTCAAATGATATTAATGATAAGGAAACACACTCTGTTAATAATCTCTATATAACACTGGGTCTTAAATGATATTAATGATAAGGAAACACACTCTGTTAATAATCTCTATATAACACTGGGTCTCAAATGATATTAATGATAAGGAAACACACTCTGTTAATAATCTCTATATAACACTGGGTCTCAAATGATATTAATGGTAAGGAAACACACTCTGTTAATAATCTCTATATAACACTGGGTCTCAAATGATATTAATGATAAGGAAACACACTCTGTTAATAATCTCTATATAACACTGGGTCTCAAATGATATCTCTATATTAATGATAAGGAAACACACTCTGTTAATAATCTCTATATAACACTGGGTCTCAAAATGATATTAATGATAAGGAAACACACTCTGTTAATAATCTCTATATAACACTGGGTCTCAAATGATATAATGGTAAGGAAACACACTCTGTTAATAATCTCTATAAAAACACTGGGTCTCAAATGAAACACACTGTTAATAATCTCTATATAACACTGGGTCTCTGTTAACAATCTCACACCTTGGGTCTCTGGGAAACACACTCTGTTTAATAAATCTCTATATAACACTGGGTCTCAAATGATATTAATGATAAGGAAACACACTCTGTTAATAATCTCTATATAACACTGGGTCTCAAATGATATTAATGATAAGGAAACACACTCTGTTAATAATCTGGGTCTCCAAATATAACACTGTTAATCTCTATATAAAATGGGTATTAAAATGATTAATGGTAAAGGAAACACACTCTGTTAATAATCTCTATATAACACTGGGTCTCAAATGATATTAATGATAAGGAAACACACTCTGTTAATAATCTCTATATAACACTGGGTCTCAAATGATATTAATGATAAGGAAAAACTCTGTTAATAATCTCTATATAATGGGTCTCAAATGATATTATGATAAGGAAACACACTCTGTTAATAATCTCTATATAACACTGGGTCTCAAATGATATAATAAGGAAAACACTGTTAATAATCTCTATATAACACTGGGTCTCAAATGATATTAATGATAAGGAAACACACTCTGTTAATAATCTCTATATAACACTGGGTCTCAAATGATATTAATGGTAAGGAAACACACTCTGTTAATAATCTCTATATAACACTGGGTCTCAAATGATATTAATGGTAAGGAAACACACTCTGTTAATAATCTCTATATAACACTGGGTCTCAAATGATATTAATACTCTGTTAATAATCTCTATAAAACACTGGGTCTCAAATGATATTAATGGTAAGGAAACACACTCTGTTAATAATCTCTATATAACACTGGGTCTCAAATGATATTAATGATAAGGAAACACACTCTGTTAATAATCTCTATATAACACTGGGTCTTAAATGATATTAATGATAAGGAAACACACTCTGTTAATAATCTCTATATAACACTGGGTCTCACATGTTATTATGTTCCGCATATGTGAAATCCAGGGTCGTTAATACAACAGCACCTAAAGGTACAATGTTGTTGTGTACAGTGAACTGCCCCTCGGACTACACGCTGTCGGAGGACCAGGAGGTGTGTCTGAAGGTGTACACCACCTCCACGTCCCACGACCAGGCCAACTACCAGTGCTGGAGGGACGGCGGACACCTCTACCTCATGGACACCGACTACAAGAAGGACACGCTCCAGAAGCACTTTACAAGTAAACGACTTCTCGTTTAATAAGATAATCCTTTTACAGAACCTAAATGCATTAATTTCTGTTTAGTGCTTGTGTTTCCACACAGGCATTTTGATTGGCGATGACCACGATGGTCATCAACGTCGACGGCAGTGATGATGATGATGATGATGATGACAAACCAAGGATGATAATCATGATTTATGATAGGATCTACACATCTCTTACATTAAATGTTTCCTGGTGTAGGGCATCAATATTAGAAAGATGGGCTGATCGTTCCGGCTGAGTCCTACTTATAAAGTCTTCTAAAAGAAAAGATTATTGATACCGTGAGGGATATGATAGACGGACGGGAGGGTTAATTCTGTGAAATATGCTCATATTAGAGATGGAATGCTACCAAGTGAGTGAGTGAGTGAGTTTAGTTTTACGCCACATTCAGCAATATTCCAGCTATATGGCGGCGGTCTGTAAATAATCGAGTCTGGACAAGACTATCCGGTGATCAACAGCATGACCATTGATCTGCGCAATTGGGAACCGATGACATGTGTCAACCAAGTCAGCGAGCCTGACCACCCGGTCCTGTTAGACGCCTCTTAAGACAAGAAAGTGTTACTGAAGAACAATATTCTAACCCGGATCTTCACGGGTCCGATGCTACCAAATCTACCGTACAGAAGTTCTTTTGTTGCTGATATTCCTGAAATAGTGTTGACAACCCTTCTCATTCGATTAATGATGGGTTTTGTTTCTTTAATTAACACCACTAAAGTATTTCATTTTACAGATTCAATCTACGGTGATTACTTTCTGGGAGCAACACAGAAGGTAATAAATGGCACGTCCAAGTTCCAGTGGGACAATGGAAGGAAGTTATTGTGGAGCCAAAGCGAGACGTTCACCGCCAATGAGGGATGCATCGTCACCCGGCCAGCCTCCTTCCTGCTGAGGGCGTCCACATGCGACGTTCTAGCCATGTTTGTGTGTGAAATCTCCTGAAAGTGGGGCAAGGATGATGTCCATACAAGGACGTGGTAGCATCTAGACGTAACTAATGACCATTGTGTGTTGTAATCATAATTACCTACATTGTGATGATTTTCATTTGAAAACAAACCCATTTTTTCCAAGACGTGGTTGAATACAGTAAGAACTGAAGACTCACATCGTTCAACACCGACTGTACACTGTGTGTGGTGGATGCGAGTGGATCTGGGTCTTCTTTCACGAAGCAACCTTTACTAAGGTTAACCTTAACTCCAATTCTTTAACATTGCCCTAAGGTTACCTTAGTGACTTACGATGACCTTAGTGCTTTGTGAAAGGAGGCCTTGGACTCTGGATTTAAGTACAGAAAGACGCCATATGCATTGTTTCAATGGAAACCGAGTTCTGACCAGGAGCTCGAACATTAAGTAAAGTCTCGCGTGACCTAAATGGTATGACCTAACGGGTGTTCTGTTAATTGGGATCGATGTTTCCTACAGTTGTTTGAATGTTTTGTTTGTATGTAGGCTATTTTAAAAAAATTACTAATAAAACAGCGAATAAACCAAAACAGATGAAGTTTCTATTGAGTTCATCATGGATGCGATGTGTCATATTTGGTTGGTTGGTTTGTTGTTTAACGCCGCACTCAGCAATATTCCAGCTATATGGCAGCGGTCTGTAAATAACAGAGTCTGGACCAGACAGTCCAGTGATCACCATCATGAACATCGACCTTCGCAATTGGGATACGATGACATGTGTCGACTAAGTCAGCGAGCCTGACCACCCTCACCCGCCTGTTACGACATGCATGGGATACTGCAGATCAATTCTAACCTGGATCTTTGCGGGTCGTGTCAAACTTAATGAGATGTTCATGAACATATCACTTGTGTACGTATTCACACGTGTGTATACTAGGGCTGGGACGGGTCAAAAATTTGCTACCCGGGTACCCTAACCCTATTACCCTACCCTACCCCGATACCCGTTATGTTAATTCCTGACATCAAATTTGTAAGAAATGGTAATATATTCTTCAGCTCGGAGGCTACAATTTCGAGTTTTTCAATATCTTAACCATGTATTATATTAAAACAGGTGACTGCACAATTATGTATAAATCTTTAAAGACAATGCAACTTTTTGATCATAAAAGAATAACATATTACATTGTTTAATCTTTTAGTCACATGATCATAACGGGTCCGGGTATTGAGACGGGTACCCGGGTCCAACTCATTACCCACTCGGCCCGGGTATCCGGGTTACCCGTCCCAGACCTAGTGTATACTATAATTGTTCGCATCCTCTGTAAACTATTCTCCAAGATACTGTCCAAATCCAAACAGTTCATGACCTATGCAAGTTATTATTCACCATTGTTCACGTCTCTAAAAACATTGCTTATAACCCCTATAAACCTTGTAACATGTGTTATATTTGGGATTACACTTTCTTAGTAAAGTACAGATTCTAGTACATTTTGGAAAGTGTAATCCCAAATATAACATATGTTACATTTGACTACTTTCTAAAATGGCATTGTGTATTTCATAGCTTTCGGCCGTGGGAGCCGTGTCAATTAACACTTATCAGAGGGGTACACAAAGTCCGCAGTCTAAACTACCAGTTGTTTGACTTCCATGTGGAAGCCGCGGTGGCTGAGCGGTCTAGGCATCTGACTTTGTGTGCTGGCGATTAGGTGCCTGACTCTGAGGGTGCGGGTTCGAATCCCGGATGAGACTCAACTCAAAAAATACTAGAATCTGTACTTTACTAAGAAAGTGTAATTCCAAATATAGCATATGTTACATTTGACAACTTTCTAAAATGGCATTGTGTATTCCCTACAAACCTGAAATTCATTTTCATCTGATCTTAGTTCTCTCTACCGTAAAGTAAGATCCCAGGACCTCACTTGAGGTCACGATATTCCTGCTTGGAAACGGTGCAAGAATCTGTATAGGAACATGTCACTCAAGAAATAACGAAGCTATCCATAAAGCTTGTTCAATATTGCACGACATAAGGGCTTTCTTTGAACTTTGACCGACCGGGGAAAAGATTAACAAAACACGACACAAGTCATTCAGATATCAGCGTTCTCGAGCTACACGACACTAGTTTCAGAATGGTGCCATTCACTCCGGACTTTTGCGGTTTCAAAAATATTTTAATAAAGTTTTAGATTCAAAAACTGAACAAATAAACATTTTTTAATTTCCATGCCAGGAGCAAATTCTCTTCAGTTGAAATGTTTATCCTACTGAAGCAAGAAATAGACCACGATTCTGACAGAATCGGTTGTACAGCCTGCGAGAGTTTACAATATCGGAGTTGCATAATTACCAAACACATTCCGAATGGCACGTTCCTGATCTGGTAAGGGACGTTCTGACGTGTCCCCTTATACGATGTCGCTAGCGATAGCGAGAACTAAGATCTGATTTTAATAAGTCTTGTTTTCGTCCTCTTTAGCTGATGTTCACAATCCTTAATTTGGCCCCGTTTCACAAAGCTCTCGTAGCGCTACAACTATAGTAAGTCAATGTTACAATAGAGGAAGTACGAATGCTACGAGAAAAGTTACGAGATCTTAGGCTTACGAGAGCTTTGTGAAACGGGGCCCTTAAGGTTCGTATTGTTCCCGATCCTTATTCACTTTTACTCAAGGTGCTTGTGCAAGTGGTCAAATCCATTGTAATTTCACGTGCCGCATTCTTAAATACTGATATCATGATTTTGCACTCGATCGTTCAAGTCATAGTCACAGTTGTCAGTGTTAATTAAGTTGTTCACGAAGTCTTTGAACAACTATTGTGTTGTATTGGTTAATTTTAATCTAGAACATGCCACACAAGCGAGCAGGGACGGTGGGGTAGCCAAATGGTCACAGTGTCCGCTCGTCACGCCGAAGAACGGGTTCGATTCCCCACATGGGTACAAAATGTGAAGACCATTTCAGGTGTCCTCCGCCGTGATATTGTTGGAATATTGCTAAAGGCGGCGTAAAACCGTACTCACTCACAAGCAATCAAAGTAGGATATTTCTAAGGACATATATGTCATGTCAAAATACAGTCGTCTCCATACATAATACACTTGTCTCAGTGAGTTAATTGAACAGAATAATCACGTTAATTACTGCTGTCAATAGCTATCAACACGGCGCTACGAATAATTACGCATCACGTGTTTACACAAAGCACCTTCAAGTGTCCAGACAGAAGCGTCCCGTTACAACCAATGATGTAATTATCTAACGGCAACGTTGGGATTCTTGTGCATTATTAACCTATGATATATTCCTAAATATCTTTCGTGTCAAAGGGCGCTGATATCGCGAAATGCACGTACGTTACCCGGGTTTCACAATAGACATGATAGCGCCTGATGAGGTTGTGTCATCAAATTGAAATTCCTCATCAAGCAATGTTTTAGTTTTTATCACAAGGCTTCTGACAGGAAATCCTATTGATCTGCAGTGACATTTGATCACATGACATTTACGAAGTCGTGTATATATGAGTAACACAGACGCGTATCCTGTTCAACAATGTCGTCGCCGACCATAAGACACATCAGGACTATCGCCAAAATCAAAATGGCCGCCAAGAAGCCAAGCGATGGGAAGACCCATGTCGTTGGGCATGTTTTCAAGGATTATGCTCAGAGAGCTACAGTTCATGGGATCCCGCAGACGGTTGGAGCTACTAAATACTGCGGTCAACGGTAAGGGAACTCGTAGAACGTGTGCATATGTGTGCGTGGAATCTCCCATAAATAGTTAACTTAACTTTGACAAAAAGGAAGATTTTAACACCTGCGGAGTTTATTCCTTACTTTAGAAAATGGCAAGAAGGTTATTGTGTCTCGCGTTTCAACAATCAAAAATTGTTTATGAAATCGTTGAGTCTTATTATAAAATCAACAAAATCTTTCATTACAAAATGGCTTTCATCGTAAGACATAAGCACATGAATACATTGTTGTGACTTAACAAGAGCCACCTTGTGTAATGGACGTCAGTCATCATTAATTACCATGGATTCGCAGACGTGATGGAATGTGACATTTGACACATCATCTACACTTTTCGTTGTTTTGTTGACAAATTCAAGTTTGAAGCTGAAAGAATGTATTTCAAACCCATACAGTTTTATAAGACAAAATATTATGGATGTCAACTTCTTGTTTAGAAGTTGACATCCATAATATTTTGTCTTATACTTGAATACCAACTTCTATATGCCTCTCAAGAACCTTATCATACTGTTTTGTTTCATATTGATAAGAGGTGACTATTTTGAATTTAAGGTAATTACCAATTTGTTTTTCCGAAATAATAAGTTGTAACTGTGCAAATAAAATTATAAATGATAATATAATAAAGTATGATAACATAATACTTGTCTAGATTTCGCTTTTGACGAGTATACGAACTGACCAAACACCTGAATACGGCGTGAAGATCCGGGTTAGAATTGATCTTCAGCAACCCATGCTTGTCGTAAGAGGCGACGTAAGACGATCAAGAGGTCAGGTTCACCGACTTGGTTGACACATGTCATCGTATCCCATTTGCATAGATCGATGTTCATGCTGTTGATCACCGGATTGTCTGGTCCATACTCGATTATTTCCAGCCTTATATATGTAGCTGGAATATTGCTGAGTGCAGCGCTAGACAACAAACCAACTGACCTAGATTCACGTTGGCAACATGATGTCATTAAACGACACATCATGGGTGTTCAGGTGTCTAAGCTTGGCAATTCGCTATACCGAGTTCCGTCCCTTCGACGTTCCAGGATCCGATGACTGTCGTATCTACCTAAAGACCAATAGTAACGACCGACAGGGTTTTTAGTACAATTCTAGCTTTTTTCACAGAAGGGAATGTCAAGAACTGCACTCATTCTACGCATGCGTGAAATCAAATCATGGAGTTACGATGCTGACACTAATCGTTTTGGCCTCGGAATACAGCCTGCGATTGGTAGTTAAAGCATCAAGTGATATTATGTTTGAGTCACCGAGAGCGTCACCGGTTTCGTTTTCTGTGCTGGTTTGCGATTTGTTTTGTGTTGCATTTCATCAAACAAGGAAGACTTTCCGACGCACCACATCATATCTAGCAGCAATGGAATTTAAATATAACGAATCTATTGATTTTAAGAAATGGGTTTACAGCACGAGGCCATGCTATAAATAGCACCAAAATTGAAAAACCGTATATGGGTGAACAGCTGTCGATATGGAAGCTTTCCTGCAGTTCGTTGAAAGTAGTCCTCTACTTAACGATAAACTAAAGCACTATCATCGATGATTCGACCCTGATGCCTTTTACCAACTGTACGCATTAATTTGCTGAAATATCTCTAGGGGAGTGGGGGTAGCCTTGTGGTTAATGCGTTCGCTCGTCACGCCGAAGACCCGGGTTCGATTGCCCTCATGGGTTCAATGTGTGGTCCTATTACTAGTGCCCCTGCCATGGTATTGCTGGAAGATTGCTAAAAGCGGTGTAAAACCAAACTCACTCACTGAGATATCTCTTCTTACTCTTCTTCTTCCAGCATCATCAGCATATTAGGCGACACCATTTTGAATTCAGTCACGAGTTAATACAAACAGTAAACATACACGCATGCGTGGATTCGCTCGTAGATGGAATCGTAACTACAAACGGCGTGAGTTTTGAGCCTCGGTAAAGATTTGTTGAGCAATATCATTCATATTGTGTTTTTTAATTCAGGTTCATATGGCTGGTTCTTCTCCTGGGCTTGGCCATATCTCTGACTATTGTCGTCAGTGTGCAAATGACGGATTACTACACGTACCCCACCGTCATCAACATGGCGGAACGTCCGTTCGACGAAGACGACTTCCCTGCCATTACATTCTGCGATCCTCCTCCACTCAGTCCATTTTCCTTCCTGGACAACGACGACGATGACAACGACGACGTGAAGGTCTTCACCCTCTTGCGAACGGGGCCCCTTGCGCCGCATGGATGTCTGCACATGCGTGGTTCAGAGGAAGCGGAAAGGGGAGAGTGTTTGCTGACTCACAGCCGGAACAGCGTCCGGATGAAACTGATAAAATGTGGTTGGAACAAGCTGCAGTCCAAGGGAGTATGTGATGAATATATCTACCCCACCACAACAACTGAAGGGTCGTGTTTGACCTTGAATTCATCACGGAACAGTTCCAACAGCGTGGGACAGACCTTGACCTTTAATGTCATCATTGAACTGGATAGCTCTGTGACCAGCATTGGCCAGAGGGACGGGATACAGGTAACTGCCATATCTGTGACATCTGAATTAAATACCCGTGAAGATCCGGGCTAGAATTGATCTTCAGTGACCCATGCTTGTCGTAATAGGCGATCAACGGGATCGGATGGTCAGGCTCGATGACTTGGTTGACACATGCCATCGTATCCCAGTTGCGTAGACTGATGCTCATGCTGTTAATCATCGGATTGTCTGGTGCAGACTCGATTATTTACAGACCGCTGCCATATAGCTGGAATATTGCTGAGTGCGGCGTAAAACTAAACTCACTCACTCACTCTGATATAAATACAGAATCATTTCAAATATGTGATTGATTTAGATCTGCCTACCAGGTATAATAGTGAGTGAGTGAGTTTTAGTTTTACGTCGCTTTTAGCAATATTCCAGCAACATCAAGGACGGGGGATACCAGATACATGCTCCACATACTGTACCCATGTGGGCAATCCCGAACCGTGCTTTACCCGTGACGAGCGAACGCTTCAACCACTAGGCTACCCTACCGTTCCCGGTAGATACCAGAGCTCATATCATGGATGTTTTAAGTGAGGGTACACGTTTCGTATTCCTAGTCTGTATCAGTCTGTCAAAAAACGACCTGAGGGTGAATTTCGCCTGTATTTCACAGTATAATATAGGATATTTTGTTCTTATGTAATGTATGGCTAAGAAGCAGTTCAACCCAAGAATAAAACCTACGCGAACAAGTATTGTGTAGACAGACCAAGGGCCTACCTAAGTCGGTGGGCGGTGGATATGCGGCTCCTGGCACGGCTAAGGGGTGTAACTCTACGCCTTTGGCCTCTGTTTTATCTGCGCTCCCTCTTCAAGCATTCGGTTTGTAAGAGAGAGTGTGAGGGTCAATATTCCTATCTAACAAAATAAACAGCTATATTACACCACCCGAGCCATTGCGGATAATATAAACAGCAATTCAATATCTCGATATTTTTCCATTAAAATGATTTTTCAGTAAACTAAAAAGTCAGTTTGAAAGTTTTAGAAATATGGAAGGATGCTAAAATACCATTCAGGAGATTCGGCTTAATAACTCCACTATGATACAACGGGGTTATTTACTGCAGACAATCGCCAGTACATACTGGTACAGACTCGTCCACTATCGCAATAGCATCTCTTCCATAGCTCCACTGTATAAGTATGTCATTACAAGTATCAGTATAGCAGTAGTACACATAATGTAGCCTACAACTGATTGTGATCGTCATGGTTATGCTGATCAGCTTTGATCACTCTATTTAAACAGATGTCGTGGGCTTAATACTCCCTGTCGTCTATTACTGCCCTTTTCATAACTGACTTCATCTCATTGTTGCTTTGTTCCTATTCAAAAAAATATCAACTTCAGAAAAAAAGTCAATTCAAACAAGAAAATGTCGACAAAAAAATGCCTAAAAGGTCAGTTTGCTATCAACACCGGATGGATTTCCGGAAATGAATAGGTCGATCAGTACCTATGTTCATCGTAATAACACTATTTTCAAAGGTTTCTTATGCAATTATGTGCTTCAGCTTAAACAATTTAATGTAGGCATTGCATAATTACAGAATTATAATAGACACTGTCACAATTTCGACCTAATTTATCAGATAGTATCGTTTACGTGGCTTATGTCAATTGAGGTCATGGCCCAGACTGTGACCAGGTTTGAATTGACATCCTTCAAACTAGAACCTTTAAAAATAAAATACTTGGCAAATGGCACCGGTGCGAAGTCAAAACTATCAGAAATATGTATAACTAATATGCAGGGTTACATCTTGCTTGACCTGGTGAAGTCATTCTAATTATGTTAATGGTAGATGTTACACGATGCGTTTTGCCACCCATGTTATGAGTAAGTGAGTGAGTTTGGTTTTACGCCGCTTTTAGCTATATTCCGCCACTATCACGGCGGGGGACCCCAGAAATGGGCTTCACACATTGTACTCATGTGGGGAATCGATCTCGGGACTTCGGCGTGACGAGCGGAAGCTTTAACCACTAGGCCACCCCACCGCTCCCACCCATGTTATGGCCTTACATGGAGTTTCGTAAATGAATTTAGAAACATGAAATTAATTAGCTTCAGCAATTATGTCATATAAGTTAAAATGTGCTAACATTGGTTAGCCAAGGTTTACTTTGGGTTATACGTTGGTCAACCCTGGTTCACCTAGGTCGTCCTGGGTTTGAAAAAATAGAATTTAAGATTGGCGTTCAGCAACAATAACAACAATACACACGCGGACATGTACGCACACAGGTTTCAACAAATTGACACTCCCGTCATAGAAATGAGCTCAATGTGATTAATAATCATAACAACTGATAACAACACTTCTCATCTCTTCGTAACATGCTATTCCGAAGGCAGACAACCAGCCTCCACATACAATATCTGCAGGGCTCCAATGCAGTGCATGAAACATTTTATACAGTGCTGACAGATGATACGTCGCTGTCAGGAATAGAGGAGCCCCGTTCCCCCAGACACCTCATATCAGAACACCCCGCCAACTGGAGAACTGTTTTGTTTTGTTTTCATAAAGCCAGACCAATTTTATTTCTTGTTTTACGGATTTTTGACCTCAGAAAACCTAAAGGCAGGAGGGAAAAAAAATAAAAATAAAATCACCAGTCAAAGTAATATTCCTTCTAAATACCCAAAGTATTTTACTTTTGGCAATTCATGAAATGTATATGGAGCGAAAAAAAACAATCTAAAATTTAAATTTTTTTTGTAAGTTTACAATTTTGGCCAATAAAAACATTAGGATTATGTTTTGAGCGGGGAAAATTAATTAATCTTTTTTTCTTATTCTTGAAAAAATACACAAGAGATAAAATTGGTCTGGCCTAAGGACGGAAAATACAAATTCATATGAAATGTTCCGTGCATGTAATTTGTACTGAGATCAACAGTGTTGATAGTTCTCTAAAAAAAATTTATGAACATTTCGAACCCTTGAATGCTATGAAGATATTTACTTTTTAATAGTATTGGTAAGCAAGGGGTGAACATATACAGTCTGTGAGATGATAACGCAATGCACGATGATCTGTGGACTGGGCTAAAATAATTTGTAATAGATATTTGTATGTAATATAAACATAGAAACTTACACGAATTCCTGGACTTCGATGTGAAGGATTAATGTTGATCATTATAATTTACTTCAGATTGCCCTTCATCCCAACAACGAGTACCCCTTCCCTGACGTGAAGGAGGCACACTTCATTCCAGCTAACTCCAGCTGTATCGTCAAGTTTGAAAAAACTACGGTAAAACTATGGAACTCACTATTGATGTCCGCTATCGTCATGTTGCTGGATTTCTCTTTTTGCTAAATTAATGGATATCTAGAGACACTGGCTGCGTTGACTTATTTTTCGCTGTGATATTATTGTTCCAATGGCAAAAGAACTTCATTTTAACACAACTCGTAATGTTATTGAGAGAAATAAACTGACGAGCTAAAGAAACGTTACCACTTTGAAATTGAAATCATCAAAAAATCCAAATTTAGTTGCAATCACCATCACATGAAAACACATCGACAGATGCAACAATGAGTTTTCCACTTGGAAATAAGGCATGCAGTCCATACGTTTTCACCATTTTGTCCAAATATGGTTTGCATGTTTCTTACGCAAAGCAAAAAAAATTAAATACCAAACGGGTATAAAACCAATGCAAACGGGTTGTCAGACATTCATTCTATTAAAAAAACCATATCACCAAAAGAATGTCTCGATTAACTTTGCGGCAACCAGATCGGGAGATCGGAATGATCGAAATGGGAACCTCGCACGTCCACGTTGCAAGAACGCTGACGTCAGACAGGCCACGTTCAGGCAGACCTCGAGTCACAACGCCCCAGGGGGGGGCCAGGGTCCCGTTTCACAAAGCGATCGCAGCGCTAAGGTAACTCCCATACTTTAACATAGACTTACGACAGTCGTAGCGCTACGATCGCTTTGGGAAACGGGCCCCAGTATCTGCGCACACTGCATCTCAGAAACCGCTTCCTGGCGGTGACGTCATCAGCGGCGCATGGCTTGGGTCACCGTGTAAGCCGATACACAGTAGCCAGGTGACTGAGGTCCTGTGGAATCCGGGCTTTACAGACCTTTCCGGGGACAGCAGTTGACAGCCGAACATCGTCGACGGAGACTTAGAGGGGCCCGGACAGTTCGACGTTGGCAGCGACGTGAGTGGCAGAAGGTGCTATTCTCGGATGAAAGCCGCTTCTCTCTGTTCATTGTGTTTCATGGATCTGTCCTTTGTGATTATTTCACAATAGGGTTGCGTTTCTTTAGTCCGGCAGTTTAGATTGATTCCTTCACTAAAACTAAACTGATTTACCAAACGATTTATTCATTTGGTGTTTTGGGATCATGTATAGTCCCGTCGTTGTAAGCCATAATGAAATAGTCTTCAAAATATTTTCGTTGTTTTTGTTGTTTTACTAATCCCCAAACTTCACGGGTTTTTTTTGTACGTCAGTGTTTATACTTTGTTCGTCTGTAGAGACACTCCCTCGGTCCGCCGTACAAGGATATGCTTGGGGGCAGGTGTTTCCCTGACCAGGAGGCCGACCAGCGGTCACTCTACCGGTACCCGTACTACAGCCAGAAGGCGTGCCAGAGGGAGTGTCTGGTCAACTACACCTCGGACCAGTGTGGATGTAGGTTCTACCTGGATAGAGGTGAGCTCACGTGGGCAGGTGACATGGGGATTAAACTGATGTTCACGTCTGTTTCACTATGTTGGTTGGTTGTTGTTTAACGCCGCACTCAGCAATATTCCAGCTATATGGCGGCGGTCTGTAATAATGAGTCTGGACCAGCCAATCCAGTGAACAACAGATAAGCATCGATCTACGCAATTGGGAACCGATGACATGTGTCAACGAAGTCAGCGAGCCTGACCACCCGATCCTGTAAGTCGCCTCTTACGACAAGCAAGGCTTACTGAAGATCAATATTCTAACCCGGATCTTCACGGGTAGTTTCACTTTGTGTTTTCATAGCGACGTTGTATGTGCTAGTCTGGACTAGTTGACCATATACTGCTAAACACACTGACACACTTCAGCTTTAGCTTTACACCTTATACTGACTTCGAGACGACCAGCCCTCATTATGTCCCCGAAATACCAAGCGCATATCAGGGTAACACGAAGTACAACCTTCAAAAGCCTTTGGCAATACGCACAAGGTTCTGCCGACTACCCGAGTCCGGTTATCAGGACAGACGCTCCATCCACTTGACCTACCCATGAAGATCCGGGTTAGAATTGATCTTCAGTAACCCCTACTAGACTAAACTCACTCACTGTCCTTTGGACCTTAGTGGCTGCTTCGTGATTAGATGAGTGAACTATAGATAATCTGCCACTTCGACATCGGGCGTTTTAAAGACCCGACGTACTAAGAAAGCGCGATCCTGTAAGCCTCGTTTGGTACCAGGGCTTTGGTTGAGCATAAGACACACATTGTTGTAGTTGATAAGGGCGGTTGTAGGTACAACCTGGATGAAGAATGGTACTAGATAAAAACAATTGAACAATAGTGAGTGAGTGAGTTTAGTTTTACGCCGCACTCAGCAATATTCCAGCTATATGGCGGCGGTCTGTAAATAATCGAGTCTGGACCAGACATTCCAGTGATCAACAACATGAGCATCGATCTGCGCAATTGGGAACCGATGACATGTGTCAACCAAGTCAGCGAGCCTGACCAACCGATCCCGTTAGTCGCCTCTTACAAGCATAGTCGCCTTTTGTGGCAAGCATGGGTTGCTGAAGACCTATTCTATACCGGATCTTCACGGGTCAATTAACCACCGCGGATACAGATAACAGTCATTAGACATGTTGATAATCTGTTGACGTTTAAGACTACAAAGCATGCCAGAAATAAACACTTGTTATGAAAACTAGTGTGTGACTGCATGCCTGCTTGTACTACACAGGAAGCGAGGACCTGTGCTCAGCTGGTCAGACATGGCACTGCTTGGAGAACAGCGGTCAAGGTCAGTGCTTCACTCAGAAGTATCTCAATTTACATGTGTTCTGCAGCTAATGATAAACACATTCATAGATAATAAATACAGTATGTATTATTGTAAATTTGTAAACTGAAATAGGAAAGCCTGTTTTGTCATACCGACTATCGACATTTCAGATTTCTATGGCAACAAGAGCTCTCAGTGTGACTGTCCGTCTCGGTGTACTCGTGTGGAGTATGAAACGTTTGTCTCGTGTACCCCACTGACGTAAATATATTTAATTTTTACATTTGAAATAGAGGAAGTGCTCATTCCTAACATCTTTTGTTATAGTTTTTACATATCAAGTTAAGAACTTTTATTCCATGGCTGTGACCCTTCACCAACAGTTGGGTTAAGTGTATATCGGGAGGGTCTTATGTGATCATGCGGACAGGAACTTAATGAACCTAATGAACATATATATATCATGTTCCAGTCACTCTTAAAGCGATTGTATCATACTCTTATCAAGCAGCCAGTGAAACTACCCATGAACGCTGCCACCCCTAAACACCGTCACAACTGGTTCATAATCTGAAAATTGTCAATTTGTAGACAGGTGCTGCATGAAGCAACTCTATTCCCAAGAATTGTCCAGAATATATATTTGAATGTCGAAGTTCTGATGTGACAAGGACAGCGTGAAAGTAGTGAGTGAGTTATGTTTTGCGCCGCTTTTAGCAATATTCCAGCATTATTACGGCGGGAGGCACCAGAAATGGGCTTCACTCATTGTACCCATGTTGGGACTCAAACCCGGGTCCTCAGCCCGACCAGCGAACCGCTAGGCTACCTTTCCATCCCTTGTAAATAGTGCCTGTAGTTATCTCCATGAAATAAAGTTCTTATTTTACACCGCAGTCAGCAATATTAAAAAAAATATGACACCAGACTGTCAAAGACAGGCCTAGAATAACAGCAGTAGCGAGGTATAGGTGATATGTATGCACCCAGAGCAGGACAAACAGCGCGAAACTATTAGCTCATTTGAGTCACTGTTGCTTTTAACAGTTCAATCCACGCCTCGGCTCCAATGGTGCATCTGACGTTCTTGCAGTCAGGACCGCTGAAGATGGAGATCGAGCAGATACCCGTTTACTCGGTTGAAACCATACTGGGTAAGAACCATCTTCGACACACAAGGGAAGTATTGGTCATAGGCCTCAGGCTATGTTATCGGGAATTTCGTTTTGGTTTGGGTTGTTCGTTGTTTTACGCCGCACTCAGCAATATTTCAGCTATATGGCGTCGGTCTGCAAATAATCTAGTCTGAACCAGATCCAGTGATCAACAGCATGAGTTTCGAACTACGCAATTGGGATACGATGATATTTGTCAACTAATTCATCAAGCCTGACCATCCGATCCCGTTAGTCGTCTCTTACGACAAGCATGGGTTGCTGCAGCCTGGTTCCCTGGGTCTGTTGCGCCTGCGCTACGCTCCGACAGCGCAGGCGCAACAGACCCAGGGAACCAGGCTGGGGTTGCTGAAGACCAATTCTAGCCCGGATCTTCACGGGGAGTTTAGTACGATAAGTTACATACGGTTTCTTCACGACTGGGGCAATTAATACTTGACTCATCTAACAGATTAACATCCACTCAGTGATTTCTCAAATATCTGTATCACACCGCTTAAACGGTACTGTAGTCATATCAGATTCTTGAGGGGCATTTAGAAGTTGGTGAATACACCGTATTATACAATAAAGAAGTTGCCATCTATATACTCGTCTTATATGTAGTTACATCACTGAGTAATATTTTGGAAACAACAACGACCTTTGAATGATTACCTCTTATTGCACAGAGTTGCGTCCCTTAGCCGGTTCTCGTGATTTGAAATCCAGTTCCACCACCTTTATATGTCTCTGGATTAGTCAGCAGCATACACTTGGGGCGCGTTGTTCAGCAAAGGTTTGCAAGCTTCGCTGCGCTACGCTGCCTGTTTTCCCGCGCAACGGACTGCTGTGTGGGCGCTTCATTCAATATGGCGTCGTCCTATGCAACACATCACCGATACTAGCCACACTTTTGGAGCACGAATCTGCAGAAGATATTCCATGCAATGATTTTGAATTGTATGCGCAACAACTCATGAGAAGACACTCTACACTACATTTGGAGAGCTTTTTACCCCTTTGTGACCAGAATGCGTCCCAAAGTCAAAGATCTACTGTCAACATAAAGAATTACATTGCCGTAACGCCATTTTGAATGTCGCTCGCTTACGCGGGAAGCACCTCGCTGCACTCCGAAGCGCTGCGATGCATGCATCGTGGCGTTGTTCAGCCAATAGAAGCGCAGCGCTGCACAGCGGATCGGCTAAACAACGCCCCCTTGGTGAACGCTTAGGACATGCTTCACACTGCCTCACTCTAAACCGACACTCCCTAATATGACAGACATACTGGTCATAGCGGAGTTAAACCCAACTCACTCACTTACTCACATCTATTTGCAGCTAACATCGGAGGCCAGATCGGGCTGTTCATGGGCTTCAGCATCGTGTCCATGGTGGAGATTCTAGAGGTCGTGGCCATCATGCTGTTGACCCTGGTCACCCCCAAGGTCGCGCAAAAGGTGGGGAAGGGCGAGAAAAAGGAAATCAAGGAGGATGATGGGAAGCTCGAGGCACAAAGTGGACATGGTGACCACACACTATGAGTGACATTAAGGTTGATAGATAGATGCTGCAGTTGTCACGATGGCAGTTACGTCATGAGTGTACGACAAGGACACTGCACTGATGAATGTACTTGAAGAGCATCTGTGCATTCACAAATCGCCCAGACGTTTATTGTGTCACAAAAATGTATCTGGAGCGGACAAAACTGTACTTGCAACGGTTGCCATTCAGTTCCTTGATAGAGCAAAGAAAACGATGGTGATGTTTTTGTTTATGACTATGTTTGCGTTTTGTATGGGATTGAAATTTTGGCCCTGTTTTGGATCGAGTGGACCCGGTTTGCGCAGCCATATTCTCATTGGTTCAGGATCTCTATACCTATTTGTTGTTTAAAAGACAAAATAGTCCTTTGATAATTTTTTAAATCCGAATATGAATTTGCTGGTACTCGTGAAAATAAGACGGTGACAACATCGTCATTTTGGCATGTAAATGAAACTCAATGTAGATTCTGCTCGCAACCAACATTGTATACAGTATTAAAACGAAGAGCTTCAGCAACGCGATGAATATATCCCTGATGATCCAGCCATTGTCGCTTGTAAAACCCGTGGATCCTGCAGGAGGACCTTTCATGTGACCTGGGGCAATTCAGTACCATGAAAAGACTATCTAAGAAGGGACATAGTTGCCAATCACATTCATGCCAAGATTATTTTTCTTTCCCAGGTTATTATTTTTCCTATGTTAGCAAGTATTTTCCAGACTTATTCTTATTGGTTATGCCAACTCTTCAAAAACTAAATGACTTTTGATCAGCTGGCTTGTTGTTTTACGCCGCATATAGCAATATTTCACATATATGACGGCGTTCTGTAAATAATCGAGCCTGGACCAGACAACCCAGTGATCTACAGCGTGAGCATTAATCTGCACAGTTGGGATACGAAGACGTGCTTATAACCTTCCAACCGTTTGACAGTTCATTGATGATGATGATGATGATGATGATGATGATGATGATGACGATGATGATGGTTTGGTGTTTTACGTGCGCTTTCCGACATGATGCATATTTTGCACAGAAGTTCTGTCTCCTTTGAAGACTTTTGGAGATTGGCGCCACCTATGACAGGTCTCTTTGACAGGAGCCATGCGGTGGTAGTATTCAAACGAACGCCAAAAATAACATTTCGACACCTGTCCATACTGCCTTGACAAATGTGAAACCTTGACTTACAATTCAAATGTAAAACCTCACAGGTCTAACTTGATTGTAGTTTCTATCACAACGTTAATATGAAATAGTTTTAAATCAGGAACACTGCAATGACGTGAGTGAGTTTAGTTTTACGCCGCACTCATGAATAGTCCAGCTATATGGCGGCGATCTGTGTTTAATCGAGTCTGGACCAGACAGTCCAGTGATCAACAGCATGAGCATCGATCTGCGCAATTGAGCATCGATCTACGCAACTGGGATACGATGATATGTGTCAACCAAGTCAGCGAGCCTGACCGCCCGATCCCGTTACTCACCTCTCACGACAACCATGGGTTACGGAAGAACACTGCAATATAAATCACGGTAGGTATATTAATAGCTAAACAAGACACTTTAAGGTTCACGATGTAGCGAGACGTCTATCATTAATTAGAACTCTAGCTTCATGTGTAGTTTAACGAATGATACGAAACTCTTTTATAATATCTTAGGAACGATTTACTGTACATAAACGAATACATATACTGCACATGGCAGCATTGATTGTTTATCAATAATACACACAATAATAAACAATATATGAAAACCTAGAATGTCTTGGTTTGTTTATCCTACTGGGCCTGATTAGACGCAGATGCTTGCATCAAGTTTAGACAACATGAACAAAGATAACTTCTCTGAGAGGCATTATAGAAGCTGGGAAGTACAAAACAGACAAACGTTAAGGACAACAACTTCTTTCTTACCGCGTTTCGATCAGATTTTTTTACCGTCGTCAAGCAGAATGACAACGGTGCAAGAATCTGTATCGAAACGTCGCACTCTGGAAATAAAGAAGTTGTTATCCATTAAGTTGGTCTATTTTGTTAGAAGAAAGATGTTTTTTTATCACAAACCGGCCCTATTTCGTTATATATTTTTATGTTTAAATTGCTTGTATTCCAATGTTCCAACATTGCACTATTTGATGTTGCCAGTTGTCATTTTTCAGTTTTCCACTTATATCATACAGTGAGTGAATTTAATTTTACGCCGCACTCAGCAATGTTCCAGCTAAATGGCGGCGGTCTTCAAATAATCAAGTCTGGACCAGACAATCCAGTGATCAACATCATGAGCATCGATCTACGCAATTGGGATACGATGACACGTGTCAACGAAGTCAGCGAGCCTGACCACCAGATCCCGTTAGTCACCTCTTACGACAAACATGGGTTACTGAAGATCAATTCTAACCCGGATCTTCACGAGTCAATCAGGGCAAGTCAGCTTGATGTAGGAGGAAAGATGGAAATGATGCAGGACTTAGATGTTTACCACTGGCAACAATCTCTTGCCCACAGGCGTGTTGCTTACAAACATAGAGAAATATATATAGGGCGAACCAGGATTTGAAGCTGTAAGTTTCTGGTTTGCAGGTTTCTGCATTTCCCAGGCCACCCTTGCCCTGGCGGTTCCTAAACCTAGGAAGGTTCGTTTGTACCAATATGTGATTGTTGTAACAGATTACGACCTTTCCATATTACTCTATGCATGCACACTATAGGAGGTATTCCTTTCAGAATAGTTGAACAACACATGCACCCCTTTTCATGAAAAATAGATTTGAAGCGATTTTAAGTATGACAGTGTAAGGACAAGAAACCAGTGTATAAAATAGTTTTGAAATGTCGCCGTCCAAGGACTGGCTGTCCAAAAGAGTGACCTGTCTTGAACAAACACAGTCAGTCCCCCAAACTAAAACTCTTCATTCAAACCAAGTTAAGGTTAGGTTTTTTCAAATATTTCCCCATACCAATGGGCGGCCTTACTTATGTAAGAGATCGTCCTTCACAAAATAGACGTCAAGGATGGTGGGACGGGCTATATTATATACACTGCAAGAAACCCTGAAAACAGTATAGGAACACTGCACTTCCGTGTGTTCCTTTATTTGTTTCTATGAGTATATATATATTGGAAAATAATCCCAAAGTACCAATTGTGTACTTTCTTTTCTATGTCAGTTTATAAAACTTTAAAAAAAAACAGACAAGAAATATTTTGATTATTTTAATCAAATAACTTAATTCAGCATCACTGGAAACATTTGTACATAGACAATTTTGTACTGAATAACAGTTACAGCTCAGTGAAATCTTTGATACAAAACAACCACATTGCGCTTGAAGCACATTGAAGATCACACTATTTCCTTCTTTCATATAAACATACAGTTATATCACCTTTATTACACATACAGAAACAACATAACATAAATACAATGTGTCCTACATTCATGAAAAAATAACAACCGCTAAATGCTGATTAAGGTCATTTTATCATGAACTTTGTCTGATCATGAAGATACACTGTACAGAAGCGCTCAACACAGTCCAATAGGTTTTGTTACCAAGGTTCGTTATTAAAGCCAGTTGCTTCATGATTACAGATACTGGTTAACAAATGGCAATTTTAAATTGGCATCATTATTCAGACATTATTTTGATGACAGGAATGTTCAATTTTCTAACCTCACCCTATTAAAGCAGGTCTGTCAACATGGTAGGTCAGTCGAAGTAGTAGACTCCTGCTGAATGAGTGAGTGAGTGAGTGAGTTAATATTTAACGTCACATCGGCAATATTCATGCTGAATGATGTACACATGATGAATGATGAATGATGTACATACACATATTGTCAGCAATTACTATGAAACAATAACTTCCTATGGGGTTTATACATATATATCACAGTGACACACATATCTATACATGCCATACTTTCTGTACTGTTTACAAAACATCAATTTCAACAATATCATGTAGGTGATTGCACACTGAATCCAACGGCACCCAATGAGTAATTTCTGGGTACCAGTGACATGGTACATCTGAATTGGTCCTCACAATGACCAAGTTTCTTGATAGTTTGTTTACATGATTTATTTTAATGAAAAAAAAATGACAAGACAATGTTCATGGAATCCAAGACTTCTACATCAGCATGGTTCTTCACTACTATATACACAGCGTCCTTTAAGTATTCGTTGCTTCTAAATGTGGTATTGTTTCGAAGTTCCCTTGACTATTGAATATGATTACACATTTGTATTTTTTGGTTGTTTAATGCTGTGGTCTATGATGTTCCATGTATATAGCAACAATCTGTAAATAATTGAATCAAAAAACAGATATTCCAGTGATTGACGTCATGAGCATCGATCTAGAAAGTTGTGACACAATGAAGTTTCAAACAAGTCAGCAAGCATGGTTTCCCTATCCTGTTATCATTTCTATTACACACCTTTACAGTTATTGATTCCAAGACGCATTTGTGACCAATTAATGATTAACAAAACAAACGAAAACAATCATTTAACATTTCTTGTTACATATTTTCCAATAAAAAGAATAGCAATCCATATATTGGTCAAGTCAGGACCCACTATAGTCTGTTTGCAGTGAAAACGTACCGATGAATGTCACTCTAATACAAACCAATAGTAGCGATTTGAAACTATGATCGTTTGTTAAACAACTTTTATCCTAAGCTGAATAAAATTCTGAGATTTAAATGTTCAATTGGCAAGGTAAAATTATGAGGATTCGCAATCTTAAATTCACTTAATTTGATTTACTTTTTTGTTTAAAGTGATATTCATCGCTACGTTTTCACAGCAAACAGACTATAGACAAGGTGTTCTTAGGGCTACCAGAGCTCCAGATAAGATTTAGCTCATGTGGGTACTGTACCCACTGTATTTATTTGGAGTGGGTATTTTGAATGTTGCGTGGGTATTTCATTTTCCGTTGCCCACTGCTTTCAAATATGTGCGTATTTCTGTCATTTTACTCACCTACCCGGTAAGTATTATGTCATTGAATATGTTTACAAAGCAGGTATGTTCTGCCTTATGTCATACCTAATCTAAACCAACTTAAATATAATGGAAATGATTTCATAAAAAAATCACTCATCCTATACCGACAGTACAACACTTGTCCTATACTAACAGTACAACTTGATAGCAATCGATGTCTTTTTCATTACGCAAGCGATTTTTTATAAATATATTCTGTACCCATTTGTTTTAAACTTTTTGCGTATCTAACATTTTAAATGCGTAATTGGTACGCAAGAATTATTTTTCAATGCGTAATTTGAAATTTTCTATGCGCATTTTACCCGGATACGCAGCTTATCTGGGCCACATAGGCCAGTGTTAAAGTATGGGAGTTACCATCACCTTAGCACTAAGACAAGGCAACAAGTCACTGAGAGGAGCATGAACAATGATATAGCTGGCATGATGCAATCAGCCAGGTCAGAAATTATTTTTAATGATTCTTACAACAAGCATGGGTTACTGGGAACAGTTCTACCATAAATCAGACATGGCAAACATAAGGAATAGTTTGCTGGTAAAGGCAAATACAAGAATGTGTATTCTTTCAAGATCCTTCCTTCTGTCCATGAAATTGTCCACAGTAAGAGAAAGACAGGCAGGTTATCCAAACACTTGGTTGTACCTCTCACAAACTATACTTGAGATATTGACCTAGGTACTACTTAATGGAAGCTCATTGTTTACAAGGTTGGGTGTTATTTTAATATAGGAGCACCCAAGCCCACCTTCAGCCCCTAGAACTGACTGTCATGCATTTAGAGTGAGCAAAATGACAATTCTTATTTCTATTTAAAGTTGTTCACAGTTCAAATCATCATAGTGATGGTACCCCATTGACCATGAACGTCTAACTTGTATGAATCAACTTTGCTACAGTGTAGAATAGACAGATTGTATACAGGAAAGGCATTCATTAAGTGCTTACAATATGTGAGTGGGTGAGTTTAGTTTTACGCCACACTCAGCAATATTCCAGCTATTTGGGGGCGGTCTGTAAATAATCGATTCAGACCAGACAATCCAGTGATCAACAGTATGAGCATCGATCAGCGCAACTGAGAACCAATGACATATGTCAACCAAGCCAGGGAGCCTGACCACCCGATCCCATTAGTCGCCTCTTACAACAACAACCATGGGTTACTGAAGGTACATTCTAACCCGGATCTTCACGGGTCTACAATATGTACATGCCACAACACCGCATTTCAACTGTAGGAGTCAATCGGTGAGGGAAGAACGTTGTTTATACAAATGCATGACATATCAATGATGGATTGGTTGGTTTGTTGCTAAACACAGCACTCAGCAATATTCCAGCTATATGGCGGTATCAGTGATGGAAAACTATAGTCTGTTTGGCTCAAAAGCGGACTGATGAATTGCAATCTAACTCAAAAACTAATCAACATATAATACTCAATGAAACGCTGATCATAATCAAAATATCAGACCAACTCTGTGATTTGTTTCAGAATTTATGTCCTAAAATTAAAAAAGTTGTTTAACAAACTATCATTAAAATATTGACACAGTTCACTATTTGTTACGAGGGAGGAGTGCAGAGAAAGGGACAGCCAGGTGTTATAGAAGCACGTGCACAAGTGCCGACAAAGTTATTGATTCATTAACCTGTGCTGTGCCGTCTCCATCCTTACTCGCACACCCGGCTGTCCCTTTCTCTGCACTCCTCCCTCGTAACAAATAGTGAACTGTGTCGATATTTTAATAATAGTTTGTTAAACAACTTTTTTATTTTTAGGACATAAATTCTGCAAACACCTCTCAGAGTTGGTCTGACGTTTTCATTATGATCAGTGTTTCATTGAGTATTTTATGTTTATTAGTTTTCGAGTTAGATTGCAATTCATCAGTCCGCTTTTGAGCCAAACGGACTATATAGTACATGCAGTTGGTATACAATGACACGCAATCGCCCATTTCAGTAATACTGACCATACAATGTATTTCGTCAACAGTGGCAACAGTGAAAAGATGTAGCTGCGAAAGTTATTTTCGATAATAGAACGATGAATACCTAAATGTAACTCAAGGTATATGAAGATTCAAAGAATGTAATGCAATGTTTGCTGAATATTCAATGTCCAAACTGACACATTTCAGTTTTAACAGGTTTTCTTGGTCAGTCTGCCAAAAGGTAGGAGGCAAAGCCAAAACAATACAAAAAATTCACTTGAACAGATTGAAAAAAAGACTCTTTTAAGGTGATTACAAATATAAAACAACAACAACTACCGTATATGACCGACTATAAGTCGGAAATTTGATACCAGAAAATGAAGGTAAAAAATCAGACCCGACTTATTCTTGAGTTCATTAATCTACCCAAAAAAATTCCGAGGTCAGGTGTGTGAATCTGCCAGCCCTGCGAACTCAACTGGCAATGTTTCCACCGGAAGCAAGACGCATATACGTACTGACGTTTCCAAATGTAAATGACATCGTGGGACAAATAAAACATAAAACTTTGTTGTTTGTATGTTTATGTTTACAGCTTATTCACAATCAAACACATCACATGAAGGGATTATTTATCACATTAGAATTAACGCTTGGCGCATCTGTCAAATACAAAAATAATTAGTTAATGCATATATTGTAACTGTGACATTTGAAATCATCTACGTTAACAAAGTGAGTGAGTGAGTAAGTGAGTTTGGCTTTACACCGCTTTTAGCAATATTCCAGCAATATCACGGAGGGGGACACAAGAAATTGGCTTCACACATTGTACCCATGTAGGGATTCGAACCCAGGTCTTCGGCGTGACAAGCGGACGCTTTAACCACTAGGCTACCCCACCGCCCCACGTTAACAAAGACATATACATATCTGTGCACTGGATAATCTATAGGTCATTTGGGAAGTGAGGTAGCCAAGTGGTTAAAGGGTTTCCTCATCCAGATGAAATTCTGTGTTTGTTTCCCCACATGGTTAAGATGTGTGTCCCCGAACATGACATTACTAGAATACCGCTGAAATCAGCAGAAACCCCCAAATCACTCATTCACCCACTTGACTATACTCATAGTCACTTACAGTGATGTAGTATTGCTTTCTATCAAAATTAAAGAAATATGATCAAATATTGCAGAAGGATAAGATACTGCGCATGTCACTTGTAAGTACGCTGGAACATCTTGTGACATCAACTTCACCACCTAAGCTACCAATCAATGTTTTGGAAAGTTCAACAAGGCAGTTACAGTTTAATGTTTTTACCAAAGCACCTGAAATTGTGATATAGCACCAGCTTTGAAAGCTGAATACATGTATTACACTTTGAAATCTTCACCTGGCATTCTCAACAAAACGTTTGGCATGTGTGATGTTTAATGCTGAAGCAATATTCCAACACCAAAGTGGTCTGTAAAAAATCGACCTTCAGGCAAAGCAGTGGCTGAAAGTACATTGATCCATACCTGACAGAATATTGACACGCATTGAGCTACCTGGTCCTTATTAGCCAGCCTAGGGCTGGGTTCCAGTCTTGCACCAGTTTCCAGCTACACTCTTGGAGTAGATTCAACCTTAAGCTCAATGAAGAATAACATCCATTTCACTGAATACACTTCAGATAGTGCCAGTCAGCAAAGAAGGCTTGTGCAAGCTGTTGAAGGAGTGCTAGTGAGTCTCTCAAACACATCGTCTGGTCGTTGACGAAGTGGCACACCAGGTCAATCTGCTCCTTGTACTGGGCGTACTGCTTGTTGGTCTTGAGGCCGGCCAGTGCTGTACGACTGGCCTTAGCCGACTGTGTGTTGGACAAAGGCTGGTGGGGCTGGAGGCGGAGCTCGGTGTCGCTGTAGATCTGGGTGGCAAGGAAGGCGGCGATGGTGCGGCACATGATGCGAAACCTGTGGAGATGACAATTCATGTTTTTCTTTCTGATATTCAGCATTACAAAACAAGGCATTTTGGAGGACATTTAATATGACCATTTGAGTCACTCTAAACTAACCTGTCAACAAATGATAAGGCCAGACCAATTTCATTTCTTGTTTTATGGATTTTTGTCCTAAAAAAAACAACAACCCAAAAGGCAGGAGGAAAAAGAAAAAAGAAGTCAAAGTAATATTCCTTCTAAATGCAAAAAAGTATTTCACTTTTGGCAATTTATGAAGTGTATTAGGGGCAAAAAACAATCTGAAAGATTTTTCTTAAAAGTTTACATTTTTGGCCAATAAAAACATTATGATTATATTTTTTGAGAGGGGAAAATTAATTATTATTTTTTTTCTTATTCTTGAAAAAATATGACCGGCAGATCTGTAAAACAAGAAATAAAATTGGTCTGGCCTAAGCACATAATAACATGAAGTTATCACATTTTCACTACTGCCTACCTCACTATCCCAATTCACACTTATATACCTACAGATTATTGTTACCTTCAATTCTTATTGATGAATTATACGACATACATCATCCTACTAAACACTCATAATTCATTAGTTAATAAGCAACACAAACCAAAACTTTGACAAGTTTGTAGCTGGATAGGTTCTTGGAAATATAATATAACACACCTTCATGAATTTTCTGTATTTCAATTTAAATTTTTTCAGTATGGTACACTTACTTCAGTGACAGTGATGACTTTTTACCGAAGCCTATAGCACCAAGCAGCCCTGAGGAAGCCCTGTCCTCTCCGAAGACATTGAGCTGCATGAGGAACTTCTTGAGGGCGAGGATACAGCGGACTCTCTTCTGTGCCCCGTCCAGCTGTCTCAGGAGGAGGTCCAGCAGCTTCTGCCACCACAGCAGCAACTTGCCCTCGTTCTCAGCACTGGAGGAACATGGAGCCAGTCTATACTACTCAACTTATGACAAGGATAATCAGATACGTCTTTCTATTTAAAAATTGCAGTTGCCATTATGAGAATCAGTTTTGAGTATCATGGTGAGATAAAAATATCCTTGTCAAAAGAAGAGCAGTATATACTCTATATTTTCCTACAATTCAATTCCTGAATGATTTGACAAAACTTGATCAGATGCTCTTTGGAATATTTGCCACGGTTGCTTATAAATGCCATCGTAAACAAGAACATGACAAATAAAAATACATTCTTTTAACATGTTCAGTACTACATAACAGCATTGTTACTTCACAAAGATACACACAGAAACTGGTAAAGCTCAAAGGTCTTGTGATTTCAGAGATGATCAAGATGCAACAGTTTATTATGAAAAGAGGAACAGGTAATAGAGGAGAAGTCTTAATAGAGGCCCCCTTCGTGCACAAGCTCATTCATTCTACTCTATTTTGAGAATTGCAATGTTGCTTATAGACCAAGACTGGGGAGAATCTTGGCCTTGAAAACCATGATCATAAGAACCTGGTCACCAAAGGGACCTAACTCTGCACAGAAAAGACATTACACCACACGGCCATCAGGATGACTGATGTGATAATGATTTTTTCAGTCTGCTCTAGATCTTCCCAAACTTGCCCTCCTCCTCACCCAGGTTTGATCTCGGTAGTCCAGTTCAACAAGTTGTCCATCAGCTTGAGTTCATCATCGTAGCTCTGACAGAGAGGTATATGCTGCAGGGTGTAGGCGTACAGCATCAGGTAGGACCCCTGGTTGATGGCCTCATTGATGCAGTCAGACACGTTCAGTTCCGGCATCTGGAACACGGCCAGGATGTGGTCCCACTGCCCACTGCTTCCTGTGTTCTGGTCTAGGGAGAGAGGGATTCAAATATCAATAACCTCTGGTTGATGACAACAAGGAGGTCTCGCTTTGCTTTGGATGTCATCATGGTTACAAATGTTGGCCTCAAGAACTGTGTGACTGAGTCATTATATTCATAAACTTATTAAATATTTGTATATTTATAGACTTCAGCTATATCACAGCAAGCAAAGATGCCAACCCTGAATCAAATGAAAGAGGAGTCAGGCCTTTCTAAAAGCAATTCCCGAGCCCTGAAGGTGCGAGTTGGAGGTGAGCGTGAGAGGGGGCTCGGGCCCCTTTTGACGGTTGGGGTCTGGGAGACCTCCCCTATGAAAATCTTTAGATTTAGCCTGGAAATATGCAATTTCTGGCCATACTTAACCAGACAATACTTAACTCAAATGAACATATTTAAATGTCTATTTACTTAAATTCTTTCAAACATTCTAAATTTATAAACATATTTGTATTTTCTAAAAAATCGGGAGTTTTCATACACAAATTGGAGAGTGGATTTTGTATTTGAAAATCGGAGTTACTCCTCCAAAATAGGAGTGGTTGCATCTCTGCAGCAAGTCAGCAGCACATTGGAGAAAAGATGAAAGTGACTTTCAGATATGTACCACTCTGTTGAAACACACAAACAAGGCTATGGTGCTGACAAACCTAGAAACACCATCAGTCCTAACCAGGATCCCAACCCATGTTTGGATGTTCTGGTACACCTGAAGGACACAACTCACAGCAGATTGTGCTGACTGAGATGACTGAATCACCAATGTTCTCCAAGGGCGAAGATGCTCACCTGGCATATGAGTGAAAACATTTAGGAATCCACAGTAATTACTAATACATGATCAAATTCATCCCTGACTTTATGCTGTTTCTGACTGACTGAGTTTGGTTTTACGCCGCTTTTAGCAATATTCCAGCCATATCACGGCGGGGGACACCAGAAATGGGCTTTACTCATTGTACCCATGTGGGGATTCGAACCTGGGTCTTCAGCGTGACGAGCCAACGCTCTAACCACTAGACTACCCCACCGCCCCTTATGCTGTTTCTATGAATAATCATGAACAGGGATACTGGAGACCACCTTTATGGTTTTCAGAAAAATCAACTTTGGACGTCAGCATGACTTGTGAACCACGAGGATACCCAAAACACCTTCATACAATGTGTTTGCTGTTTAACACTGCTGTATTTACAAAACATTCACACAATTATTAGAGCCCTGACAATCCACTGACCAATACTGTCAGCAAAGATCCATGCACTCTGGGTACAAAGGACATACATTCATCTATGCTAGCCTAGGGATCTCTCCTAACCTTAAGTCTCCCCAGAGTCCTCATACAATGGATTGAGTGATTGATTGATTGATTGTTGTTTAATGTCATACAATGAAGCACATGTGACACATGTGGTCTCACCTTAGGCAAGTGAGTTTGTTCAAAGTTGTCTCTGTTCACCCAGCAGTAAAATGGGTACCCGGTGGAAAAAGTCATATGACTATAACCTTCTAGCACCTAACAGGCAGCTTGGGTTATCCGGGGTAATAATGTGCTGTGCCTTGATTATTAGAGCTATGAACATACCTAGTGTGGAGTTTGGCGCTATAGAAATGGACACATTATTATTATTATTATTATTATTATACTCAGCAATATTCCCTCTATATGACGGCAGTCAGGATGTGAGTGGTGTACACCTACCCGCTGTGAAGTAGACCTCGATGCAGGCCTCCGTGATCTGAACCATCTGCTGTAGGGAGGCCAAGCACCTGTTGGCGGCCTTGATGCAGGGGGTGAGGAGGATGCTGTGAGGGGAGGACTTGAGCCACTCGGTGATGGTTGTCATGACTACACTGAGGGCGTTGCTGTCTGGGTTGCAGTTGTTGAGCAGACTGAGGACATCCTTGACCAAGTCTAGAGATTCCTCTTGCTGGGTCTTCATGTCTACCACTGAAGTCGGATTAAACACATGCAGTACACTCAAAAAGTGCCAACACCAGTTTGAGGTAATTTGAAAAATGTGGCAGTGCCTGTAATATTCAATTATACCATGTATTTCAGATGTAGAAAGTATTTTTGACAAAAGTATCATGCAATTACCTTCATCCACTGCAATCAGACAACTTAGGAAACAAATGTCTTTGTACGTTATTGGTGGAATATAGTGCAAAATATCATGATTCCTTTATCTGCACAGAAGTTCACTATAAACTATGCACATACCAGAAGTTTCCATTGCCTGTATCTCTGTGAGGAGGTTGACAATAGACTTTATCTTATCTCATGCATAAATGTCGTTTTCTGATTGGTTGAGCCAATCAACATACCCCGCTTAAAAGCGAGTAACATTTTCTATGTTACCCGCTGGAAATGCAAAACCGTGGGAATTTGTTTGGTACATCGTGTTAGTAGTGTCTGGACTGTTGCCTAACTCCGGTACTCCTTATTATGAATGATCCAATACCCGTGCTTCAAACAGTTTAACATTGAGGTGTTGGTAGCATAAATACATTGTTCACTGGTCCCTTCAGGCTTTGGGAACATAAGCAAACACAGACAACTTATAATGAACATAACAGAAGTTGCCACAGTCTCTATATCTGCACATAGATTCACTGTAAACAATAAAACATACCAGACGTTTCCACGGCCTCTATCTCTGTTAGGAGGTTGACTATAAACTGTGAACAGATCAGACGTTTCCACGGCCTATATCTCTGTGAAGATGTTTACCAGGCGTTTCCACGGCCTCTATCTCTGTGAGGAGGTTAACTATAAACTACGAACTTTCCACGGCCTCTATCTCTGTGAGGAGGTTAACTATAAACTATGAACATATCAGATGTTTCCACGGCCTCTATCTCTGTGAGGAGGTTGACTATAAACTATGAACATACCAGACGTTTCCACGGCCTCTATCTCTGTTAGGAGGTTGACTATAAACTGTGAACAGATCAGATGTTCCCCGCCTCTATCTCTGTGAGGAGGTTGACTATAAACTGTGAACAGATCAGATGTTTCCACGCCTCTATCTCTGTGAGGAGGTTGATTATAAACTATGAATATACCAGACGTTTCCACGGCCTCTATCTCTGTGAGGAGGTTAACTATAAACTATGAACATACCAGACGTTTCCACGGCCTCTATCTCTTTGAGGAGGTTGACTATAAACTATGAACATACCAGACGTTTCCACGGCCTCTATCTCTGTGAGGAGGTAAACTAAAACTGTGAACATATCAGATGTTTCCACGCCTCTATCTCTGTGAGGAGGTTGACTATAAACTGTGAACATACCAGACGTTTCCACGGCCTCTATCTCTGTGAGGAGGTTGACTATAAACTATGAACATATCAGATGTTTCCACGGCCTCTATCGTTGACTATAAACTATGAACATACCAGACGTTTCCACAGCCTCTATCTCTGTGAGGAGGTTGACGATGACGGTGGAGATGACCTCGGTATTGATGTCTGCCTTGTAGGAGCACCGACAGAGCAGCTGGGTGATGCAGTGTACGTACATCAGTCTCTTGGTGGACAGGTCCTCGGACCACGACACGCTGGAGTCGCTGCTGAACCCGGCCGCTACACGCATCAGTCTGTATCGGGAAACGAAACAATTACAGAGAGGATTTCCTATGCATAAAGAATAACGATGAGGTGTGGGGGGCCAACATGAAAACCAAACGCTTGTCACGCTGAAGGCCTGGGTTCAATTACCCATATGGGTACAATGTGTGAAACCTATTTCTGGTGTTCCCTGCCATGATATTGCTGGTATATTGCTAAAAACAGCATTAAACTAAACACACTCAATCACTCACCCATTCTTAAGGATAGATAGGTCCATTGTACTGACTGAGTTTGGTTTTACGCCGCTTTTAGCAATATTCCAGCAACATCACGGCGGGGGACACCAGAAATGGGCTTCACACATAGTACCCATGTGGGGATTCTAACCGGGTCTTCGGCGTGACGAGCCAACGCTTTAACCATTAGGCTATCCCATCGCCCCAGGTCCATTGTAAAGGATAGAGGAGGTTATTCATGTGTGACAACATCAACCTACTTGAGGCAGTGTGACGGATAAAGTAGGTCCTTGTTATACGACAACACTGACTTACTTGAGCCCCAATGCGAGGGAGGAGGACCTCTCTGCCAAGACACAGCGGGGGTCACAGCACTGCATGAACCAGTTGCTGGCCACCCTATAGCTAGATGACCCCACGTACAGCCAGTTGAAGTTCTCTGCTGCTGTCAACAACTTGACAGTCTCCGGTTTCTGGAATATTTACAAAGATCACAGGTAAATGCACCACCAGGATGAGCATCCATTAGCTCTCCACACCCCTACATCAGCTCTAACCACCTACCTCCACACACCCACATCAGCTCTAACCACCCACCTCCCCACCCCTACATCAGCTCTAACCAACCACCTCTACATCAGCTCTAACCACCCTACTCTACATCAGCTCTAACCACCCTACTCTACATCAGCTCTAACCACCCGCCCCTACATCAGCTCTAACCACGAACCCCTACATCAGCTCTAACCTCCCACCCCTACATCACCTCTAACCACATACCCCTACATCAGCTCTAAGCACCCACCTCCACACCCCTACATCAGCTGTAACCACCCACCTCCCCACCCGACATCAGCTCTAACCACCCACCCCTACATCACCTCTAACCACCCACCACTACATCACCTCTAACCACCCACCCCTACATCACCTCTACCACCACCCATCACCTCTAACACCCACCTCAGCTCTAACCACCCACCCCTACATCAGCTCTAACCACCCCCTCTACATCAGCTCACCCCACCCGACATCAGCTCTAACCACCCACCCGACATCAGCTCTAACCGCCCACCCGACATCACCTCTAACCACCCACCCCGACATCAGCTCTAACCGCCCAACCCGACATCAGCTCTAACCACCCACCCCGACATCAGCTCTAACCACCCACCCCGACATCAGCTCTAACCACCCACCTCCAGCAGTGACTTGTCCCCATAGCACTGCACCAGCAAGATGAGCAGGGCTGACTGGAACCTGGCTGTCATGTCAGGGGGCTGGTAGATCATCAGGTATTGCACCAACTCATTCCACGTGACTTTTGTCAGGATGTCGCCAATCAGGTGGAAGCATGGAGCAGTCACACGCTCCTTCAACTGAGATTAATAGCAGAACTCAATGTTTCAAAATGTTCAATATGTCACCTAATACATAACTACAGTGGGAAATCAAAGAAAATGGTTGAAAGTCTATGCTAAACATTTTAACCAAAGTAGGGTAAAATTAACAGAATTTTTTCGGTCCTGAACTTTGAATAATTTTCACTTAAGCCTACCCTTTGATATTGTGGAATAAACACTATTTATATCACAAATCCCCTGTGATGACATTTATTGTGGCCATAGTGTTTCACCCATTTTGAGACCAATCATCCTTAATCATTGACCCCCTCAGCTATCTGGTTCCTTAGGCCACAACTCCCACCTACAATATCTTCCAGTCATGAAGCTCTACTTCACACCTCAGTTACAGCTATCACTTAATTACACCCAGTACCACAACACTGAAAGAAAGGTCATCACCTGTGCCATCATCTCCACGAGCTGCAGGTCTGGCTTGAGCTGTTCCCAGGGGAGCTGCCTCAGCTCCTGGTTGTAGATTTCAGCGATGCAGATGGGCAGGTCGGGGGTGGACAGACAGTTCATGTAGTACATCAGCAACATGCCCAGCACTCGACCATCCATGTCCGCCATCTTGGCTGCACACAGCCAACATTCATGTCAAACTTCATTCAACATGTATTGTCTTTATTACATACTACCAAACTTTTAATTTGTTTATTATACACCTGTTTTCATGTCTTGCACCCCTATGTTCACACCTTGTACACACCCATTCATACCTTGCACCTCTCTGTTCACATCCATGTCCGCCATCTTGGCTGCACACAGCCAACATTCATGTCAAACTTCATTCATTATGTATTGTCTTTATTACATACTACCAAACTTTTAATTTGTTTATTATACACCTGTTTTCATGTCTTGCACCCCTATGTTCACACCTTGTACACACCCATTCATACCTTGCACCTCTCTGTTCACATCCATGTCCGCCATCTTGGCTGCACACAGCCAACATTCATGTCAAACTTCATTCATTATGTATTGTCTTTATTACATACTACCAAACTTTTAATTTGTTTATTATACACCTGTTTTCATGTCTTGCACCCCTATGTTCACACCTTGTACACACCCATTCATACCTTGCACCTCTCTGTTCACATCCATGTCCGCCATCTTGGCTGCACACAGCCAACATTCATGTCAAACTTCATTCATTATGTATTGTCTTTATTACATACTACCAAACTTTTAATTTGTTTATTATACACCTGTTTTCATGTCTTGCACCCCTATGTTCACACCTTGTACACACCCATTCATGCCTTGCACCCCTCTGTTCACACCTTAAACCCCCTGTTTACACCTTAAACCCAGAGTTCATGCTGTGGACCCTCCTGTTCATGCTGTGGACCCTAATATGCATGCCGTGGAGACCCCTGTTCACACCTTGGACCCCTCTGTTCATGCCTTCAATGGCCATATTCACGCACTGGACCACTCTGTTAAACACTAGTGCCCCCACCAATGTTCATGCTATTGTCTTGTATGTTCGTTCATATTCACTACTTAGCTGGAGTTGCAAGGACTGACAAACAGAAAAGGGTAGATCCCAGTATTGTATCCATGTGTGTCATAGAAATGTTCTGTACTTGATAAAACATAAGTACAGAGATGTAGTTTACCTGAGAACTGTATTCTGATGTAGTCGACCACCTTGCGGAACATGGCCACCATCTCCAAGGCCACCAGACTGTCACTCTCTATCCAGGGGTACCAGGTCTGCTGGGGGTTGGCCACAGGCTGGATCCAGGCAGCGAACAGGTCAAGCACCTGCTTCCATGTCATGTCCAGCACTGACACACACAACCAGAACAGATATCAGCTTGTATGTTAATGAATGGAAGCTAGTGCCCCAGCTGACTTTACAGACAGAGGGCTCTGGGCCTTGTCTTAACAAAGGAATTTTCACGATAACTATAGTGTGTCTGAGATACAGATTGAGAGCTCAGGTAGTGGTAGCACTGAGAACTGGAATCACTCATACCTTGGCCAAGATTCACAAAGCATTCTCAGCACCATGACTAGGTCACTCCTCCCATTGGTTACAACAGACACTATTTACCCAGAGCTGAGACTGTTGTGAAATGACACTGTAGGTCTTATTTCAATGTGAATGAGATATATAAGTGCCAGAGAATTGAATGATGTAACCAGGAACTGACTTCAGAAAGTAACCTCGGCCCTACCACTGTCAGCATACCTTTTCTTTTCAGGAAATGAGGTCCTGACCCAGTGAGAAATGGCCAGGTAAGCACTAATACGTGATAGAAGCTCCCTTTATAACACAATTGGGCCAAGACATGGAATAGACCCAGTGAGAAAAGGCCAGGTAAGCACTAATACATGATAGAAGCTCCCTTTATAACACAACTGGGCCAAGACATGGAATAGACCCAGTGAGAAAAGGCCAGGTAAGCACTAATGCATGATAGAAGCTCCCTTATAACACAATTGGGCCAAGACATGGAATAGAGGCCAGTGGTTCATTTGTAAAGTGCCAATATAACCACTGATATCTTTATCCAATGTTTACACGTGGACTAAAATATTAGCAATAACGCTGGAGCAGATGAACTTCATCAGTGGTCTAAACATTTTTCTTGTCCTCTAAATTTGACAAATTTGTCTCACAAATAACTTGTTGTTATTAATAGGACTCACGTCATTGACCAGAAATATAACATAGAGTGAGTGAGTGAGTGAGTGAGTGAGTGAGTGAGTGAGTTGGGTTTTACGCTGATTTTGGCAATATTCCAGCAATATCATGGCGGGGGAACACAGGAAATGGGCTTTACAAATTGTACCCATGTGGGGAATCGAACCCGGGTCCTCAGCGTAACGAGCGAACGCCGGAACCACTAGGCTACCCCACCGCCCCTATAACATAGAGAGAAATCATACTGGGATGAAGACAATGGGAAGTTTTAGTTTCTACTGGTATGCAACATGCCAATAAATAGTTCTGACCTTGGTATGGGTTCATCTCTGTGAAATTTGGCAGCATCTTTGTGACGAAGCTTCTCATGAGTCCCCCAAGGAAGTGGGAGACGTATGGGATGTAGCGGCTCCACTTGGGGTAGAGGCCAAACATGGAGTTCTCCGAGTTGTGGAGGCGAAGCTGCATGAACTGACTGGACAGCCACTGGAGGATCTCCGTCAACTGTGGCAAGCAGGACAGAGTACAGTCACAGCAGAGTGACATCTTTCTAACGTTATTATTGAACAAAATATGATCAAAGCTGAAGAGAAATACCTCCCTAACATCTTTCTTGTGGTGCTAAAGCTATCTCACAACTCAGTGTAACTGTCACATCAGGTTATGTGGTCAATGTGGGTCTGTCAACTGTATCTGGTGGAACAGTAATAATACAAGGGGTATGTCTATTTGACGTCTTTACTTTAAGACTACATTTATGTCTCAGCTCTGTGGGAATGTTACATCAGGTCATGTGGTCAATGTGGGTCTGTCAACTGTATCTGGTGGAACAGTATGAATACAAGAGGTATGTCTATTTGACGTCTTTACTTTAAGACTACATTTATGTCTCAGCTCTGTGAGAATGTTGCATCAGGTCATGTGGTCAATGTGGGCCTGTCAACTGAATCTGGTGGAACAGTATGAATACAAGAGGTATGTCTATTTGACATCTTTACTTTAAGACTACATTTATGTCTCAGCTCCGTGGGAATGTTGCATCAGGTCATGTGGTCAATGTGGGTCTGCCGACTGTATCTGGTGGTACAGTATGAATACAAGAGGTATGTCTATTTGACATCTTTACTTTAAGACTACATTTATGTCTCAGCTCCATGGGAATGTCACATCAGGTCATGTGGTCAATGTGGGTCTGTCAACTGTATCTGGTGGAAGTCCGACACCCTTATGTTCATCTCTTCATCATCATTATTGTGATGTTACATCATATCACAGTTCAGTACAACTATCTCATCAGGTCACTGGATTACTTACGGTCTGTCAACTGTATCAGGCAGAACAGTCACAATACAGTAGGCATATCTCCTGATTGTCGCAAAATTTGAGGCTACTCATGCCAAAACCATGCACATGTACAACCAACTCATCAGGTCACAGGCCTTATTAGAGTCTGTCAACTGTATCAGGCATAACACTGTTTGTACATATCTTAAGGCTATGATGTATATTCCATAAACAAGGAACATTCTCTGTCTAGACTGACTGACTGACTGAGTTTGGTTTTACGCCGCTTTTAGCAATATTCCAGCAACATCACGGTGGGGGACACCAGAAATGGGCTTCACACATTGTGCCCATGTGGGGATTCGAACCTGGGTCTTCGGCGTGACGAGCCAACGCTTTAACCATTAGGCTACCCCACTGCCCTTCTCTGTCTAGACTGACTCACTGAGTTTAGTTTTACGCCGCTTTTAGCAATATTCCAGCAATATCACGGCGGGGGACACCAGAAATGGGCTTAACACATTGTGCCCATGTGGGGAATCGAACCCGGGCCTTTGGCGTGACGAGCCAACGCTTTAACCACTAGGCTACCCAACCGCCCCTCTCTGTCTAGAAGTTGTTGAAGGAGCAATGTATACAAATGAACTTTTGTCTTTCTAAAATAATGGTAACCTTTAAATGCTACATGTGCTGTCTATCTCACCTGTGTTGTAGCGAGGACTGTATCCGTACATGCCTCCACGTCACACAAGGAGAAGCAGATGGATGGTTTCCGTTGTTGTGGAGCCAGACTCTGGTGGACTGGGGTGAAGCACTCTCCAAGCAGTATCTCCCAACACTGAACATGAAGCCTCTCCACTGCTGACCCTGTGAACATAGCAACTTGCCTGTTATCCAGGAAGTAAACAGTTTCCTCAAGTTCTCATCATCACTGGCTGCTTATTGTTTTAAGGCACACTGGCCAATTTAGCATTTCTGTGAAACAGCCTGCAAATGATCAAGTTTGGGCCCGGAATACCTCTATGGTTGATTGTCATCAACATCCCAGCTGTTTCAAAACACACAAAGCCAGGTCACAGAGCTAGACCACATAATCCACATAACAGTCAGCTCTGGGGAACCTATTCCGACCACAAAAGCCAAACATTTAACCCTAACTAGAGTACAGAAGGGACAAGTCAGTATTTTCTGAAGCTGACAGAAACTGTAAAATAGGTTCCAGCAGCCTACCTTGTATGACCAGTGAGAGGACGTCACACAGGTTCTGGGGGAAGTTGGTCTGTAGGTACGAGTTGAGATGACTGCAGTACAGCTGTGGAAGATAGAACATATCACTGAAGACTGAACCAATAAACCTATGTCCTACCAACCTTTCACACCAACAGAAATTAACTTGTTTGTTTATTTTTGCAACGCAGCACTCTGAAATATCCGAGCTATATGACGACAGTCTGTAAATAATCAAGTCTGGACCAGACAAATCAGTGATTCACATCATGTACATCTATCTACACAATTGGGATACGATGATATATGTCAAGCATGGGTTACTGAAGACCAATCCTAACCCAGGTTGACTGTTGATGGGTCAACCACTCAGAACATTATGTGCTGATTGGTCACACACAGAGCCTGCATCAGGTGAACTTTCTTAGCAGTCAATCAGCACAAAGGCCATCAGATACAATCAGTAAGCCTGAGCAGAGATTCAGACAATCTTATACAGTAGAACACGGATATAACGAACTCCAAGGGACCAAGAAATTTAGTTCGCTATATCCGTTGTTCGTTATTCACATTTGACCGCCATCTTGGATTGTAGAGATGTAGACATTCACAGACATTACCTATATCATGTTGATAAATATGAAGTTTATTTTTATAATAAAATTGAAATAATACAACTACAACTTAAATAAATTTATTTTTTAATGAAAATGCAAGCTTACATTTATAATGTCCAGATAAACCACGAAAGAAGCAAAAACTGTAGCGATTTCGTCAACGAAAACTTTCGTTTTTCATAACGTTGTGGCCGATTATTCGGCCTGCGGTGTTGAATGGGTTTAACACGGTATGTTTGTTTTGTTAATTAATTAATGACCATCAAACAATGTTGATTCACCGCCAACAAGATTGATGTATACTGTACCGCTAAGTGGCTGAGCTGACACTGAGTGAGTTCGCTAATCACGTCATTAATTGGGTCTTGGGGGTAGTTAATCAGTTCGCTATAGCCGTTAATTCGCTACTCACGAGTTCGTTATTCACGTATAATTTTAATGATATTATAAAGGACTGTTGACGGGACTTTTAAATTTGTTCGCTATATCCGTTTGTACGCTATATCCGTGTTCGCTATAACCATGTTCTACTGTATTAGATCTTCTTCTTGAAAACAATAACATTTGGGGATATCAAAGAGTAATAGTTTAAATATCTTCTTTCTAAGGTGTATCTTGTCACAGACTGGTAGTGTTTTTAAGAGTAAAAGATTTGATTAAATGAAACTGACACACAAACATTCTATTCCCCATCTGTCACACTCCCACATTATGTGTGTGTGTGTGCGTGCACACGTGCGTGTGTCCATTCAGATTGTACATGCTTCTCCATAAAAATCACCATCACCTACTTGCCATAAATTATGAACGGTCCCTAATCATTATGTAATGAATGTCCATTAACACAATGTGACTATTTCAGATTTGCTTTAAGTCCTAAATGACCTGTGGTGTTCTAGTAAACTGACTGCTGGTATCTCCTTTAACCGACTGATCATTGCAGTAAGAAAACACTTACATCAAACACAAGCTTAGTCGTCCTCTCCGGTTCAGCTCCACAGGACATCAGAGCAGAACCAAGAATACCAACAAACCTCTTCCTGTCTGCATGCGGAGGTTGGGAGGTTTGCAGCCAAGTCCACACGTCGAACTGAAACATAGAGTCCCACATTCACCCTTACAATCATCAGGTTTCAAAACCCTTGATAAATCAGAGCACCCAGTCCCTAGAGGACACGCTTAGTTACTGTGTAAAATTTTTGTTTTAAGTAACCAAGCACAAGAACCGTTTTGCTAGCATGGGGCTACTTCAAACCCTCCTTGAAATCTTCTATAATGTGAGGACATTTACTATTTGAAGACAGTAGTAATGTACTTGCAAACAAGGAAACAGGACAAACACAGAAAATGAATACATGAATATATTAATGCACCGTGTGTTTCACGAAACATATGAGAATTCTGAAACTAAAAAGGGTGTTGTCAGTTTATATATAGGAGGAGAAACTCCATAAATCATGACATGAGTGAGTGAGTATGGTTTTACACCGCTTTTAGCAAAATTCCAGCAATATCACGACAGGAGACACCAGAAATGGGCTCCACACATTGTACCCAAGTGGGGAATCGAACCTGGGCCTTCGGCGTGACAAGCAAATGCTTTAAAACCACTACGCTACCCCACCGCCCCGCATCATGAGTGAGTGAGTGAGTATGGTTTAACGCCGCTTTTAGCAATATTCCAGCAATATCACGGCGGGGGACACCAGAAATGGGCTTCACACATTGTACCCATATGAGGAATCGAACCTGGGCCTTCGGCGTGACGAGCGAACGCTTTAACCACTAGGCTACCCCACCGCCCTGAATCATGAATGTTCATGAATCATTAAACAGTAGTTGCTGAGATGGACCCTAGCTTGGACCCCCATTTCTCGGACCGTCATATGTTATCGTTGTACCTTAGTGAGTAGAGCGAAGACCAGGTCCATGTTTTTCTGTTGCAGTATGTGAATGAGTTGTTCGTACATCAGCACGTAGGTCTCGGGGCTGTTGTTGGGGATGAAGTGTTGAGACACGTGGCAGGAGAGGTTGGGGTTGTCCAGGCAGAACTGCAGCAGGAGTTGGGTCTGGCTGGGGTCTCGAGACAGGAACTCCTGAAACACATCCTCAGTGGTACTTACAGAAAACATTATAACATTGAACCCAGCCAGGAATGGTCCTCACACGAGGCTGCTATAGGATCATGATACAAGACCAATGTTACTTGTTGATGAGATATCTCCATATACTAGAACAAATATCAGATACACACCAATCCAGTGACAAGTGGGATAATATTATCTATCAAGGTCTGAAATCATTTGTGTGATCATATTTTAATATGTAAAATACAAGTTGATAAAATTATAAAATAATAATGTAATTTTTAGAGTAAAATTGATATTTTATACTTATCCTGACTCATGCTCTTTTGCTTGTCTTCTTCTTCTTGCGAACATAGTGGAACACTTGTATCTCCTTATTTGAAGCTCCCTTCAAAATAAAATCACTAATTGGTACTCACCACGAGTTGCTCCCCTTTGTTTCCCCTGGCGGGAAAGGTGTCGCCACCCTCTGGCCATGTGCTCCACTCTCTCCTGATTTAGCGAGCCCAACACTTGAACTTACAGGGAAATCCAAAGTGTTATGTGGGGAGGATGGGAGGGCTAACCTCATGAGTCAGGATAAGTATAAAATATCAATTTTACTCTAAAAATTACATATTTTTCCTTATCCTGACTCATGCTCTTTTGCTTGTAGCATCCTACGGAACGGAGGTGGGTAACAGAATACTTTGGATTTATAATTAGTGATTTGTATAGATATACTGTAATATCCCCTACGGGAACTTCATGAAGGTTTAGATTTAGGATGTTTCCTGTATAAAGAAAACCATAGGTTATATAAAGCCATTAAAGGGGAATTACATTATGAATATATTGAACAATACATATAAATTATATATATATATATAGGTGACTCTGATAGAGGCACTGAAATTGACTATACCAAAGTATATGCTTAAGGTTGAATACTTAAGCTGAACATATATACATAGCCCTAAAACTCCGTAGAGTTATAAGCTAGATGAGTATGTATAAAATACATATTAATCTTGTGGAGGATAATATTTTAACGCCTCACGAGGGACTGTCAGTTGCTGAGCGAGGACCAGTGGTCCGAAATGGTGAATGCCAGAGACATCTTCTGTAGTGATGTCTCTCAGGTAGTGATTAGCAAATACCATGTTAGATTTCCAATAGCATCCTTCCATAATCGTGTTCAAGGAACAGTTACCGTGTAGGGCGAGGGTAGAGGCCAGTGCCCTGATCTCATGTGGATTTGATGCTGTTGGTGGGTCCAAGCCTGCTGCCTTGTAGGCACGGAGAATGACAGTCCTTATCCAAATAGATATTGTGGTCCGTGACACTTCTGTTTGATTCAGAGGCTTATAAGGGGATGAATAAATGTTTGAGAAATCTTCTCCTTGTTTTGGATAAATCGTAGTAAATAAACTTTGAGCTCTTACCGGACACAGTGATAGGTCTTGTGTATCTTGTGATCCGAGAATAGAGGATAAGCGCCCGGGATGTGGAATAATCTGTCTGGTTGACCTGGCAGTTGATTTTCGCGATGAAATCCCATCTTAATCCGAGGTGCTGTGTTATGATTGTCATCAAACTGTATCCTCCTCGTAATCCAGAGCGTGAATTTCAGACATTCTTGCTGCTGTGGCTAGCGATAGCAGAAACAGTGTTTTCTGTGAGAGAAATTCAAAGTTTGTCGATTCCAAGGTTCATAGACCTCACTCGTGAGGTGTTGTAACACTACATTCAGATCCCAAGCTGGGCGTGGAACTTCCGCTTTGGTCCTCCAATCGGAAAGCTCGTAGTAAGGCCAGTAACTCTGGAGATCTTGTCAATTTGACACCCGCTCTCATGGTGATTACAGAACTAAGCGCTGCAAGATATGTTGATATCGTTGAACCTTTTAAATGTTTGTTTTGGCGTAGGTAACACAAATAGTCTGCCACTTGAGGTTGTGAAGCCTCTCTTGCTGTAAACCCTTTCTTTGTTGCATAATTTTCGAAACTGTGCCACTTGTCGCCGCATTGCCACGAAGTTGAGTATAACGAAGGCAAGCGTGACTGCTTTTGCCGCCCTGGCAGAATATCCTCTCTTTGTTTAAACACATTTGTATACAGTCCATACGCAGTTGGAGCATTGCTGGGTTTCGTGCACTTGTTTGGTGTGAGGATGAATTAACAGGTTTGGCGCCGCTTGGGTAGCTCCAGTGTTGGTTGACCCGATTTCTTGAATTAGTATGGGAAACCACGCTCTGGCCGCCAGTAGGGCGCGACCAAAGTGAGTTGTAGGCTCTGTGTTTGTCTGATTTTCTGTAATACTTGAGGTATTATTGCTGGCGGCGGAAACGCACGCATTGAGGCCTTCCCATGATAGACTTAGAGCTCGCTGCCCAAGCTTGGGGGTCTGGGACTGGTGACACTAATGTCGGTAGCTGATTGTTGAATCGCTGCGTGGCGAATAGGTCTATTAGCGGCGCCCTAATTGCTTGATTATCTGTGCAAAAATTTCCCTGTTGATCATCCACTCTGTCGGTGATGGTAGATGAGGCCGAGAGCCGTCCGCTAGTATATTTCTGGCTCCGGGAATGTGCACTGCTCTGACATGTAGATTTAGATCTTGTATTAAATCGAACAGTTGAAAGCTTAGGTTCAAAAGGTTCATCGATCTCGTTGAGCCTTGCTTGTTTATGTAGAACGCCACTGTCGAATTGTCTGTGTATGGATCATTAGGGCGCATTTTGTAGAAATGTGCTCCAATGTAGAATGGCGCTGATTACAGCTTTCATTTCTAGACTGTTTATATGGAGTTTGCATTCTTGCTGATTCCATAATCCTGATATCGTGGTGGTTGGTGAGATGAGCTCCCCAACCTTGGAGTGACGCCGCCTACATACAGATGGGTTTTGTATTCCTGCTCTGCTAAACAAATCCCTTCGCAGACATTCGATTTCTTGGTCCACCATAGTAGATGCGGTCTGAGATGTTTTCGTAGACTGAATGGTTGTACATCGCTGAGATGTCGCTGATGAGGACCTGTAGGGGACGAACTGTAATCTGCCTGTGACAGTCATGTCTTGGGCTGATGTGAGAAGACCTAGTAGGCTCTGCCATTGTCGCGAGTGGTAATGGAGAGAGTAGAGCTGGTGGAATGGTCTGCTGTATCTTGAGCCAACGGTCTTCTGGTACCATAATACGGTTGCGATTTGTGATGAATCAATACCTAGGAACTGCAGGTCTTGGCGATGGTACTAGGTCCGACTTATGCGTAAGTTTACTAACCAACCTAGTTGTGTTAGTAGCTTTATGATGTAATTTAACTGTAGTTTGAGACGCAGTGGATCTTGATCTACTTGTATCCCGTCGTCGAGGTAAAACGCACTGGCGTAGCCCCTTGACGATGTAGAAATTAGATAATCGGTTTCGTTATCCTCGTGAATAGCCAGGGGCTGATGATATTCGAATGGGGAGTACTTTCCACTGGTAATGTAGCCCTTCTAGAGTAAATCGTGGAGGTATTTCCTGGAATCGGGATGAATGGGGATGTGCAGGTAGGCATCCTGTAGATCTATGCTGCCCATGTAGTCCATAGGACGAATCATCTGGCTTAACTGAGGTAAATGTATCATGCTTAAACTTCGTGGTTTGCGTAGATAGTTCTTGTTGAAAAGCTCATGTTGTAGATGAGTCTGTATTTCTCCGTGGAGTTTTTCTTGGGAACTAGGAAAACTGGGGAGTAGAAACCTGGTCTCGACGCTTGCTTGATCTATTACTTCTATGGCCTGTTTGGATAGGAGTGATGAAACAGCCTCTCTTATCTTTGGTAGTTGTTGCTTTTTGTAAATCGAACTTGGGGGTTTGATTGTCAGCGGAGGCTTGGCCTGTAGAGGGATACGAAATCCGTGTTGAAGAATGTTGGAGACGTAAGGGTCTTGCAATATTCCCCAGTTTTCCCAGTGTAGTTGGAGGCGCCCACCCACTTGAGCTGGCTGTACTGGAACGGCTGGGGTGGAAGACTCCAGTCGTTCGAACCTGTGTTTCAGCGCCTATAATTGCGGGAACCTCTGGGTGTCCTGCCTCTTCCTGATCCTCCTCTATAGTTGCCATTTTGGGCTTAATTTAAAAGAATCTTTACCTCTAGAGCTGGCTATCTTCCTGTCTCTTGCTCTTTGTAGGCCCGTGAACTTAGATCTGCCTGAGTATCTTTGTGAAGTCTGGACGAATGACGCTGGCTAGTGTGTCCATCGATCTAATCATAAGGACTTCACTGGAATCCTTAGAGACTTCCTTGGCGACTTTGTCGATTTCTCCGTCAAAGATGGATGTTGTCGACCACGGGCTGTATAAAGTGGGCTGTAAAGTTCTCCCCAATTACAGGAGGCGAGGAGGCCTTGACGACGAAGCTAAGGTCAGTGCTGCTGAAACAGATGTAAGATGATCCGTTAAAAACTGCTGATCTTTCTTTTGCATAAGTAAGGCAGAATAAATCATTCTATCATCTTCCGTCGTGGAATCCCGAATCTAGTAATAAGAGTCTCATTGATCGCCCTTGATCTATTTAACCCAAAGAACATCGTCGCCGTCATGGTTTCTATATGAGCCAACTTCATGCATCATCCATCTTGTAAATCTTGTTCTTTACATCGCTGATGATCTTATAGTTCTCATCGATGTCCTGGGCCTTGTAGAAGGAGTCCATGCGCCGCGTGGAGAACTTCTTGGCTTGAAAGTTGGGCAGATGTGGTGTCTGAACTTTTTCGTAGCTTTCTGGAAAGCTGCATCTAGATTCTGTGGCACTGCCGCTAATCGGGTCGATCGGGGTAGAGTGATTGCATCTGGATCATCTTCCTTCATCAAACACGCCTGCGCTTGTATTGCCACTTTTAGATGGTGATGTGAGATCTAGGTTATTGACCATCCAATACCGTGATTCTGCATCAGAAAATATGATTCTCCATCATCCTCAAAACCATCATCATTAACAAATTGTAGATGCTCTTCGACTGGCGCGTAGCTGTCTGTATATCTGATGAGGTTTTGTGGCTTATCTAGTTGACTTGTGCTACGCTCTATGTGGAGATCTGACGGTGATCGACCTGGTGATGAACGAAGTGGAGATCGCCTATGGGATGATCTTCTCGAGACTTGTGAGGTGAATGTTGATAGCTTCGCCAAGCTCTTCGCAGTCCCTCGATGTTCTTCTAGATGATGAGGATCTGGAATCATATGTCCGCCGCGAATGCCTTCGAAGCTTCATTTGCGTCCGGTCCGGGGATCGATGATATGACCTTCCGAAGGCCTCCGTGATGTCTGATGGTCTGAGTCCATATCTAGAGATGAAATCGAAGATGGTGATGATCTCTCCGCCTTCGAAGGCTGTACATCTAGGTCCTTCGTCAAGGTGGTGCGGACTTCCTTCGCGAAGGTGACATCGTCTTGGCTGCTACGTTGACGGGGGTGCCTCTGGGTGCTGTTCACGTTGGAGCCTTCGAAAACTCGGACTTCGCTTGGCGCAGTTTGTAGTGGTCCTCCATGATGTTCATAATCTGGCCGCATCATGTCTTCTGGGATGATCTGTGACTAAGTCGTCGGGCGTCTTTTCTGCGATGGGGTTCACATCAATGACGCCTGACGCCGGTGTAGAGGCATCAGGCTGCATGGTGATCTCTGCAGAAGTCACAGTCGCTGACACCGGTCGCTTCTTCTGCCGTGAAGTCGGGATGATTATCGGCTGATCATCGAGAGGCCCAATTCTGCTGCTGGAACGATCTCGGCTGAGAAAGTTCTTGCTGTCTTCGTGAGATTTCCCTTTGGAAGTCTGGCGCTGCCCTGGGTGTCCTCAATCTGCGTTGAGACGACGATGAGGCCCTCTTAGACTTGGTCTGCAATGACGGGATGTCTGGGGAGGCGGTCGTTTCTTGAGGTAACGGATCTGCGCCCCACGTTCCTTCTACCGAAGGGGTCTCTAGCAGAACACCAGACGGGAGAGGGTCGATCACTAGCAGCTGACTGGATGGAATATCTGGACTCTCTGCCATGTTTTGCCCTTGTTTGCGTGATCTATCTGCAGCACGCCTTAAGACTATAAAGATGATATTTATTAAATGCAGAATGAGATAAATTAATGCAGTAACTGCAACGTGAATTAAACGCACACGGGCGAGAACAACTAGGGCATATTACATGTGGATCGGAGGCAGAAAAACGTAATCTACAAATCGCACAGATTTTCATCAAAGTAAAGCTAGCTGAACAATCACGAATACACGTGAATAAACAGTAGAAATACGATAATTAATCAATACAAATAGTAAAGGATACTAGCTATACCTCTATAGTAACCTATGAGAGGTAAAAACTAAGAGATTATCAAAGGATATGGTGTGTAAGGAGACACGAGGCGCTCTCACATCCTGCTCACTGGGCGAAGAAGGAGAGAGTGGAGCACATGGCCAGAGGGTGGCGACACCTTTCCCGCCAGGGGAAACAAAGGGGAGCAACTCGTGGTGAGTACCAATTAGTGATTTTATTTTGAAGGGAGCTTCAAATAAGGAGATACAAGTGTTCCACTATGTTCGCAAGAAGAAGAAGACAAGCAAAAGAGCATGAGTCAGGATAAGGAAAAATATTAACAACATCAACAGCCGTTTGAGACAGAATATTTTTTCATTATTCAAGACATTCATTTCGTTTTTCAAAGATGAAATGAAATACAGTTTTGGAGGACCAACAGTAAACAAACTTAGAGCAACTGTTTAAGGCATCTACTGGGATCAATTTTCTTTTTCAAACACATCACAGGTCTTCTCCCCTGAAAATATGAAACAATGGCCTACCTGTCCCAGGATCTCGAGGCAGGAGGAGAAGAACTGTTTGGTGGGGAGGTAGAAGTTGGTGTCCTCATTGATCATGGTGGCCAGGTGGTAGAACAAAGTGTTGGCAATGTCGAACAGGATGGCGAGTCTACCATCATCAGTAGTTGACTGGGACAGCTTGATCAGCATCCTGTAGCCATGGAATGGAGAGTCTCTTTAACAGTATCGCTTGTTGTGTAATGTCATGCATCACATTCGTCACAGTTTGTTCTCGCTTATAAAAGAAGAGTTGCTCAAAGGCTGACTCAAGCCTGTATTATTGTCAGTAAGAATTCCAATCTCATTTAAATCAGATCTTATAGCTCAATACTGTTACACAAAGTTTTGAGGATATCCTATTACAGTGAGTTTTAGTTTTACACCGCTTTTAGCAATATTCCAGCAAAATCACTGCGGGGGGACACCAGAAATGGGCTTCACATATTGTACCCATGTGGGGAATTGCAACATGGTCTTCAGCATGACGCTTTAACCACCAGGCTACCCAACGGTCGCAGTTTCAAAGAAAACAGCCAGATGTCTGTTTCCAGTTATGAGTGAGTGAGTTTTGATCTTACGCCGCTTTTAGCAAAATTCCAGCAATATCAGTTTAGGGGACACCAGAAATGGGCTTGACACATTGTAACCAACCCGGGTCTTTGGCATGACGAGCAAACACTTTAACCACCAGGCTACCCCACTGCCCTTATATTCAATTACAGGTCACCTCGGTAAGGATGTTTGCGAGTTTTGAAGATGAATTAAAAGACTAACAATGAAGTTTACAAGGAGTACTCTTTTATAAACATGACATTAAAGACATTAAAGACACTTACGTATGTGGGTAATAAATAACCGGTACCTAACTCTACTGGTTGACATGGAAGATACCAGACTCTAAAACAATGAACACTACAGTAGTCCATCCTTTATCTTTGGACAAACCTGTCTGAGAGGACAATGGTCCTGTACTTGACACACAACATAAGTTATGTCAACTTGTCAGACACCATTCTGTGTGACCCGTGAAGGTCCGGGTTAGAATTGATCTTCAGCAACCCATGCTTGTCATAAAAGCATGGGTTACTGAAGATCAATATTCTAACCCGGACCTTCACGAGTAGTTGTAGTGTTTAACTCTCATAATCAGATGTATTGCTGTTGTTGTCATTACAAGTTGCAGATGAGTTCTAGAGATGTCAACAACTGTGGGATGAACATAAGGACGGACAGACAGAGCAAGAAGCTATGTGTGAGGTCTGAGAGACTGATTACTGGAGTAATACTGACGTGATGGCGTTCTCCACATGTACGGCGGCAGTGCAGACATTCGAGGGTGGGGGCAAGAGGCACTCGATCATCACTTGTTTGTACTCCGCCCGATTCTCGTCCATCTTACGCTGAACACTTGTGTTAATGGTCTTCTCATTCACCTGCACAGATAACAAGAAACTTTACGTGTCTGAATACCATTAAAACATGAACATCAAGGTATTTAGGTGAGTTGTACATGCATATTATCATATGTTCTTTGCATCACAATAGAACAGGTTAAATACAAAGAGTGGTGCAAGCTGCAGCAAGTTACATTGTTATCTTTGTATTCATGGTATTGTTTGTTTGTTGCGTTACAGTACATGTAGCAATATTCTAGCTGTATGGCAGCGGTAGGTAAATGATTGTCTTCACAACCATCATAACAAGAGTCATCAGAAGATGACATATCCCTTTGCCGCCCCACATCTTTGAAAGAACAAATCATCTGACAGTTACTTGACAAGTCCAGCTTGATTTTAGACTAAGTGCAAATCGTTTCCATGGAAATCATGAAAAAAATAAATGACAAAAATCTGCAAATAGCAAAAGGCACCACTTCAAGATCTGACTCACATATCTGCCAAGTTTTGCTGAAAGATATTAAGAAGTTTTCCAGTTGTGCTCCGGAAACGAAACCCACCCCTCACTTTTGAGACTAAGTCAGAATCATTTCCATGGAAACCGAGAAAATAATAAATCACAAATATCTGCAAATAGCAAAAGGCACCACTTTGGGATCTGCCTCACATATCTGCCAAGTTTTGCTGAAAGATATTGAGAAGTTTTCGAGTTGTGCTCCGGAAACGAAGCCCACCCCTCACTTTTGGGACTAAGTCCGAATCGTTTCCATGGAAACCGGGAAAAATAAAAATGCCAAAAATCTGCAAATAGCAAAAGGCACAACTTTAGGATCTGTTTGATATATCTACCAAGTTTTGTTGAAAAATATTGAACGGTTCTTGAGTTATGCTCCGGAAACGAAAGCAATCCTTACTTTTTGAGACTAAGTCCAAAATGTTTCCATGGAAACCGGGAAAAATAAAAATGACAAAAATCTGCAAATACCAAAAGGCACCACTCATGGTTCTGTTTGATATATCTACCAACTTTTGTTGAAAAATATTGAACGGTTCTTGAGTTATGCTCCGGAAACGAAGCCCACCCCTCACTTTTGGGACTAAGTCGGAATCGTTTCCATGGAAACCGGGAAAAATAAAAATGTCAAAAATCTGCAAATAGCAAAAGGCACAACTTTAGGATCTGTTTGATATATCTACCAAGTTTTGTTGAAAAATATTGAACGGTTCTTGAGTTATGCTCCGGAAACGAAAGCAATCCTTACTTTTTGAGACTAAGTCCAAAATGTTTCCATGGAAACCGGGAAAAATTAAAATGACAAAAATCTGCAAATACCAAAAGGCACCACTCATGGTTCTGTTTGATATATCTACCAACTTTTGTTGAAAAATATTGAACGGTTCTTGAGTTATGCTCCGGAAACGAAGCCCACCCCTCACTTTTGGGACTAAGTCTGAATTGTTTCCATGGAAACCGGGAAAAATAAAAATGACAAAAATCTGTAAATAGCAAAAGGCACCACTTTAGGATCTGTTTGATATATCTACTAAGTTTTGTTGAAAAATATTGAATGGTTCTTGAGTTATGCTCCGGAAACGAAGCCCACCTTTCTTTAAGACTAAGTCCAAAACGTTTCCATGGAAACCGAGAAAAATAAAAATGACAATTATCTGTAAATAGCAAAAGGCACCACCTTAGGTTATGTTTGACATATCTACCAATTTTGGTTAAAAAATATCGAACGGTCTTTGAGTTATGGTCCGGAAACAAAATGATTACGGACGGACGGACGGACGGGCGGACGGACGGACGGACAGACGGACGAGGCGACGACTATATCCCACCGCATTATATGCCGGTGGGATAATAACCTATTACCTCACTGCATCTGGATTTCAAGTGAATAATATCCCTTTATTTTATCATAATTCTGACCAGTGGTGAGGAGAGGTAAAATGGGTAAATGTCACATTCAACATTATTGTGCTTATATAGTGACCTGCATTCACATTATGTATATGTGCATATAATGGTCATACACTGAGATACCATGCTTCACTTAAACATGGACATCCCACTCAAAGTACACTGACGGAGCTGTCAAGTTGTGGTTTAACCCTTAATATGAAATGCCAGGCTGGGTAACACCAAGTACCATCTTTAACATCTTTGACATGTATCTAGGGATTGAACCACTGATCCTCATCTATGTGGTAACTGATGAAAAGAAAGTGCATATTTCTTCTACTCTTGATAACTGATGAAAAGAAAGTCACTTCTGAAATGAATCTCCCACAGGGCCTCACTGAGACAGACTGACTGACATAGTTTTATTCTTTTACAATATTTGAATCTCCCAGAAATGGGCACTCATGTGGGAACAAAACCGTGGTGACTTACCTGCTTTAACCACTGTAGCCACAGCTGGATTAGTGCACCTGTGCAGAGGGTTCACCTTGCTCTTACACTCAATCGTCAAGGTCACCTGGGAAGGAAACAGCACATTTTGTAATTTCTTTTCTCACATATTTATTATAGGATTATAGGATATTTATATAGCGCATATATCCATGCATATGTAAAATCTTGCAGCTAAAGGTGTGAGTTTGAAGGTGCAATCTGTTGTTATTCAAGTCAGGAATAGAACACAACTGACTGACTGACTGACTGAGTTTGGTTTTACGCCGCTTTTAGCAATATTCAAGCAACATCACGGCGGTGGACACCAGAACTGGGCTTCACACATTGTACCCATGTGGGGACTCGAACCCGGGTCTTCGGCGTGACGAGACAACGCTTTAACCACTAGGCTACCCCACACATTGTGTCCACCTGCTTTCTATTATATCCTTTTCTTGCTTAACACTGCAGAAACTGGTGATTGATAGTGCAAACAAGATACCACACTACAAAGGTATGATGACATTTGATTAACCAAATCAGTTTGGATTTCATTGATCTCATCAGCCTATCCACAAGTCTTTCACAGACAACTTCAACTGCAGCAAGTCATAATATTTGTACCTGGTTGAGTTGGTTGGAGAACAACTCAGGTAACAGGTCAAGGTAGATTCCATCTACAGCACAGTGCTGGGCCACTCTAGTAGAAAACACCCTGAAAAATACATGAATGTCAATTATATAAACAATCACAGCTTTAACTAGAAATAGTTACCAAACATAAAACATAGACATTGAAGTATACAGAATGAGTTTGTGAGTAGGTTTCATACTGTCTGCAGTAATAAGGATGCTCCCTAAAATGGTTATAAACTGAAACCATGTTGGGATTTGAACCTGTCTTCTGAATGAGTCAAGGGCATACTGAGTTAACCTTCTAGCTGGAAGAGACACCCTTGGGTTGTATGCTCTTCTGGGAACTGAGAATTAAAATCAAAAGCACACTGATCCATTGACCTGGGCTCCTTTCAAGAAGCAACCTTTACCCAGGTTAACCTTAACTCCCATTCTTTAAAATTGCACTAAGGTTACCTTAGAGACTTATAACCTTTGTGCTTTGTGAAAGGAGGCCCTGTGTAATAATGCATTTCGAGCATGTCGATCTAGCGAAAATATTTTTTTTTTCATTTAAACTTTTATTTCAAAGTAAATAAAGGTATCAATCACAAAATACATCTACACGAACAGGGTATGACAAGAAGACCAGAAATTGTGAAACATACTGACTCTATTTGACTTTTCAGCTGCACATTTAGTAACATTATAATAATCACTGACTTTGCATATTAATGTTTGGAAGGTTGGCATAAATAAAAAGTGATGCGAATTAGAAGATAAAGCTACTCTGTTTTCAGTTTTGTGGTCCTTTATCATTATTTAAGACCGTTAAATGTATTTTAAAAACCGAACGCGTTTAACGCTAACCCTAACCCTAACCCTGGACCCGCTTTGAATATACTGCCGCTTTTTGCGCAGATGACGGATTTTCCAGCTTCGTAGTTTCTTCACTGGGATTAGGGTCAAGAAATTCTTCTTCAAACCATTCGCTTTTTAAATAAAAAACCCCAAAGATGCTGCCCATGTCCGACATGTTTGTTTACAAACAATAGGGACAACGAGATCGTTTAATTCGTCACTTTAATTAGCGGTCCTTAAACTGTCTTTTAAGTACGGTTTTGATAAGGTCTCAGCCAATCAGAATCGAGTATCACACATTGTCGTGCTAGAATGGCGTATTATTACCATAATGGTAATAAGTATCAGTACCCAGCCTATATAACAAGCAAAACACTCCAACATAAAGACAACATCTGGGACCTATGTTACTTTGTGAGTGAGTGAGTGAGTTTAGTTTAGTTTGTATAGTCCCAGAGCATTACCTTGTATAGTCCCGGAGTGTGTTGAGGTCAGCATCCAGGAGGTGTATAAGTGAGTGTTTCTCCACCAGGATGGCTGTGCTGATGTCTGGTACCGGCGCCTTCAAGGTGCACAGCGGTGGGGCAGACAGAGGGGGGTCGTAGTGACGGAGACGCACCAAGATCCGGTCAGCAGCTGGGGGGTTCAAATGAACATGTCACAATGCTAGCGTGTGAGAAACGAACCTAAAACCTTCATATGCTACTGGGGTTTATAGTCAGAATATCTCCATTCATGAATTTTGAGTGAGTGAGTGAGTTTAGTTTTACGCCCCACTGAGCAATATTCCAACTTTATGGCGGTGGTCTGTAAATAAGCATATCTGGACCAGACAATCTAGTGATCAACAGCATGAGCATTGATCTGCGCAATTGGGAACCGATGACATGTGTCAACCAAGTCAGTGAGCCTGACCACCCGATCCCCTTTAGTTGCTTCTTACAACCAGCATTGGTTACTGAAGATCAATAATCTAACCCGGATCTTCACGTGCTTGAAGTGGACCTTACCTTCTTTTATGATGAAGTGGAAGCTAGTAAGAGGTTTCTAAATTTGACTGTAAGCAACAATTCATGCTATCATAGTACAATGACAGTATAATGGCAGGCAACCAAGTCAAACCTAACCACCCAACACATTCAGTCTTCTTATATGACATACAGAGGGTGTTGTAAATAGTAACACTAGTAAATCAACAAAAGATGTTTTATTAAACAGACCTGTAAAACTTAGCTAAACCTGTAGAGGTTTCCAGTTCTTTGAAGAGAATCATCCTTGGGGTACATATATGCATTTTCTGCAGCTGAAAATGTCATGTGACAGTTGTATCAATGTTTTAATAAAAATAATGTACAATAAACAATAATATACTGGCCACATAAAGAAACTGTGCACACAGAAAATATAAAGATAGGCAGACAGCGTCTTTATACATAAATAAGGGTGTGAACATAACAAGTATTGGAGACAATCAAACGCTCATGCAGGTGCCAGGCGACCTGACGTGGTGGCCATTGGACTTGCAATGTGTTACTGCACGTGCAGCCCCGTGCAGCTGCATACAACATGTGAAACTCAGAAATTGCTGTCACTGTCGAAAGCTTGATCTTTGGTCATTCAAACGTTCACAAATTCACATGAGAAGTCACATGCACATAATGCCAAGATTAACATCTGCTCAACGTCATGAAGCCATTGGAATGGTTCGAGCAGGCATGAGCCAACAACAGGTGGCAGCACATTTCCAATGCCATCGTAACACGATATCTGCATTGGTCAGGCGTAATGACGTCGCCAACCACCCACGTTCTGGGCGTCCCCGAGTAACGACGCCAAGACAGGACAGATGGATTCGGGTGACTCATCTCAGACACAGGTTCCAGACGGCAGTGACCACGTCCCAAACGATTCCCCAGGCCTTCAATGCTCATTTGGTAGCCTCGTCGATGCACTGCTGTGCTTCACGCGCATGATGGTCATACCCGTTATTGACTTTGTGACTTCGACGTGTGACCCCCTACTCAATTTTGAACTGCTGACGTCATCGTTACGGATATTGTTCATGTTCTTTTGACATGTTGTTGTGGCCCGATACGTCAGCTTATAAAGTGTCTACATCATTTCGTCTTTTCTGTGTTGTATTCCAATTCTGAAGGAATTTACTGTGTGCACAGTTTCTTTATGTGGCTAGTTTTGATAAAAAATCTTTTTTATGTATTATACAGCCCCCACCACGTGGAGTTACCTCCCTGCTACGCATGCGCAGCCAACCAGGTAAGCACCTAGGCCCGTATCATCATTCCTTCTGCTGAATAAATCAGTGAACAGAATTGCGGGGAGGTGGGTGGCCCTACCCCAAGGACGATTCTCTTCAAAGAATTGGAAACCTCTACAGGTTTAGCTAATTCTTTTTCATAGAGATCATCCTTGTGGTACATATATGCATTAACTCAGACTTTCAAAGACCGGAGACTAAAAAAACCCGCCCACATCGTGAATCTATTAAAGAGCACTGTAAGGGGGAAAACCAACTCACAACCGACTATAATCTCAGGAGAGAAATCGAAAGTAGTTAGATATGATAACAGCGGATATATCAATTATACACAATTGAAAGCAGCGTCTACAGTGCAGATAACCAAGACTCACTCAGTCAGGGTGGCAGGACACTGTCCAGTGGGGAGAACAGAAAGGACAAAACGCGCACGATCACGAGAATGTGTATCGAGCTGATAGTGCCTGATAAAAGTGCTAGGCCTGCTCCAAATAGTGGCAGAGCATATCTCTTCAATGGGCAGTGCCGATGCAAAAGCCTTTGAAGTGGCCACTGCCCTGACCGAGTGAGCCTTCAACCCCTCAGGGGGAGGCTTGCCCTTAGCCTGACAAGCAGCACAAATGACCGATACAAGCCAGCGTGATAGGGTCTGTTTGTTAGCTGGCATCCCAGCCTTCCCGCCACCGTAACAACAGAACACATGGGTACCCGTACAGATCCCTTGTGTTCATTTGATGTAGACCTTGAGGGTCTTACGGACATCCAACGGGTGAGTGCTCGTTGCAGAGGTACTCGATGTGGAAGGCTGGGTAAGAGTAGGGAGTTTGATAGGAGCTGTCACATGGAAAGCGTGATCGATCTTCGGATGGTAAGTATCCGGGAGGCGAATACTGACACGATCTGGATGGAACACAGTCAGCGCCGGGTCTGCCGACATGGCATGTAAGTCGCCGACCCTTCCCCCAGATGTAACCGGCACCAGAAATATGGCCTTCCAAGTTAACAGCTGAATGGAAATAGCTGATAGACGTGAGAACGTAGTACCGGACAGCCAATCTAGCATGATTGACAAATCCCAAGGTGGGTTGGTTCGCCTGACAACAGGTCGAACCCGATCCACGCCAGCTAAAAAGCGCTGCATAAGAGGGTGCTGCCCCAGAAGAGCACCATCGACAGGGGTGTGGAAAGTGGAAAGAGCGGTGGAGTAGCCACGAATGGTCGAAGCCGCCAAGCCTTCTTCCAAACGAGCTTGCAAAAACTCCAATACTCAAGACTAAATCCGTAGAAAAGGGATCTGCAACCCCCCTAACTGAACACCAGCGCGCATAGCGGGACCACCTATCCTCATATTGAATGTTTGTCGAATCCCGCCTCGAAGCCAGAATTGTGTCTGCAATTGCTGCAGGAATTCCGCGTGCTTCGAGGCTAGACGTGACAGAGGCCAAGCCATCCACTGAATCCTTGGATTGGGGTATGGTGAGAATGGTAATAGAACAGGAGGCTGAGCCAGAAACCTGAGAATTACCGGAAACCAGCTCTGTGACGGCCATAGCGGTGCCAGTAGCACAAGTAGCCGAGCTGGCTCGGTGGACAGCTGGGAGAGGACCCGGGGGATGAGTGGTAGAGGCGGAAACGCCCACAGCACCTTGCCCGTCCAATCCACCAGGAAGGCGTCGGAAGCCAACGCCCTTTGGTCCGGTATTTCGAGAGCAGAACACAGGTATCTGACCGGCGAGTCGCACGTTCTCCAGCCCCAGGAGATAAACATGAAGCACCTGACAGTCGCACTTGTCGCACCAGAGGAGAAATTCCCACGCCTCCCGAACGACCTTAGGGACACCGTGCCGCCTTGCTTCAGGATGTACGTCATGGCCGTACGGTTGTCCAACTTAAGACGAACCACCTGGCCCTGAACATGCTCCCGGAAGCGCTCGAAAACCAACAGCACTGCTCTCAGTTCTAAGACATTGATGTGAAGGTGGGCTTCTGCTTCGGACCAGAGTCCGGACACCGACAGACTGCCCAGAACACCACCCCAGCCCGTGAGGGACGCATCGGTTTGAACTGTAAGAGCTGGCGTCAGGATTTCCAAAGGGCCCCCCTTGGAGAGATTCCCGACATTGGTCCACCACTGAAGGTGAGGAGACAACCACCCGGGGACTGTGAGACACTTCTCCAGATCCTCCGAGTGAGCCCACAGACTCGCCAAAGCTTGCTGTATAGGGCGCATCCTCAACCGCGTCGCCACACTACAGAGATAGTTGCCGCCATATGACCCAGTAGACGGAGCCAAGTCCGTGCTGGTGCCTGGGTCTGGTAGAGGAACGAAGATACCATCTCCTGTACTCTGGTGACCCGGTCGGGCGACAAAGAGACAAGACCCTTGTGAGTTGTGAACCGTGCCCCGAGAAAAACCACGTCCTGGGTGGGTACCAGGTGGGATTTCTTGAGGTTGATGATCCACCCCAATCGAACTAGAATGTCTATCACCGCGTGGGTAGAATCTAGGCTCGCTGGCTGAGTTAGTGAGCCAGTCCTGAGGTAAGGGTAACAATGCCTTCCTTGCGACCTTGCGAGGGTAGCCGGCACTAACATGAGCTTGGTGAACACCCTGGGGGCAATGGATATGCCGAAGGGGAGCACCGTGAGTTGGTAATACATCCCGTCGTAAGAGAACCGGAGGTACTGCTTGAACGATGGATGAATTGGTTATGTAGATAGCTAGGTCGATCGATGTAAGCCAATCGCCGGGCTGAACAGAGGAGATCACCGAGCGAAGTGTCTCCATCTTGAAGGATGAAACCTCTAGCATGCGATTCAACCCCTTGAGGTTGAGAATGGGATGGAACCCGCTGTCGTGGAATAAAACCCCGTCAGTTCCTCGCCCGGTGGTATGCGCTCTATTGCGGACTTGTCCAGCAAAGCCTGAACTTCGTCTCACAGTATACCCGCCTTGACCGGACATGACGGCACTGTAGTGCGACGTATGCCGGTGAACACTGGCGGGCCTCGCTTCCACAGAGGTAGATGGCCGACACTGACGGTGGATAGCACCCAAGTGTTGCTGGTAGCCTTCTCCCACTCCGGTAGGAATAGAGAGAGGCGGCCCCCCACTGGGACGTGTGGTAAGAGTGCGTGAGCGGTCACCTGCAGATGAACTGGCTGGGACGGACCCATGGCGACAGCCTGCTGGTTTAACGGGAGGTCGAGGCAGACCCCCCGCGACCGCAAAAAGGCTGCTGGGAGCCAGACGAAGAGGCCTGCTCCTTGCCCTTACCTTTGGCGGGACGGCTCCTCCTCCTACCTCTACCCAGCGGCTGAAGCCAGCTGGCAGACTCGGGTGTAGGCTGCGCCCCGGAGGAAGAACCCGCTACGGGAGCGCAGGAGCGAGAAGCCCGCGGTTGCTCCAACAAGGCCTTAGAGTCCTTGAAGGAGGTAGCTGCAGCAGCAGCCTCCCGAATGACCTGCTGTGCCCCCGGAAACAACGTCGCTCCCAGCCTAAACGGAAGGGCCAGCAAGGTCTGCTGTGTTGCTGCCGAATAACGGGATGTAGACAGCCACAGCTTGCACATCCCCATGACTGCGCACATCACCGTAGACACGTCAGACTGTAAAGAGTCTCATGTCAGGTGGGCCTGTACTTCAGATAATTGGCGGAGCAGAACATCATTCGGGGAAACGTCCCCAGTGCTCCCTTCCACCAGCTGCATGTCATTCCGGTAGACTTCCTCATAAGTCCGGTATGCCAGTTGTAGGGGGGCGCCCGCTAGGGCAAACGGTGTAACTAACCGCCCTTGCTTAGCAGCCGGGGCTGCACCTGAGGAAGCCAAGCCTCCCCCGAGGGCGACCGAAGTAAGCATTCACTCGTCAACCACCGGCACAAAGAACAGAGAATCATCCCCCAGCTGATATCTCTTAACAATTCTGGGTAGATCGAACCGTAGGCGAGAACCAACCAGGAGGGGATCCATCACGTCCTGCACCAGGGAAGGCAAGATACGGAGCTGTGTCTGAGAGGGTTGCCTAGGGGCAAACGCCTCACCCGGCAGGCGGAACTCAGTCGAGTCCGAGCGACATGTCGGCACCGCGGCTTGGGGAATATACTCGGCAATATGTTGCCTAACCTCCCGGAGAGCCGACGAAAAACGGAAAGTACCCTCCGACTCCTCGACCTCCCCAACCTCCATACACTCAGCACCCGAGCCAGAGTCAGAATTCGGATATCCACGTGAAAAGGAGCCGAACCCCGACGCCGCGGGAATGGAAGAGCTGAAGGAGCTCCAGCCACCGACACTCGAACACTCGAACCCCGGTCCAGAGACATGGGAGGAAGGCCGGACAGAACCGGCTCTTCCCCTCTCATGGGTCGGGGCGGCACAGGGACTGGAACCCCAGGAATCCTCAACGGACCCTGAGAGGAACTGGGAGTGAACCCTCCCCCCTTCGGGGCAGCCGAGGCATCCGGAACCGAAGCCAAAGGCAAAGGATCGACAGACGCCTCCAGGCCAAGGACTCGAGCTGAGCTCGGCGATCCCACCCCCGACTCTCGGTCCCCCGATGAGAGTGGGCGAGGAATCCATATGCTGCTGAAACAATTGAGTGATAAATGATATATCAAAACCACTCGACGGAGAGTGTGACCTATGTGAAGACTTAGTTTTAGTTTCCTTAGCCTTTTTGGCCTTGGACGGGGGAACCTCCTGTGTCAGGTCCCCTCCCGCGTCACGCAATTCCTTATAAAAAAGGAAATCAGATGCCTGTCTCTTCTGGGCCTGGGATGGAGAAGCCCATGCACAACTCACAGTTGTCAGGGTTATGCCCTGCCTTCTCCAGGCAGCATAAGCATTTGTCATGCTTATCAGAACGGGGAATATTTTGCCCGCAGGCAGCACATCCCGTAAACGCCTGAAAGCAAACACGCAAGCATGTAGCTAACGGCGTACACAACAGCATAATATACACGTACAAAACATTGAAAATTACATGAATGCGACAACGCGACATGAAATACTTGGTTAATAACGCAATATTTCAACCAAGAGGCACGCTAAAACTTCCCGCCATGGAATAGCAACACGTGCGTAAACCACGGGAAAGCTAGCGTAAAAGTGTAATACAAAGTCACATAAATGAGAAATAACAGACAGCAAAGTCCATAAAATGTTTCTCAAAACGAATAAAGACCATACATACAGTTGTTGAAGTCTCAGACATTCTTCTACAGAAGTAAATCAGCTAGTAACTCAGGTTGGAAATATGTGTGAACGCTTGAGTGACTGCAGAAGGAATGATGATACGGGCCTAGGTGCTTACCTGGTTGGCTGCGCATGCGTAGCAGGGAGGTAACTCCACATGGTGGGGGCCGTATAACATATAAAAAAGATTTTTATGTATTGTACAATTTTTTTTATTAAAACATTGATACAACTGTCACATGACATTTTCAGCTGCAGAAAATGCATATATGTACCCCAAGGACGATCTCTATGAAAAAGAATTGTGGTTTACTGTTTACTGTAAAAAATTCCAATTTCCAGTCTGACTAGCTTTATGAAAATGTTCAAATCCTAAATGAAGAGACACTGACAACTGGCTAGTGGACACACAGCTACTTCTATCAGTGACTAAGTGGTGACATAATTGCTATCTATAAACAAAGCAGAATTTTACAACCAGTTTTTCAACGTGTGCAATACAACCTGTCCCTACTCCAGTGCATGTTTCTGTGTAACCAACCTTTGTGGGGATCCAGCTCTGGGTTGAGCATGGTGTTTCTCACATCATCTGAGGAAGCAGCATTAACCAGTTTATTCCAGTCCTCTGCGGACTTTGCCAGTTGGTGCCGGACAGACTCAAGATCTACAAACTCCAGCCATGGCACCTGCACAGACGTCAATGGAGAGTCAGTGTCTGTGTATTATCACTCAGCCAGTAGAGACTTATTGTCAAGACTACTGGCATGTAATCCATCACCAAACACAACCACAGCTTTAACTTGAAAGACAAATTATCTCTTTCATGTATCAATATTATGTTTAGTTAATCTTCACTTAGTAAATGTTTAGATATACACCAGCAATGGACATCACACACTGTACCTATATTGGGAATCAAACCCACACCCTCAATATGATGAATGGACACTCAAAAAGAACAAGGTTACACAACCACCCCTAAAAATCTAGTAAAATTTCTTACCATCTGATTCTGGAATACTTGCAGAAGGCGAGCTGAGTCGTACTGAGCTGGAAGGGATGGGAGGTAGAGGTTGGCGTCATGGAGACGAGGTTCATCCAGCCAAAGGGCAAATGTCTGGTACATCCTGCCAAGAGATATGTATACATCTTAGAGACACAACTTAAGTCTCAATCTCAAAAGGTGCTGTGTCTCCACACACTGATAAATAACACACTGATCTTAAACAACATCTACAGAACACTAACTAATGAGTAAAAATGGCTACCCTACTGAACTTATTTGATGCTGCAAAATTATTCATTGAGCTTATATCCCTCTTTACCCCACAGACCCAACAAGCCCCAATCAGCCCAGATTCACATCCCCCTCAATCGGCCACGCCACCATCACTCCCTCTCTACCCTACAGACCCAACAAGCCCCCATCAGGCCAGATTCAAATCCCCCTCTATCGGCCATGCCACCTTCACTGCCTCTCTACCCCATACACCCAACAAGCCCCCACCAGGCCAGATTCACATCCCCCTCAATCGGCCACGCCACCTTCACTCCCTCTCTACCCCACAGACCCAACAAGACCCTATCAGCCCAGATTCACATCCCCTCAATCAGGCCAGCTATTGGCCACGCCACCTTCACTCCCTCTCTACCCCACAGACCCAACAAGCCCCCATCAGGCCAGATCCACATCCCCTCTATCGGCCATGCCACCTTCACTGCCTCTCTACCCCACAGACCCAACAAGCCAGATTCACATCCCCCTCAATCGGCCACGCCACCTTCACTCCCTCTCTATCCCACAGACCCAACCAGCCCCAATCAGGCAAGATTCCCATCCCCCTCTATCGGCCACGCCACCTTCACACCCTCTCTACCCAACAGACCCAACAAGCCCCCATCTGGCCAGATTCACACATCCCCTCTATCGGCCACGCCACCTTCACTCCCACTCTACCCTGAAACAAGTCCCACCTGGCCAGCTTCTGGTGAAACTCCTTGGTGCTGGTGTATCCTGGTTGCCTCTCCTGAGTCTCCTCGTCCGAGCCGCTTGTGTCCTCTGTGTTGTCTCCCTTGTCCTTCTTGCTGTGGGAATACATGTGGTAGTCTGCCACCTCACCCAACCGCTTCTTCATCCTCTTCAACATGGAGGAGTAACTCATGCTGTGGAAGAACCTCTCTCCCACACTGGCCCGCTGAGGAAGACTAACAGGAGGGACGTTTGGATTAAATCAACTCTATTCCAGATTCCTGTGAATTTGTTTATTTGTTTTTCAATGCCGCACTCAGCAATATTCCAGCTATATGGTGATGGTCTGTAAATAACTGAGTCTGGACCAGACAATCCAGTGATCAACAGCATTAGCATCGATCTACGCCACTGGGATACAATGACATGTGTCAACCCAGTCAGCGAGTCTGACCACCCGTTAGTCACCTCTTACAACAAGCATGGGTTGCTGAAGATCAATACTAACCCTGATCTTCATGTTTTTGTGAATTTAGACTAAACTTTATCTAATGACAGATACACTCTATGACACTGGTAGCCATTTATCTCCCATACCTCGAATCAAACACCTGTCTGCCCAGGTAGAGCAGGAAGAACCTCTGCCACACTACAGGGAGGAATGGATGGGAGATCGGAGAATCAAGGGCTTGCTGTGCCCAGCGATAAATGTTCAGACGAGCAAAGGCTGGAGCTTGTTCTAACTTCAGTTTGGGAATCACACGCTGGAATGAAATTCACTTCCATTATATATTCACCTCTTTTTTCACACAATTCAACTATTCTCAAATAAATATGGGTAACAGGAAAAATCCAAATTAATTGATCTGTTTGTTCATTTGCAGTGTAACACCTCACTCAGCAATATTCGGTCTGTAAATAATCAAGTCTGGACCAGACAATCTAGTGATCAAAAGCATGAACATCGATCGGTTGCCCCTTAAAAGATGTAATTTTTATGATAAAATATTATTATTTGTATACTTATCCTGACTCATGATTATTGCTTATCTCCCTTCTCCTTCGACGGTCAAGTGGAAACCTTGAAATTCACTGAAGCGTCCATACAATCACTCACCCTGAGTTACCTCCTTATTCCCGCCAAAACCGGTTCCACGTGACCTGAGACTAGCTCTTATCACTCTCTCCTTCATCGCCCTCACCAACGGTCGGGCGGTCCTTATGGGTCCTATTTGCGGCAGATATCCTTTCATTTCGGCCTTATATCATAAATTGTGGCCGCAGATTGTATTTAGATCCATATTAGTTGCATCTATATTATTATGTAAAATTCTACTAAAGTGACGTATTTTCACTTTGTTTCAGGTCAGGTGTTGTTCAATGGTGGCATGTCAGCAATGCAGATTGAGGCTATCTGCGTTCGATTCACATCCTGTTTGCTCCTCTTGTTGCCTTCATACTTGTTCTTTTGATTCACGTTGCCAATATTGCATTAATTTATCAACCCAATTATTTACTAAATATTTATCAGCCTGCTTACGCCAGGAGTATAGATAAACAACATCGTTTATAAACAAATAATCAAGAGTCAGGATAAGGAAACATTATGGGTTACATAAGACAATTCTAACATGCACCTCCATGGGTACCGAATTAATTGAATACTAATGCCTCTCTGTAAGGGTTTATACTGTTAGCATGATCATGAATAGTTCTTTTTCAAACTATTTTCACCAACAGTTCTGTGTTTATTTAAGATATTAAGTAAAAGCCCAGTTATCCAAAATACAACCGTATCTGATAATCAACTCAGGGTTTTACACAGGCTTTATTAATTCTAAACAAAGCAGGATTGTGAAACCATAGCATAATGTGTTGCTGAATGCAATTTAATATGAAATAAGGTTTTTGGATTTAAGGTACACATATTTGAGAAAATATTGCATCAACTATGAATTGTATGAAACTGTTTATGGAGTATTTCATGAAGAAGATGACATTTTAAAACCATAATTTCACCAATACTTCCGAACTGTTTTCATATATAATGTAAGAGCCACAGTATTATAAACTGAAATATAACTGATGATTAAGATCAGGCATATCGTACCCTGTGAGCCTGATCAGGAGTCAGCTTGGTGTCACCATACATATCCTGTACAAGAGACAGCCACAACTTCGTGTCTGCCTCATAGTCAGCCTCCACAACCAGGATCATGAAGGCCAGCCAAGTGAATTCTGGGAAGGAGTTTCGGTCCATCAATGAAGGCAGCGTCACACCCGAAGCGATCCAACTGACGACAGACGTCACTAATCCTTGGTTCTGGTCACTTTTACGAATGTCCTGTAATAACAGAAAAACAGTGGACCATTATAACAAATGTTTGTCCTGCGGTAACAGATAAACAGTGGACCATTATAACAATTGTTTGTCCTGTAATAACAGAAAAACAGTGGACCATTATAACAATTGTTTGTCCTGCGGTAACAGATAAACAGTGGACCATTATAACAATTGTTTGTCCTGAGGTAACAGATAAACAGTGGACCATTATAACAATTGTTTGGACCATTATAACAATTGTTTGTCCTGCGGATACAGATAAACAGTGGACCATTATAACAATTGTTTGTCCTGCGGTAACAGATAAACAGTGGACCATTATAACAATTGTTTGTCCTGTGGTAACAGATAAACAGTGGACCATTATAACAATTGTTTGTCCTGCGATAACAGATAAACAGTGGACCATTATAACAATTGTTTGTCCTGCGGTAACAGATAAACAGTGGACCATTATTACATTTGTTTGTTTGCTTGTTGTCTAAAAATGCCACACACAGCAATACTCCAGCAATGTGATGGTGACTTGTAAATAATCATGTCAGGGCCAATACACTGATTGATAATGTGATCAGTGATGACAAAATCAACAAAATCACCAAGCCTTAGAAACCACATCCGTGAGTGAGTGAGTAAAGGAGTGAGTGAGTGAGTAAAGGAGTGAGTGAGTTGGGTTTTATGCCTTATTTAGTAATAGTCCAGCCATATCTTATCTGGGAACCCAGGTTGTGTGAGTGAGCGTGTTAGTGAGTTGGGTTTTATGCCAAATTTAGCAATATTCCAGCCAATTCAGATCAGGGAAAACAGAAATGGGCTTTACAAAGTGAAACCATATGGGGAACCAAACCCAGGCCTTTGGCTTATTGAGCGAAGGCTTTGACCACTAGGCTACCCTTTACCTGCCCCCCAAACCAGAGGGAACAAGCATTGTCACTAAGGTGACATAATCCCCCGCCACAAATTATCAAATCAAACTTAAAACTTGGTGTTGAATATGAAGAAAATCTAGTAAACGATTCTTGAGATATCTCGCTGACAAGGGTAAAATGTTAAAGTCCCCTTGTGACCTTGAAATGAAGGTCAAGGTCACCAAACCTGACTGGGACCTTTCTTTTACTGCGATGAATCTAGGTACCAAATAAGAAAAGAATCCAGTCAACAGTTCTTAAGATATTCCAATTCGTACGTACAGACAGACAGACGAAGCCTAATACTATATCACCTGATTCGCACTAAAAGCACTTCGGGGTAAAACAAATATTGAGAAATCCACAATATTGTGGTGCAGTAAGCACAGAAGTCTCCACAGAAACAAGAACCTATCCATGTGTAACCATGACAAGGAGAAATAGGCTGTACTTCACAACCCACTCGGTCCACTGAGCCATCCTACTGCCAGTCATGTCTCACCTTAAATGCTTGTGTAAAAACCAGCTTCATTTCATCAACGGCACCCATGACTGTGAACGCCCTTTCCACAAGAGAGTCGACCAGGTAGCAACAGTTCCTGTAAATACATCAGTTTTCAGAACACAGACAACCAACTTCAGTGACATTTGACCAAACAATACAGATGTGATAAGCATTTCATTTAACAGCCTCTTGCTGTTTATTGCTTTAAAAATGCGAATAACAAACTACATTTAGTGGTCCCTCCCATGAGCTTACTACATACATTGTTTACTGTACATAATTTACCAAACATTCACAATTTATTGCACTGTGTTTCACATATTGTGGGCATGCAATTCACGTACATTATGGCAGGGTTGTCAGTGCAGTATGTTCGAGAATAAATCAGGAAAACACTATTGAGCAAACAATGTTTGTGCTGTCAATATCAAAATGTTTCATAAGGGATTTGTTTGTTTGTTTCTTTCTTTCTTGTTTAATGCAGCCCCCAGCAATATTCCATCTATATGTCTCAGGACAAGATAATCCCATGATGAACGGCATGAGCACGGATCTACGCAAGTGGGACACGATGACATGTGTTTCATAGGAGAATCGCCGATAGTTGGTAACCGCAGTTATAACCTACACATAATCACGTCCAGTCTGGCAATCCAGCCGATCATACGCTGACACTCATCCATGTCATGGACACACCATCAGCCACATCACAAATCATAACCACCCCAAGTTTTGTCATCTGCCACACTGTGCATGAGGAACTGGGGGGAAAATATTCTGCAAACGATACCCATTCATGTTAATAACATGAGTATACCTATCAGACGACCATCTTGGAACTTTCATGAGCGCCTTGATCCAAAACATGATGACCACTGTAGTCTTCCCTGCCACAGCACTAGATATCTGGGACTGTAACAGAATATGTGACAACTCTAAGATCAGTTGAACAAGATCACGAAATTGATTACACCATTATCTGTTTGACTGGCATTTTAGAAGTTGATGAATAATAAGAAAGGTAAGATACTTTATGGATAACAAGTTCTTTATTATATTACGATGCGACGTTTCAGTATAGATTCTTATACCATCATCAAGCAAGAGGTGAGGTGAGATGAAATTTGGTTTAACGTCGTGCTTGAGAATATTTCGCTCATATGACGATGTGCATGCGTGTGTATGTGTATGTGCGGCTGCTTGTACTAGCCCAGACTGAAGCTGGTTTTATAGTGCTAGCCCACTGAGATACCATGCCGCAGGCAATGAAGCATGAATACCCCAGACACATTTTACTGACTCTGAGCTGACCAGTCCTTGATGTACCCATTAATGCCGAGCGCCAGGCAGGGACCAACAAGTACCATATTTTAACGTCTTTTGGTATGACGCGGTCAGGGATTGAACCTGCGACCTTCTGCTCTCCGGGCAGACGCTCTAACCACTACACCATGAAGGCAGTCTTCATCAAGCAAGAGTGTGACACGGTATGAGAATCATATTCTTATTGACGTCATAAGAATTTACATCAAAACGTTGCATCATAATAAAAATAAAGAAGCTGCTATCCATAAAGTATTGTACCTTTCTGATTACACAACATTACCTTTATTTTACAAACATATTTTACTGGGGAAAAAAATAAAAAAAGCCAGTCAAAGAAGGCAAACATTGGTTGTCTCACTGTATGGACACTATGGCCTACCTGTATCATGTCTGTGAACTGTTTTGTGACTGTCCCTGGGAACTGGGATCCCAAAACTGACTTGGCCATTTTGAAGAGTGATTCATCTGCTTGATGGAACTACAGTCAACTCCCGGATGAGTCGACGTCGGTGTCTCTAATATTATGCATAACTCAAGTACCTGTCGTCCTGACCATTCCCGTTATAGTTGTCATCATTTGAATAACGGTTACATGAATTCGTCTCATAAATACACACGATGACTCGAGGAGGAAATTTGGTCCCATGAGATTCAAAACAACAGCAATCTTGTATACATATAAGTCAAGTCAGTCAATGAGAAGTTGATTGGTGTAGCAAACTGATCAAATTAACAAAGCTGCTCACACCTTTCCGCCATTGACGGTGAGTTCAAAGGCAGATTAGTGATTTTACGGAAATCACTGTCTTTGCTAATAAGACTGGAACTGATAAGGTGCCCTATTAGTGATATGGAAATCATTAGGAAAACAAATGCTTAGGTGGAGGAATTAGGACTGGATCATCTTTTTTCTACCCTCATAGACATACCTATGTCTCGAATACATCGATAAAGATCAATTTATTACTTGGTCCCAGCGATTCGAATTTACCAAAACTGGACTTTGCCACATTTTGAAGAGTGATTCATCTGCTGCTAGAAGGGTTTGCTCAATCTTCAAGAACCTTTCATTAAAACAGTTTCACCATCATCAATATGAAGAACTCAACAGGATGTTTTAGAAATTTGATGGAACTACTGGCAAAACACAACCCTCCTCAGTTTGGTTCTTTTCATTTAACATTGCAGACAGCAGTATTGCAGCCATATAACATGGCCTCTAAATAATCAGCCATATAAGATGGACTGGAAAACTGGCAGACTGAAAATTCAGCGGTGGATATTGCGATCAATGGCAGAAATCATCATCAGGGTACAATGACAGGCTTCAACCAGGAAAGGTGAGTGAGGATGGTTTATGCCATTTCTAGATATATTCCATCAGCATAATTACTGGGGACACCATAACTTGGCTAAACACTGTTTCATGTGAGGAATCAACCCATCTCAGATGTTAAATGAACACTTCTACCACTGGGCCATCCCTCAAGGGATCTTTTCTAACCCAGACCAATATGAGAGCATAGGGTGTAGACAAGTAGTATTCAAACACAATCTTAACGAAACAACAAGAGTGAGTGAGTGAGTTTAGTTTTACACTGTTTTTAGCAACATTCCAGCAACATTATGCAGGGGACACCAGAAACGGGCTTCACACATTGTACCCATCTGGGGAATCCAACCTTTGGTGTGATGAGCAAATGTTTTTATCATTAGGCATCTAAAAATAACAACAGAAATGGATGTTCAGATTTACAATGAACTTAATAGTCGAACCCCGTTTACTCGGACCCCGTATATATCCAGAAACCCCGTCTTCCGGATGATTTTTAGGTGAAACAAAACTTATCTTCAGTAATTGTACTCGCTTAGCCGGACCCCGCGTTTCCTGACCCAGACAGAGAATTTTTAAAACATTCCCATAGATTTCCATTGAAGAATGATCCTGTTATCTGGATAGAAAGATCTGTATGCATGTGCATGTGTAAGTGTCACGTCAGTACTATTCACCGCATGACTAAGTGTATTCATTGTTAATCTCTCGACAGGCGTTTGATGTGAATTGATTAATTACCCATCAAAACACTAGGGACGCGTTTAAATAGCTGGCCAGTATTGGTACTTTGGGAAACATGCAGGTATACAGTCATCAACAGTTTCAGCTTACCCTTCACTCTGCAGGAAGTACATGGGGGAGTCGTAGAAGTAGGGCACGATGCAGCTGATGATGTGTATGACGGCGGAGAACTGGTTACACATGGTCAGATTCATCAGGTAGTCCATGCCCTCCGTCACGAAACTGGTTATGCTGAAACAAGTCACAGTGACAGGTCAAGAAACTAAATTTGTTCAGTCCTGGCACCAAGAAACCGATGCTGGAAAGTGTGTGTATGGATACTAATCTTCAGGGTACAGTCCTACACTACAGCTGTTCTTTCAGAGATTTGTCTCAACTGCTCAGTTACCTGCCATCTAATCCTCATTATGGTTGAACATGACTGTGATACACATTATCAACTATATCACATTTTGATGAACCAGTTGTCTACATCAACTTTTGTGACAAATGCAAGGAATTCAAATTTCACAAGAAATCTTGAACAGGGAATCTTGAACAAATATGTAATTTTCTGACTAGAATTGATATTTTTTTACTTATCCTGACTCGTGCTAAATGCTCCTTCTTCTTGTGAATGAAAGTGGAACACTAGAAACTTTGAAGTTCCAATCTAAAAGCGGACATAATATCATCACTCACCCACGAGTAGTCTCCCCTTGCCTCCATTTGGCGCCCTTTGTATCACCTGACCAGCCATGTTTGTCACTCTCCCGTGATGTATGCCCAACACCCGGATTTACAGGGAAATCCAGAGTGCCCTGAGGGGAGGTTGGGAAGGCTGACCTCATGAGTCAGGATAAATATAAAATATCAATTTTAGTCAGAAAATGACATATTTTTCCTTATCCTGACTCATGCTAAATGCTTGCAGAATCCGTCGGAAACGGTGGTGGGTCAGGCCACTTCCTGGATTCACTGGCTGTTGTTTTACGTCCTGTATTACCCCCCATGGGAACTTATGACGGCACTGCTGATGATTCTATTCTTCCAACTTCCATCTGATGAGTCGGTGGGGAACCACAACTTGTCAGATTTCTTCCAAAACTTCTCCTGACATTTTCGTGGATTTTAGATATACTAATTTTCCATTAGTTATCTATTGCAACTCCGATCTCTTGATGTGCGCATCAAGTGGAGATGCGACCCTTCTTCATGTACAAGTATGTCATATACAAGTACAGGATCTATCTCCCATGCCAGCCTGTCCTACCATTTGCTCTCCAGAGCGTTGGTTTTCACAAGTCACGGATAAAAGAGTGAGATTTTTCTCAGCCTTTGTGGAACTGTTAGTTGTTGTGCTACAACAAGTGGCCCAAACTGGTGAATGCCTGAGACGTCTTCGGTGGCAATGTCTCTGAGGTAGTGGTTGGCAAACACTGTCCAATTTCCAAAAGCAGCCCTCCATTTTGTTGTAATCGAGCAGTTTCCATGCAGAGTAAGTGTAGACGCCAAGGCTCTGACTTCGTGGGGATTGGAGGCTCGTGGAGGCTCAAGTCCTGCTGCTTTGTTGGCCCTTAGTATAACGGCTCATATCGTTGTCCATGAGACTTCCGTGGGCGTCTCAGTGGATAAGGGATGAATAGGCTTTGTCCTTTGTAGGTAGACTTTAGTGCTAGCTGACAGGGCATATGGATAAATCCTGTGTATCCTGTGGCCCAAGGAGGATGTAGAGAGTGCTGGGATGTGGAACTGTCTGTCACGCTGGCGGGCAGTTGGTTCTTGGCAATAAAGTCCTATCTCAAATCGTGCTCGTTCAAAGTCCAGAACATGTATTTCTGACATCCGTGCTGCTGTTGCTGGGGCGATCAAGAACAGCGTTTTTCTGTGTCAGTAGTTCAAAGGATGTCCGTTCTAGAGGCTCATAGGTCACTGGTGAGATGATGTAGAACTACGTTGAGATCCCAGGCAGGAGCCTTGAATTTCTTTTGTTGGTCTTCCAACTTGAACGAGCGAAGTAGTGCCAGTATCTCTGGTACTTTGGTCAGCTTGACACCCGTCTTCATGGTGATAACTGTGCTGAGAGCAGCCAGGTACGTTGAGAGTGTTGAACCTTTTAAGTGTCTCGTCTGTCGCAAATGACACAGGTATTCCGCCACTTGAGGATGGGTTGCCTTTACCACTGTAAAGCCTTTCCTCGTTGCATACTGTTCAAATCTCTGCCACTTGTCGTCATACAAGTTGCGAGTTGATCTGCGTAGAGCTAGTGTCACTGCTTTCGCTGCTCTGGCAGAGTACCCTCTGGTCTTCAGGCAAGCTTTGATACGCTCCACACGCGTGTAGCTGGAACAATGCCGGATTCCCGTGAGCTTGCTTGGTGTGTGGATGGACGAGCAGGTTCGACCACTCTGGTAGTTTCAGGGCTGGACTTCCGAGTTCTTGTATGAGGACGGGAAACCATACCCTTGCTGGCCAATATGGCGCGACCAAAATCAGCTGCAGCGTTGTCGTCTGCTTGATTTTCTGTATTACTTGTGTTAATAGTGCTGGGGGTGGAAACGCATAAGTGTTTAGTCTTCCCATGAGATGCTTAAAGCGTCTGTTGTCAATGCCTGAGGATCCGGAATCGGTAAGACGAATGTTGGTTGTTGCTTGTTGAACTTTGTTCCAAACAGGTCTATCAGTGGAGATCCTATTGTCTGTATGACGCACCGGAACACTTCTGGGTGTAACATCCATTCCGTCGGGGATGGTTGTAGTGGACAAGAAATAGCGTCTGCTATGACATTCTTTGCTCTTGGAATGTGGCATGCCTTCATGTAGATGTTCAGGTCGCCGACGATGCTGAACAGGAGAAAGCTGAGTTGTAGCAGATTTGTTGATCTTGTTGATCTTGTTGATCCTTGTTTGTTGATGTAGAACGCTACTGTGGAGTTGTCCATGTGGACCGTGAGCCTTGAGTTCTTTAGTGCGCTGGACCAGTGTTGTAAAGTGTTGATCACTGCTTTCCTCTCCAACAAGTTGATGTGCAGACTCTGATCCTGACTCGACCACTTCCCTGCTGCCACTTCGTTGTCAAGGTAGGCACCCCATCCTTGTAGTGATGCTTCACGTAGAGATGAGTGTTGCAAACCAGCTCTGACAAAAAGGTTCCTCCGCAAACATTCGACTTCCGAGTCCACCATAGGAGGTATGGTTTCAGGCTGTCCGGTAGTATCAGCGGATCCAGACTGTCGAGATGGACGTTCACAAATATTTGTAGTGGGCGCAGTTGTAATCTCCCTCTGCGAGTCATGTCTTGAGCTGAGGTGAGTAGACCGAGCATGCTTTGCCAAGCACGTAGTGTCAACGGAGAGAGCATTGCTTGAGATATCATAAAAAGCACTGCGTAGACCTCAACGGTGTAAATATGGGACGATGGGCTTGGTCACTCAAGTAAACAACCAGGGGGCCGACGATTTTCCAAACGGTAAAACCTTCCACTGGAAGTGATGTCCGTTGAAAAGGAATCTTAGGTAATTCCTTGAGTCTGGATGTATCGGGATGTGAAGGTACGCATTTTGAAGATCTATGCTGGCAAGGTAGTCTGATGGACGAACGAGATGTCGGAGCTGAGGAAGATGTATCATCTTGAATTTTGCTGGTCTGCGGAAATACTCCTGGTTGAACTTCCTCATGTTGTAGATGAGCCAAAACTTCTCCTTGGAATTCCTCTTCGGTACCAGGATAATTGGAGAGTAAAAACCGGGCATGATGAGATCTTGATTTATCTCTTCTACTGCATCTTAGTCGAGTAGAGTCTTGATTGCGCCGTCCAGTTTCACTGTCTGGTCGGCTGCATAGTTGAAGGCCAGCGGGTTGCTTGTAAGCGGTGGAGTGGCTTCCATCTGTATCTTGTACCCTCTGTGTAGTATCTGGGATATGCAGTCGTCCTGTAGTATTCCCAAAGTTTCCCAGTTCCGTTGAAGACGTCCACCCACTGTCGAAGGTTGTACAGGAACGGCTGGGGGTGGAAGACTCCAGTTGTTCCAAACCTGTCCTTCAGCGCTTGGTTCCCCTGGCACCCCTGGGTGCTCAGTCTCTTCCGGGGTTACTTCTGGGGGCTCTTCCTCCTCTAGTGTTGGAATACTTCTTTTCTCTGGCTCTCTGGACTCCTGCAAACTTGGATTTGTTAGAGTAGTGCTGGGACGTCTGGCGAATCACATTTGCCAAGGTATCTATGGACTTTATCATCATGACCTCCCTGATTCGTGTGTAACCTCTTTGGCGACTTCTTCAATTCCTCCTCCGAAGATGGATGATGCTGACCATGGGGCTCTGTATAAGGACTTGATGAACCGCTCACTCCAGGTGCATCCGATGAGAGTCAGGCCAATAATGCTTGCCTCCTCAGGAGAGTCAGGGATTTCAAGTGTTCCACTATCACTTCATTTAAGAAGAAGCAGACAAGCATTTAGCATGAGTCAGGATAAGGAAAAATAATACATCAAATGATAAAAAAATACTCCATCTAACTTCTTTAGTTCAGGTACAGCAAAGTCACACACACTCATACACACTCTCCCTTCCTCGCCTCTTATGACCAGTACAGGTTGCCGAGGACCTATTCGGAACCAGAATCCCCGTGAGATCACTTCTTGTGCTAGGAATTCACTTTTTAAAAGATATTTGACTGGGAACCTTGAAGAGATCATACATCATGAGACACAAAAATACACAACTTCTTTATTATTTCAGGTGCTGCACAGTCACACACTCTCCGTCCCTCCCTAACCTCTTACGACCAGTACAGGTTGCTGGGGAACCATTCTGAACCAAGATCTCCTTGACAAACACAAGACAAAGATATACTAAAGCATGGCTGCCAATACAGGTGTAGTTGCTCTTACTTGTGTCCAATACTGGTCATAGTGAGAGCTACAAAGGAAGCCACGGGGTTCTTGAGTTTGAGTCCCCTCGTAACTGGCATCAAGAAGTCATCCTTCAACAGGTCTGGCGGCACCATCTCGGCAGCAAGTTGTTGTGACGGGGAAGGGATGCTGTGTTTATGCAGCTTGAGCTTCAGCAGCAAGTCCCAGGCCCAGTTGTTGAACTGCTGCTCTTGGGTTTGGTTCTGTCGGACTACTGACGCCATCTGCAAGAAAACCCCATGTGAATGCTTACAACATACACAGCAATATTCCAGCATAATGAGGGCAACCTGTATATAAAGAATAACACGGACATGACATGACTCACTGACTGAGTTTCATTTTACGCCGCTTTTAGCAATATTCCAGCAACATCATGGCGGGGACACCAGAAATGGGGTTTACACATTGTACCCATGTGGGGATTCAACCCCTGGTCTTCGGTGACAAGCCAATGCTTTTAACCATTAGGCTACCCCAATCACCCCAGACCACATGTAATCGTGATAGATATTATGAGCTGAAATGAATGTTCAGGGTTCTGGTTCTGTTGTACAACTCATGCCACCTACATAAGGAACCGCCATGTTAGTTTACAACATACACAGCAATATTCCAGCCTTATGAGGGTAACCCATATCAGTGTTTCCGCTCTCCCGTATATACTTGAAAATTCGTTTGGGGACCGTAAATTGAAGCCAGCCGGACACTGTGTCCGTAAATAATCATGTATTAAAACAAAAAATCATGGGTAAGCGAAAGGACAGTCTTGGCTGTGCTTTCATGGTAACTAAAAATTGTTAGGTTTTGGAAATACCCAGGCCAAAAATAACTTTAGAATGAGTACTTTACAGTATGGTAATAGGATATGACCGCAAATTTCATTCATGACCGTAAAATTTTAGGTCGCCAGACACAGTGTCTGATAAATAATTAAGTCAGCGGAAACGCTGTATATACAGTAGAATCTGCACCAGTGATTGATATTATGAGCAATAATGCATGATCATGGTTCTGGTTCTGTCAGACGACTCATGTCATCTGCCAACTCCATCAACGTACGACCTCTGTCTACATCATCCAAGTTATCACCTCAGAAATCAGCACAAACCTACAGCATTTTGTACGAAAGATATTTTGTACTCACCTGCCTGATACCCTCTCCAATGACAGCCCCCATGTGTCTGTTGGATATGTACTTGGAATAACACTCCACGAGTAGTAGCGCCACCTGGCGGTGAAGTCGTACCGGCAACACAGGTGCTCCCGTCTGAAAACAAAATGGTTAATATGCCCACACTCTATTGAGAAACTCATAGGAATGCCAACAGTTTCACAACAATCAAAATTTCCATGCTGAAGCCAACCAACTGTTTATTTAACAAGCACCATCACACATTATATTTTGTTTCACTATTAACAAATAAAATTGCATATCATGACTTCAGAGAATTTTGAATTCATGATGAGAAAAAATTGTATTTTCAGCAATAATTTTAACTGGGACACTATCTAACATTTCTGTTATATTGTATAATAAATGTGGGTGCACACAGGCATCAACCAAGAGACCACAATTTATCAGCAGACATGTCAATTGGACATAATATGAGTGAAGAGCCAGGTTAGAATTGGTCTTCAGCAACCCATGCTTGTTGTAAAAGGCGACTAACGAGATCAGGTGGTCAGGCTCGCTGACTTGGTTGACACATGTCGTCGTATCCCAATTGCGAGGATCGATGCTCAATCTTGATCACTGGATTGTGAGGTCCAGACTTGATTATTTACAGATTGCGGCCATATAGCTGAAATACTGCTGAGTGCCTTTTAAACAGCAACAAACCAAGCAAACCAATTGACATAACTTTTCTGTAAAATGCCTGTGTGGATTTTGTTATGCTGTGATTTTTCGGATCAGCATGTTTATTTTAATCAAGAAGTCTCATGATTTTTATGATTGAAAGCTATTCTAACATGACCTCTAAATGTGTGGTCAAGGCTCTTGAAGTAATTCATTTGGATCACAATGAATTATTTCTTTGTCTCTCGTAGTTGATTCTCCAATTATCTCCTCATGGTGCAGTTCTTACCTGTGTATCAATGCTCCAGTTCTTACCTGTGTATCAATGCTCCAGTTCATCCGACTGAGCACAAGTCTAGCCAGCTGGTTCTCCGGCTGTCCGAGATCTGCCAACAGCAGCCACTGCCTCAATACCAGCATATCCGGGTCGCTAGGCAACCATGACCACATTGGCAGCTCACGGAACAAGTACAGCGACATCTAGAAAGGAGAAAGAGAAAACAAATCTTATCATCTTTTTGTTACATCAAACGACAGGAGAACATTTTGTATGTCTCCGACTGATCAGTGTCATCATTTATCACGAATTAATACTGCCACAGAATGAGTCTGGATATATAATTTCAAATATCAACAAAGACAGACACTTAAGTAAACAATTTTACATTTAAATTGCTTGTTGAGCTTTACCTTCATCAGTCGATTGGTATCTGATGAAATGATGTTCACAACAAACGTCAGAAGATGGATGACAGACAAACAGGCCATGATAAGCTCACTTAACTATCAGTCAGGGTGGGTTAAGATATATAGGTTATCGACGCGTGAGTTTTGGGATGGTTAATATCCTGCATTAGGAATAATCATTGTATTCACGGAGCCTTGGCGAGCTAAATACATAGTGTTTATTCCTAATGCAGGATATTAACCATCCCTAAAAACACACGAAAGTGTGATAACCCTATTTATCATACAATGTCGCTTTTTGCTTTAAAATTTTAAAAATGCGATTTCAAATGCCACAAATCATGAAACTAAACTTCGTGGAATGTCTATGACATCACAAATATGTGCGGAGTAATATGTTACGCCACAAGCCCGGTGACATAATTTTCTCCTGATCACTCAGCGGTCATCTAGCTCCCAGTAAGCTTTTATGCTAAAGCACGTATTGTTGTCAACAAATCTTAGCTTACGCTTGAAAAAATAACAAACTCACGCGGAACTTCAGAAATCTTCAATTAACCTTTAAACAACCAAATACGCTTTTAATGTTAGCGTGACACTGTGCACCGTTCTCTCGCTAACACTGACAGTCGGTCGGGGAACTGATGTTGGTATTTTCGTAAGCCTATGAATTTCTATCTTCGCTTTGTAATCTACTCCATCTATCAAAACCAGGCATGAATTTTCTGGGATCAAAGCACTGACAGTACCGTAACCACGCCATTAATCGGGACACGACCACCAACCCTTGACGCCATGTTTGTTTACACTGTGAAAGTAGTCCCTGAAATTGCGCATATGACCTCTCTAATAACCCCAACAATGGTACCAGTATTTGGAATGGAACATGCTCACATGACCACTTGGCTACACAACACAGACAGCAAAATTGACAATACAGCACATCAGCTAAGTAAGAGTTCCAGTAGTTGAGGACCAGTGAGTAGTCTTGAGGTTACATCCTCCGCTTGTCTTGCCCAAACTCCAGGTTTGATTCTCCAACTGTGTACAATATGTGAAGCCCATTTCTGGAGTCCCTCGCTGTGATTTTGTTGGAATATAGCTAAATGCAGCCTAAAACCAAACTCGCTCTATAACAAGCTGATGCCTGCATACAAGCCTTGAGTTGCCACAGAATATTGCCAGACATTTCCTGATTACTTTTGACAACAATCATGCTAATATACTACGCTCAAGTATATAAACTTTAGACAATATGTTGTGAAACTTTTTCGCTTTGCTGGTGTTAACAAACATAAAGTGACAATGTCACTCACCATTCCCAGTTTAGGCATGACCTCCTTTGACCTCTGCAGTAGCAGCGACAGTATGAAGGGATGTCGGATCACGATGGAAGAGAGCAGCTCTCGACCCACCTTGGAGCAGAACTCACGTGTGTGGCTGCATGTGTATGAGATCTGGAAGTAATTACAGTAATAAGTCTTACCGAAAGAAGCATTATTGCACAAAGATGCTACTTCCCTGAAAAACATCTTACCCACTCTTAGTATTTCACTACTTGACAACAAACAAGCGTCCATATTTTTAAAAAACTCTTCCAAAGCAGAAAATAAAAAAGTGAAAACAGAACACAAAATATACAGAGAATGAGTGAGTTGGGGTTCGTCTTAGAACACATCAGTTACATCATGCATACGTGATCACATTATAACTTAGTGAGTGATAGAGTGAGTTTAGTTTTACGCCGCACTCAGCAATATTCCAGCCATATGGCGGCGGTCTGTAAATAATCGAGTCTGGACCAGACAATCCAGTGATCAACATCATGAGCATCGATCTGCGCAATTGGGAACCGATGACATGTGTCAACCAAGTCAGCGAGCCTGACCACCCGATCCTGTTTGTCGCCTCTTACGACAAGCATGGGTTACTGAAGATCAATATTCTAACCCGGACCTTCACAGGTATCATAATTTAATAGCTTACTAATGCCTTAGAAGTACCGAGGCAAAACCTTTCAAGATGATATAACCAGAAGAGTACAATTAACAAAACAGTCTACAAAAATGAGATCATTGACACTAAAAGTTACTCCATAAATGTAACAGTCAAAAGTATGAATGTTAGTATTTGAAGCTTTGAAGTTACAAAAACAGCAAGGTGTCAACCGGAACTGACCTCAAACACTCCGAAGCTGACTGTCTGGATGAAATCTACTTCTTGTTCAGGCCGACACTGAGCCATGTTGGCAAATGTTGTAAGCAGGTAGATGGTCTCAGACGTCTGAAGACTCAACAGATTGTCTGCCAACTGCTGTCTGCTGTCAGGATCTGAGAACAGGAATGGCTAATCCTGAATGTTCAGTTGAGATGAATCTGCATTATAGGATCACATATCTCTTCAGCAAAAGGATCGTATCATGGGCCTAGATTTTCAAAGCTCTCTTAGTGCTAAGACAGCTTCTAAAATCTAGGCCATGGTCCTTCTTCAACATGGGGTCATGTCTGCTAACATCAACTAATGGTTCATCATCATGTCAACTTCAGCATAGCTATCTTCCCGGTACTCATCATCATCATCATCATCATCATCATCATCATCATCATCAACCTTCTACACATACTTATGAGGGCTGATCTCCTGCTACCACTATTACTAACACCCACCTTTAAGATAGCCCTGGCAGTGTTCTACAGGGGTAGAGTGTCAAGGTTGAGGGTGTTGCCTTCACCCACTACCACTTACTTTTAAGATAGCCCTTACAGTGTTCTACAGGGGGTACAGTGTCAACTTACCTTTAAGATATCCCTGACAGTGTTCTACAGGGGGTAGAGTGTCAAGGTTGAGGGTGTCGCCTTCACCCACTACCACTTACCTTTAAGATAACCCTGACAGTGTTCTACAGGGGGTAGAGTGTCAACTTACCTTTAAGATAACCCTGACAGTGTTCTACAGGGGGTACAGTGTCAACTTACCTTTAAGATAACCCTGACAGTGTTCTACAGGGGGTAGGGTGTCAAGGTTGAGGGTGTGACTCTGTCCCTGGTGTAGCACCCACAACAGCTGCCACATGCTGTCACTAGACACACAGGTGTAAGGCATGTCCGCCATGAACTGCCATGACCCCAGTCTGAAACAAATATACACAAATAAGAACAGTGCACTTGAACTAAAATAATCTCTTTAAAATTGTTGTTTTCAGTACAACTCCAAAACCGAAGAGCCCTCTGCTGAAAATGTTTCCCTGTTAAGTGAAATTTTGTAGCCATGCGTCAGTGAACTATACGATGCTTTTGTTCATAATGATACCCCCCCACCAGAAATTTACAGAAATTCTAATAAATTTGGCATTTTAAAACTTATATTTCACAAATTGAATTTCAGCTAACTTTTCTAGAAACATGGAAACAAAATTTAGAACATGTATGTCATAACACTTCTCCCAAACACAACCAACTCATGATGGACCCTTCCACAAATGTGCAGCCATCTTGCCAAGGCAAGGGAGTTAACCATCCATGAAAGTCTAGTTTCACCCTTGCTGACTTGGCTACAATTTTGGAGGTGTAGTTTGCCTGGACTACTAACTTTATGCATCGTATAATCAAAATCATGTAACCATGGTGACATCCAATTCAACAACTTGGCAGCTGCCATAGATATTTTGGTTGATTGCAGCATTTCCAAAATGTGTACTGAACAACTCACAGTGTAGTGTTTCATCATGGTAAAGATTTTGATTATCAACCTGACTGTCCTCAATCATTATATTTTAATATTTAAGCAAGTGATATGAAAGGTGGAATCTGTTTGGTCAAGTTGAAGGACACAAGAAGGGACATAACTCATAATAGCAGCCGCTGGTGGATCGAGCCAAGAGATTGAAAGCTTCTTCAGTAATTGAAATTGAACTCAACTCAGTGTTGACTTACTGACTGACTGACTGACTGACTGAGTTTGGTTTTACGCCGCTTTTAGCAATATTCCAGCAACATCATGGCGGGGAACACCAGAGAATGGGCTTCACACATTGTACCCATGTGGGGATTCGAACCCGGGTCTTCAGCGTGACGAGCCAACGCTTTAACCACTAGGCTACCCCACCGCCCCTGAGGGAGCTTGAAAATAGCTTTGGTATAATGTGTTTTTCACTTGAGATTCAACATTTTCAAATACCGGTAAATAAATATTTCATTGCAAACTACATAATAAAACACAACACATCTAATAAGATAACCAACAGATCAAACTTCCAACCAAAGTTCCACTGCTGCAAATCAAACCATGAGATAACTACACAGCATACAACCATAAACCCAAGAGAGAAAAGCACACAAAACTTGAAAAGGAAATTTCATCACAAAAATTTGAAATTTAACAAAATGTGCAGCAATTATTATCACAGTAATGACATGGTTTACTCACAAGTCTGACTCATGATAGCTGAAAGTTTAGGAAAAGTCTTGTCATAACACTGTCTGAAAACTTTCAAAAAATCTCAAATTCATCAGGCAGTCTGGATTTATATTCCAAAGTAAGTGGGGCCAATTGTAAATAAAAATAATGCATTTGGGATATTTTCCAACAGTACATTTATTTGTCTTTTAATAATCTTAAAATATTAAACTTAAATATAAGTTAAAAAGATATAAAAACAACAACTACCATAGTTTTTTATATGAAATGAATACATTTTCAACTGTTTGAGAAGAAATCTCCCTTTTCCAGTAACCATGATTACCGATCCGAATCTGAGAGAAGAGAACCTATAACCTACTTAAAAGTCCAAAGCTTGAGTCTTTCTTATGTCTTATATAACTTTGTTTACATTTAAAACCATGTTCAAAAGTCTTGAAAAAAACATAAAAATTACCCAAACAAGACCTAAAACTACACCACATGAACTTGTCTGGGAGCATTGTATGAAGTTATTCTGCATTAGCACTGCAACGATTCGGTTCGATTCATCGAAAATTGAATCTGACACCTTGGTTTCGATATTTGATAATGATTATCACTATTTCGATTCGATATCTGAGTGCTGTTCTGTGTTTAAACATCATATTTTATTTGTTTGAAAACGGTTCCATCATTTACATTCCTGACTTCCTAGTCAAATCTCGGAAAAAGTTTTCAGTGTGATATGTTTGTTTAATAAACTCTGAGTTAAACGAAATCTGATGTTTTGCTTGTATGAAGAGTCAAATCGATAATGATCAAATCGAGGGTTCAATATTGAAAATCGAATCGAATCGGGGTCTGGGTGAATTGTTGCAGCCCTATTCTGCATTGTAGACATTGATAAAACACTGTCATAATAAGAATATAGTCTGAGATGACTGGCCGTCAAAAGGTATTTAGAGGGCCAGGGCCAGGCTCAGATAAACTGGTGGCCCTGGCAAGTTTGATTCGAGTAACTCTGACTCTTTATACGCTAAGCCAAATCATATACCATACTTTGCAGTGTAACATGCTCACTTTTATGAAGTGTTTGTTTTGAATTTTTCCAAATGCTGGAAAACATGTGAAAAAGCATGTCAACAAATCTATACTGCATGAAATATGCCAGATAATCCGATTTCAAAACAAGTGTTTGCCACTAACATGGCAATGTCCCCTGCCGCTAGAAGAATGAAACATACCATATTTACTAGGGTTTTTTTGTGTGGAAGATTACCTTTTGTGTGATAAAGTTTTGAGTCATGGTCACTTCTCAGAATCTTCTCCTAACCCTGAAGATATTTCAGGAATGTAGTTGATTTGAATGTATTCACGTAGATCCACTGTCAGTATCAGTGTGTATAAGGGCTGGGGTGGGTCCTAATTTTCTACCCAAGTACCCCACCCCCCATTACCCTAGCCTACCCTGATACCCACTATGTAAACAACCAATGTAGGTTGTCGACTTAATTGAAGACATTGGGTGCATCTTTTCACGAGATATCGCGATTACATAAGTTTGAAAAGTGGTATGGTGACCTTGAAAATAAGGTCAAGGTCACCCAAATCGACTCGTATCTGTGTAATCCCAAAATGTAGGCTGTCACCAAATATTTGAAGACGTTGGGTACAACAGTGCATGAGATATCGTGTTAACAAGAGTTTGAAAAGTGGTCAAAATGTCGTGGTGATGTTGAAAATAAGGTCAAGGTCACCCAAATTGACTGATGGCTGGTAATCCTCCAGTGTAAGCTTTCACCAAATTTGAAGACATTGGGTACAACAGTTTATGAGATACCGCGTTAACAAGAATGTTATACGTATGTACGTACAGACGCTGCTGAATACAGAGTTCCCCATTCCGCGTTGCGGCTGGGGACAACAAAGAAGTGCTCTCTGTATTACGGGACATGTGTCTGTGTCCTGGTTTATTATTTTTCATTCAATATTTTTTGCATTAATTTTCACAAAATTGTGTGAACTGTAAATCAACCTAAACACGCAACAGATTCATGCAAGACTGGTGATCAGCACCGTGATTCTGTGCAATTCGTTTTGCAATAAACAGGATTCTTCTTTCCTGATTCCCTGATAACAGAATGGGTGCTGCATTACTGCAAAGAACGATGCCACAAATTTCCTGTGGTCTGCAGTTAATTTTGCATTGATCATTTGAAGAAACACTTTCAGTGAATGAATGAGTTAAGTTCTATGCCGTTTTAGCAATATTCAAGCAACATCAAGGCTGGGGACACCAGGATTGGGCATCACACTTTGTGCCCATTTGGGAATCGAACTTGAGCAAAATGTCAGCAAGATGGGTGGATGCTTTAACCACTTGTCTACCCGACCGCTCCCCAAAACAGTTAGAAGAATGGAATTTCATCAGGGGTGGAAATAACCCATTACCCGACATCCCAGTCCAGTGTTTTTTCTGTCAGGCAAGCAAATTTGAACATCATGCTGTACCGGTGTCCAGTTTACTTTCCAATGTTAATTATGTTGCTTATTTAAAAAATCAACAAGAAAATCGGCCAGTATAGTGGAAAAATTATCAGGGCAAGTGATTTTACATGTGCCAATGTACCGGAGTACACTAGCAATGTTAAAGTTACTTCCATCCCTGATTCATGTTTTTGTCTTGTTTGGAGATATTAAAGTTAACACTAATGATTTACATAGTATGCACACTGACTTTTACTGTTACATCTCCATAAACACAACAGTCAATCGTTAAATGTTTAGCACAAATATTTCCTAATAAAATGGAGAACGTACTTCTGTGCGGTGAGGATGCAGTAGGTGGACCTCATGAAGAACTGGTCAAACTCCATCTGGAGTCTCTTCAGTGTGCCTGGGGTCAGCCGGTCAGAGTTGTGGGCCTTGAAGGTCAGCCAGTGGTCGGACACGAAGGACACAGTTTGTCTGGAAGAAGGAGGTCAGACATTGTAAGTCGTTTCATTTGCAAAACATACAGCAGACAGAAATGGACAGACAGAAACATTACATTAATACATTCAATCACAGAAGTCTGGGTATTTCAGAAGACACAGAAAAATGTGAACTGATACTCTCATGAGCGCATTGACCTGATCTTTGGTGAGTCGTCTGTGATTCGAACACACATTCTCAAGTCAATCACCTAACTGCCAGAACAAAAGGTAAACAATCCAACCCACTCAGCTCCACAAAAATGGTAGTCTAGATCACATGTTTTGAGTACCCCTCAGCCAAGTGTAAATTGGCATGTCTCCAATGAAAGTGGTCAAACGTAACACATGTTATATTAGATTACATTTTATCAGTAAAGTACAGATTCTAATGTGTTTTTGAGGCTGAATCCCATCCTGAATTTGAAGCTAAGAGTTAGGCATCTAATCGCCAGTGCACAAAGTCAGCAATCTAAGCTACTGAGCCACCATGGCTTCCACATGGAAGTCACAGGAGTTATTCTCTTGTTCAGCTGTCCGTACCTTACTCCACACATACCTGATCATCTTGCCCAGTCTCTTGTTCAGCTGTCTGTACCGGGCCATGCAGTATGTCTGTAATCCAGACCCCAAGAGGTTCACCCAGCAGGTACAGAAGGCAAACGCCCTCATTATGTCCACCTCGAGAGAGTGATCAATGTTATAGTGAGATGTGCCTGAAATAAAAACGTAATCAAATTTAACTGATTTTCTGGCAATGCAATACATGGCCCATTTCAATGTTATAATGGCAAGATAGATATACAGTTGATCCCTTTAACAACTACTTGTCACAGCATGCATTACTCTCAAATTTTAGCATATGAATACAGCTTTCACAAAGGTGATTTGATCTTGCAAGTTTGTATTTTAGTACACGACAAGACTCAGGTGCCTCTGAAAAGAAAACTTGATTTTCTTCTTTAAATTGTTCACTGACATAAACAAATGTCAATGTCAATATCTTGCTACAACTCATATTAACGTTTCTGATTTCCTGACCATGTTATTAATCTTAACAAGATGATTGTTACTAATTTATAACAATTTGATTTTGGTAGTCACTGAAACAACAACTATAGCAATGCTTCACAAGTCTCAAGCTCATCAACTTGGCCTTTTCAGTGAAGAAGTTAACATACGTTACTCTTTGATTCTGGTAAGTTAATAATATTGGATCAAAATAAAACAAGAGCTGTAATGCAATGTCACTATGTCAGTCCTGTCTGGAAGGTAGTACATCCCACATACCTGACTGGGGAAGTCGGGTAGCCTAGTGGTTAAAGCATTTGCTTGTCACGCTGAAGGCCTTGGTTCAATTCCCCACATGGGTACAATGTGTGAAGCCCATTTCTGGTGATATTGCTGAAATATTGCTAAAAGTGGCATAAAACCCAACTCACTCACTCACTCACATACCTGACTCGTCTATGGTTGCCTTCAGCACATGGGCAAACACTGCAGTGATGGGGAACTGCATCAGTATGGCCACAATGTCGTTCTCATGGAGATACAGCCAGGCATGTGTTGGGTCCTCATCCTAGGGGAAACACAAGATATACACAACATAAATACAAGATATACACAGGATATACACAGGATATACACAAGATATATACAAGATATACACAAGATAAACATAGACAGTGAACATGATAATCCAACATAGATTGGTCACTTGCATTGTGTGAATATTTGGTTTGCTGGTTTGTTTCTAAACGAAGCACTCACCAATATTCCAGCTATACCAGATAAATCTTGACCACACCATCCAGTGATTGCTCTAGTGAACAACAACCCATGTAGTCACAGTATGATGACACACATGCCACCAAGTCTGACCACTTGACCCATTCGCTTGCTGGGGACCACTCTGACCCAGAATCTCTATTGGATTTCCTGCCTTACTGAGTGAATATGGTTTTACTCAACTTTTAGCAATATTCCAGCAATATCACATTGCGTGACACCAGAAATGGGCTTCACCCATTGTACCCATGTGGGGAATCAAACTCGGGCATTCAGTGTGATGAGCAAATGCTTTAACCACTCAGCTACCCCACTGCCCTTCTTGCTCAGTGGGGCGGTGGGGTAGCCTAATGGTTAAAGCGTTGGCTCGTCACGCCGAAGACCCGGTTCGAATCCCCACATGGGTACATTGTGTGAAGCCCATTTCTGGTGTCCCCCGCCGTGATGTTGCTGGAATATTGTTAAAAGCAGCGTAAAACCAAACTCAGTCAGTCAGTCAGTCTTGCTCAGTGACTGGGTGTTCAGGAAACACCATGTTGCGAGAAGAACATACCTCTTCTCCATCTGAGTCGACCAGGATCCAGGTGTTCTCCATCTGCATGCTCTCCTTGGTCAGGGAGGTCCGCATCTGACTCATAAACTCCTCGCGGGATCTGAACAACAAACACGTGACCTGTTTCAGACCAACATGTGCTATATATCAGACTATTTTCCATGTCATAGTGACTGGATGTATCCTAACTACAGTAAACCATGTTTATGAACACGCTCATAATTAACTGACAGATATTACAAACTGAGTTTTCTTTGTCCCAATCACATGCTGTCTATTTCAGTTGAAAAGTATAAAACAAACTATGGATATAAGAAACCAAAATTAGTGGTCCTTTGAGTTTGTTAAGTCCTGGTTGATTGTGTCTCAGTTAGAGTTTGTTTCATAGCTTCAAAGTGACTAGAAGTGCTGTTACCATGGTTACTATGGAAACAAAAGCAGAGATCTTCCTCACTGACTCTTCATATTATGAGTTACATAATGAGTCAACAGTAGATAGGTGATTTTACATGTTGAATGGTCTTGTCTATTTCATGGGCAGCACAGATCATGCAACTGACATCGGAGGCTAAATATGGAAGCACAAGGGCGAATAGTGTCTTCTGTCCTCCACACCAGATAGTTTGATAACAGACCTTATACATTCTGCTGAAACAATTTTAGGGAAGTGTGTAAGCTTTGCCTAATTCTGCTCACTGTGTAGGGAAGAGTACAGTTGCCAGTGCAGTAACGAGATGATCCAGCACCGGGCTCCCAAAGGCTCCCTGCATGGAGTTGGATCCAGGCTCGGGAACCTGTATCAGCTTGGTGGCCCACTTCCCCACCCCAGCCGGACATCGCAAGGATGTGGTTCAGGGTGAACAGGTGGTCGTCAAATGTTGCTACTCTTAGAAGTGCCGCCACCTGTCAGTTTAAAAACAAGCATGTTACCATTTAAACTCTACTTTTTTCTGAGCCTATCCGATGGTACACCGTACAAAATTGACAAAAGGACTGACCTCAGAATCACTGGAATTAAAATTAACAAGGAAGCACCGTAACTGTTCCTTCAAGTGTGGTCAGCACTAGAATTGCAGTATCTTTTAGTACTCTAATGCAATCCTTTTTGCTAAAGTTTATATGTAGAGAGAAGGAATAGTACACATAATATGGTTCTCAGAGGTATGGCTGAAATTTAAACTAAATGGAGTCCAAGGCATAATATCACAAACACGTTTGGTGAGTGAGTGAGTGAGCATGACAAGTGAAGGCTTTAACCACTAGGCTACCCAACCGCCCCACAAACATGTTTGGTACAAAAAGTTGGTGGGTGGGTGCGTGGGTGGGTGCGGTGCGCATGCGCGTGATGCGTGCGTGAGTGAGTGAACTGCAACTCTTCAGATGACTGAGCCAAAACTGTCCCATTAGTGCAGTGAGGGAGCCGTGAACTACTCACCAGTCTGTCAGTCCACTGTCTGATGTTGGTGACAAACTCCACATCCTTGATAGGGCGCCGGTGAAACACGAACAACACAGATATACAATCACGCAACTTCTGGACCTGGTGCTGAACATCTGCTCGGTGGCTGGCCGATGCTGCAAGGAGAATTCCAGCAATGAATGTCACAGCATAACTAATAAAAAATAAGTGCGATAAAGAAAGTGAACATGATGAATAGGTCATATGTTGTATTTGGGATCAGACTTGTCAGGAAGTACTGATTCTAGTACTTTTGTTAGGTTGAGTCCCATCCGGCATTCGAACCCACACCCCCAGAGTCAGGTACCTAATCACCAGCACACAAAGTCAGCCATCTAGCCAGGCCAGGCTAACTTCTTTCTACACAGAGTGAAGATGTATAGTTTTGAGAGAGGATTAATCAATTCTTCAGATGTATTCTTTATGTTGAAATTACAACCTTATTTAACAAAATGTACACCTGAATGTTGTTACATCTAAAAGTAATGAGTGACGTTTTCTATCACATTGACAACAGCCTTTTCCCAAGCACTATAACCTTCTTTATATGTTTTATGTCAGTAAAATATGCAAGAATCTATGCATCCTTTAATTTTGCTTATGCAGGTCTTGCCTGATTTGAACTACTCCCTATGGTTTGTCAGATTCAGAAAGAAATCATATCAGAACAAAACATCCGATCTTAATACAACTGGGGAAAATCTGTACATTTGGCATTACTGATCAATAAACAAAATTTGGTGTTAATGAGCTGGAACATTCTGTGCCTGCTTATTTTGTCAATGAACAGATTTGGAGAAATAAACTCACCATGAACTGGAGTATTTTTTGGGATGTCTCTCAGCCCAGGGGAGTTCATGAACAAGTTGTGAAGGTAGGATTCAACTTGCAGCCTGAAATACGACACAAGCACTTTTCAAGGAAAGATAATACCTGTAAAATTTACCACATGCTGAATAGTGTTGTAAGAATAAACCAGGGGTAGGTAACTCTTAGAACACTTGCAAGGCATAGATAGCGAACTTGTCACCAGAGTTAGTTAGCTTTTACACCATGTTTAGCAACATTCCACCAATATCACAATGAGGAAAGGAAGAAATGGGCTTCACACATGTACCCATGTGGGGATTCAAATCCAGATCTTCGTTCGTGATGAGTGAACGCTTTGACCACTAGGCTACCCTACTAACCCTTTCCTAAGGGACAGAGGAGTGTGTGGGTGAGGTTCTATGCCGCTTGTAGCAATATTAAAGCAATATTACGGCGGGGACACCAGAAATGGGCTTCACACATTCTACCCATGTGGGGAATCAAATCGATGTCTCCATTGTGATGAGCAAAAGCTTTGACCTGTAGGCTACCCCTCTAGCCCTCTCCTAAGAGATGGCCGCCTCCTTGGTGTAGTGGTTTGAGCGTCCGCCCGGAGAGCGGAAGGTCGCGGGTTCGATCCCCGACCACGTCATACTAAAAGACGTTAAAATATGGTACTTGTTCGTCCCTGTCTGACGCTCGGCATTAATGGGTACAACAAGGACTGGTCGGCTCGGAGTCAGTATAATATGTTTGAGTGGGGTATTCATGCTTCACTGCGGAATGGTATCTCAGTGGGTTAGCACTATAAAACCAGCTTAAGTCTGGGCTAGTACAAGCAGCCGCACATACACATACACACGCATGCACGTCGTCATATGAGCGAAATATTCTCAAGCACGATGTTACACCCAATTTCACCTCACCTCCTAAGAGATAACCAACAATCCACAGTACTTTACTGGGATATACAAGAACAGCTACAAGAAACAAGGATGTGGCAAGGCCTGGCCAAACTGTCAGGGTTTTAACGGCTACAAACTACCTGAGACTCTACCTGACATGTCATACATATGCTTTGAGTGACTGTCATGTACATAGTTGTGCTCATGCTGTTGATCACTGGACTGTCTTGCTTAGACTCAAATATTTACCGACTGGAATATTAAACATTGAACAAACTATACATAGTTGTGATACTGTAAGCCTGAGGTATACTGACTTGGAGAGCTGCGAGGAGTATGCGTGTAGGGTAAGCTCCTCCTGTATTTGGTCCCTGATGGTCTGTAGAGTCACCTGCATGCTGTGTAAGGAGTCTTCGTTCAGTTTGCAGGTCTCGTACAGATGTGTGGTGGACACCTTGGACCCATCCCCACACATGGACTACAAGGAAAGTGTCAGGTTAGTAGAATACTTCACTGGAATGTAGGAACAGATGGTTCAGTATATTTAGCAGTGTCCCGTACAGACACTACAGCTTATTTCTTAATACAACTCAAATATCTTTTAAACAGCTTTTAAATTCTAGCAGCCTTTTCTCAACTCCTTATATCTCTAGTAGTAGTAGCCATTGTCATCCCTTTCTCCAACCAAGTGAATAAAGCACTGAATTATCAATACCCTATCCCATGCACATTGAAATTTCATTCTCAACACCTTAGTGGGTATACAAACCATACTGCCTAAGAGCAACAGTCACATTATCAGATAAACACCTATGACCTTGATGCTCCTTGGAGTCACGTTTGACAAACACAGTTGAGGATACACCCACTGTCCGCGACCATCGCTGCATAACCTTGGGACAGTAAACAGGACCACATTTCCCCATCCACCTAATAGTTCACCAAATCTGTGGCCAGTATGTGGTACACTGGACATTTAACCAAACTGGTCACTCATGTATATCAACCAAACTCCTCCTGATTTGTGGCAGTATGCCCCAAAACGGCCACCCACATAACAACTCTCTCATAGTGATCTGTGACAGCACACCAAAGTGATTCGGTCAAACATATAACATCTCTCTCATAGTGATCTGTGACAGCACACCCAAAAGGGTCACCCATGTAACAACTCTCTTCAACCAATTTTTCTAAACTTCACTGGTCTTCAGACGGTCCATGGGACCACAGTCCCCAAAAGGGTTACCCATTCAAAAGGGTTACCCTTTCTTTCATCCACATCCTCAGCCTCGCCACAACTACTGGTGTTTGACTGGTTTGTCAATGTGAGATACACTCAGGACCACATTTCTCCATGTGTTTACCTGTGCACTGATGGACTTGGTGGTGGTGATCCACATCTCCTCCTGCAGCTTCACGTAGTTCGACTGCAGCCCCTTCACATCCTCCTCTGCACTGATCAGATTCTTCCGCGACCGGAAGTAGCTCAGCAGAATCTCGTAAAATTCATGGCTGTCTTTCTTCGCTTCTTTCTATACATAGACATTACACCACATGACATCGGACACATTCAGTTCTGTGCACAACGGAAACAATACAACTCTGGTATGTGATAACAACTATAGAAGTCAGTATAATCAATAACATGTCTGAATTTGATATCCAGACTAAAACTGTGGCATGGTATTTCAGTAAGCTTGCACTCTAAAACCAGTCCCGACTGGTAGAGTGAGTGAGTGAGTGATTGGGTTTAGTTACGCCGCTTTTAGCAATATTCCAGCAATATCACGGCTGGGGACACCAGAAATGGGCTTCACACATTGTACCCATGTGAGGAATCGAACCTGGGTCTTCGGCGTGATGAGCAGATGCTTTAACCACTAGGCTACTCCACTCCCCTGCCCTTTCCCAGGCAGCCATACTTTTAACTGAATGTACAGTACAACATGAGGGCAATAATCTTGTGAATCTTAATAATCTTAAGTGAAAGTCAAATTGACATAACTTCTCTGTTGAACATGATGAATTGTTTTAGAACACATGAGATATAGATCTGACATGAAACATTGCATATCAATCTCAAGACATCTTATTAATCTGAGCCTTGTACCACTGTGATCTAAATGTTAAGAACTATAAATCTCATACTATAACACAGACCTATATCAGGACACCAGTAGTACTACATGCTCTTCCTGGAATAGAGCCCTGAACTCCAGGACATATCATTACAATAAAAAAAATAAATTATATTACCACCATCCTACAGTTTCGAAAGTCAATCATTGGAAAATATATTTTTCAAAATTTTAAACCTCCTCTTTCCTATTTACTCACCAACACAAAACTTTCAATAAACTGTGGGTTTTTGGCAAGTTGGGGGTTATAGTACAATGCCTGGATCTGCTCGATGGTCATGGGCTTGAACACCTGGGTTGTTGTCTCGCTGTACACCTTCCTGTGAGCCACCCTCTCTCTTGCTGCAGACTTCGGCTGTGGAGCTGCAGCAGTAGCAACAGTTCTCCCAGCTACCTCATTCCCTGCCTCTGCAGATTCTTTCTCACCCTCTGGTACAGGGAAGGATTCAATGGTTTCTAACACATCTACCAAATTGCTTTTGGGTTGGTGCTCAGTTAATTTCACAGAAACTGACTCTGGTTTCTTTGGTTTGGTAATAAATTCGTACGAGTCATCAGCACTATATTCTGACTGAGATTCTTGACGAGACAACCCTGTGGCACCTTGTGCCCCCTCATCTGTCGAAATGTCACCTGCAACACCATGAGGTTTGTGAACTTCATCGGTGAATGTAGACGAAGGCACTGCCAGAGGATGCTCTTCTTGTTGCATATCTTTTGGTGTTATTCTGTCTGCAGTATGGTCTTTACCTTCTGAGGTTAGTTCATTACTTTGGTCAATAGGATCAGCATTTTCAGCTGCAGCAGTGTCTTGTTGGACATCAACAACACCAGGGGTTACTTCCTGTTTGGGAACTTCATTGGAAGATGCTATAGTGTCGGCCAAGACAGAATTTACTTCCTGTTGGGGAATATCATTGGAAGATGCTATAGTGTCGGCCAAGACAGAGTTTACTTCCTGTTGGGGAATATCATCATCTTCATTTGACCATGCTACAGTTTCAGCTGAGACAGGGTTTTCATCCAGTTTAGGAACATCGCCACCTTCATTTGACAATGGTTCAGCTGAGACAGGCGTTTTCATCCTGTTTAGGAACATCGCCACCTTCATTTGACAATGGTTCAGTTGAGACAGGGTTTTCATCCAGTTTAGGAACATCACCACCTTCATTTGACAATGGTTCAGTTGAGACAGGGGTTAAATCCTGTTTAGGAAGAGAATAGAATGTGTCGGTATCTTCCTCCACACTTTCCTGTGCATCAACAGTGACAGCAGCACTTGCACTGTTTAGAACTGGAACAGGCACAACAACATCAGAAGGCAAAGATGGATACATGTGCGTAGCTTCTGGTTGTTGTTTAGAATCACTTTCTTCACCTTCATTAGAATCCAGTAAGCTTGAGGCAGCATCTAACTCTTTCACAGGTTGTGTGCTGGACACTAATTCTGTCTGTGAATCAACAAGAATGTCAATAGTTGGTTCTGAAACACCTTGAACTTCACCCGAACCTGCAGCAGGTTCTTCAGGCACAGCTTCTGATCCAGTGGATATGTGTTGTCCAGTATCAATGACAACTGAACCAACTCTATCAGTAATCCCAGAGACCTGCACATCCTCATCCTTCTCTACATCCCTACACACATCTGACTCTGTTCCTACTGTCTCTAATCCAGGATCAACAGGTATATCTGATGGCCGTGCATCTGGAGGGTCCTTAACATCTGTAGCTAGGTCTGCTTCTGGAGCTGAATGTTCTGTTTCAGATGGAGCTGTTTCCCAGTGTCTGCTCTGGAGAGCACAGACTCAACCGTATCTAAAGTTTCCTTTTCACTCTCCTCTAGCCCTTTGGAAAGAAGAGAATCAAATCTTTCTTCTTTCTTTTTGGCTCTTTTGTCTTTTCCATCTTTCTTATTCTGTAGACAGAATCAATTACAATTAGAAATTCAGAAATAGATACAGCACTTACAAACAATACACAAGTCTGAATGTATCACAGCATTCCTAACTATGTTATTGCTATTGTAATATTACAAAGGCTGATGAGGTGGGAATATTCTCATTATCTGTGTTATCTGACGAGCTTCTCCTAATTATCTGTTAGTCACCTGATAAGTATGATTAGCGCTAGTGGTGGTCCGATTAATTGAAATAATCGAAGATTGGTCACAGTGGCCAAATGACCAAGCAATCGATCACATTTTCTCACAATCGAACACAAACGATTTTGGAACCGCTGTAATAGAGTTTGAAATACTTGATGATGGAACATATCTAGGACGTTGTCAGGGCCTGAAACGTGTTTATTTCTAAGAAAACTCACTTCACTTTCTGAAAAGTCATGACTGAATATTTCTTGAAGAATCTGGGAAGTTAATGTTACCCTGGAACTGAATAATTTTACACTGGATGTGAAATCTGCAAATGTAATTTGTGCAGTTTCTTAAAACAACAGAGAACCAAATGTTTTTTTCTTAATACTTATCTGCAACTACAACCTGAATAGGAAAATCTAAAAATTGACACTAACCAATTTTTTTTTTTGATGATTGGTCGTTGGTATTGAACCAATCATCAATTGTGAGATTTCAACCAATTCCCAACACTAATTGGCGTTAATTGGATCATTTATCCACTCTGTGCACCACATACTGAAACCACACAGAAAACATGAGCTAAGTGAGTGAGTGAGTTTAGGTATACACCACTTTTAGCCAAATTCTAGCAATATCTGGGGAACACCAGCAATGGACTTCACATACTGTACCAATGTGGAGAATCGAACCCAGGTCTTTGGAGTGACGAGCGAATGCTTTAACCATTAGGCTACCCCAAGACCACTCTCAGGCTGGGATTCTAACAAGGTGTTCATGCATTACAGCACAGGACAAATATGTGAAAAAGTGTATCCTTGATTTAATTATCTCTCCTGTCAGCAGTGAGTAAGTGAGATTACTTTTACGCCGCTTATAGCAATATTCCAGCAATATCACGTGGAGGGACACCAGAAATGGGCTTCATACATTGTACCCATGTGGGGAATCGAACCCGTGTCTTTGGCATGACAAGCCAACCACTAGGCTGCCCCACTGCCCCTCATGTCAGTAAACATGGTAAAGGTAAGTGAGGTCAAATAAGGATAAAAGAAAAAGTTACAATGTAAATGGACTTTACTTTCTGACAATTTTCCCCTCTTTGTGAAACCTCAAAATATCAGCATATAGGCTCTATTAGAAACATGGTTCAATCAATCAATCAGTTTATTGCATGAAGGCCAGAGGCCCATATACAAAATAAATATGTATGATATGTACAAGATATACAACATTCGACACAAACGTTACATTGAATCTCTTCTCAATATAAGCGTGTGATAAATAAATAGAGCTACCTTATATTGTATTTGTAATAGGGATGCTTTACATGAAAGTATTGAATACAGTTTCGTAGCATTAATATTTGATTGTAGCCATTGTGGAAAATACAGTTGCCTTAAATCATTATATGCAGGACAAAGAAATAGAAAGTGTAATTCATTCTCTACAGTATTACAAAATGGACAGAACCTTTGTGATTTTACAATAGATGAATATCTTCCTTGATTGATATATAAATCATTTAGGCCAAGTCTCAGGCGTATGAAAACATTACGAAACTTTTTACTACGAAGTTGTATATAATCTGTGCTCCCTTAGCTAAATGTTATGTTTTTAGGGAAATACAACTCCTGGAACATTCATGCTCCCTACTTGTCAGACACCACCACTTTTGCCCTAGGCATAAAAATTAGGAGTCATCATAACTCCCTGGTGTATGAGAGGGAGTCATGGAGATATTTTTGGGAGTCAACTTCAGTTTGGAACTTTCAGCAAGACATCAACTGTGATTGTTTAATAACGACAAAAAAAAGGAAACGCAGGTCAGGTATTTCATTAGCACTGAGCAGCTAACTGGGAAACATTTCGTTTTAGAAGTTTAGATTATCTGAACTAAAGGCCCAGTAGCATTGCATCAACAATGATCCAAGCTTCTAAATTCACTGCGTATTTGAGATAATTTGTGCATCAAATACGCAAGTTTTCTGCGTCATGGCAAACACTGACCACTTATGAGACATTCACACAAGTCATGCTTGATTGGGTCAGTAATCAATCTGTTGGCAAGTTTCCATGGCAACAGGACTACATGGTATTACTGGTATTACTAGTATGCAGCAATATACTTTTCAAACGATACATATTGCTATATTTCCAAAATTGAACTGCATTCATGTTAACATAAACAATTGCTACTGGCAACTCCCAAATGCTATCTAACGTTTCAGTGACAGGTGGCCAAGTTTTTATGCAATTCGGTGGTGATCTGATGACATCAGAGCTCATTTGAAGAGCATTCGGGACGTTCTGAATGCATTCCAGGTGTAATCGAGGTACATTCCAGCTGTATTCCAACTTCAATCGAAATATTCCGATACATTTGAAGAATATGCCACCTGAAGTCCAGCAGCAATCGAGATACATTCCGACTCATTTGAGGCGCATTCGACATATTCTGACAGGATTTGAAGTGGCATGTCTTTTATATTCTCCCTTGAATATTCCCTTCAGAATACTTAGAATGCAGTAAGAATACTTAGAATGCACCTCAAATGCCGTTCGATATTTTTCCAATTTCGAATGTACCTCGAAAGTTTTGAACATGTTCAAAACATTCGGGTATTTTACAAGAATTCATCTGAACAGTTGGAATGCATTCGGAATGCAGTAAGAAGTTTTAGAATTCAGCTCGAATTTCCAGGAATCTCCAGAAATTTACATTCCGACAGCATTGCGCCTCAAGTGTGACGGGGGTATTATCAAATAACCTTCATGACTTCACCTAAAGAAAACTGACAGAATCCAGAATCTGCCGACACAAGCCCTCAGTCGACAGAGAACAAGAACAAATGATCCAATCTGCCTACAATAAATTGAAAGACAACAACACAGCACTCCAGCACATCTCTAATTAAGCTTATCACTCATATCACCTTTGTTAATGTTGTATATTTTGTATCACTTTCAGGTACAGTTGGCTTAAGCCAGTTATTACTGCATAAATTATCAATATCCATTGTTGTTTTAATCCATTTCATGCATACCATCATGCTGTTTTTGTTGATCCCTATCAGATGTATTAAGTCTGCTCTATGCTTTAGTACTTTACTCTTAATGGAGAGAATTTATGGACGTCAGCTTCTCCTGAATGAAGTTCAATGATTCTACTTTACTCTAGCTTGACAATTATATAAGAATCTATACCAAAATACCATAATATAATGAAGAAGTTGTCATCTTGGAAGCATCTTTCCTTCATTGTTACTCATCAATTTCTGAAAGTGCCAATCAAACAGATCACAGGGAGAGAAATGCATTGTTTTTGAAGGGTGACCATGGGCGCCAGTTAGATAACTTAGGTGTGCCTTTGTCAAAATAAATGTGCCCATCCTATCCACCTTAAAAAATCACAACAATTATGCCATTTTTATAATTTGTTTAATAAATCAGTAAACATCATGTAAACCTGGAAACGTGAGAGCTGGATTTCCTGAACACTTTCCTGACTGCAAGAATAGTTATGCTTCATACCGTCCTTGACCCATAACCTAACCGGTAAACAATGTTATCATCCAAAACCAGATATCCTGTTATGTGCACTGATAAACAGTTTGATGGGGTGCAAAAAAAGGTTTTGAATCACTTATCGCATTTGCACTAAATAATGATGGTGAGTATGGTCTGCCACAGTGAAAGCATTTCATCCATGCCATTTCAATATTTTCCGTGCCATGGCACGAAACTTAAGCACTATTTCGATCTCTGTGATAATAACAATCTTAATTTCCAAAGTCTTTGAACAATGACATAATTTGTCCTCAATAATTGTTATTGTCATCCAAGTATTTTAGGGAGGGGCAAGACTACCGAAGCTGAGCTTGAACTATCCTTGCCATATCTTCCCAAAACAAGGGAGTTAGCTGAATATAAGTTCAATTTCAACCCTTGCCAAATTAAACTATAATTACTGAGCTATATTTAGGCTGGACTAACGAGTCTCTACACTGTGTAACAAAACTGACATTTACTTCATAAATAACTTGACAGATTTCAGCTGACTGGAGATTTGCAAAACATGTATAGAGTCAACTGGAAAGTCCAAAAATATTTTCCAAATCTTTTCATGACTTTAATCATAGTGCATAGATGACATGTTTTGTTGTGATAAATACCTTGATTATACATCAGATAGTCTTAAATGAACCCTGCCATTTTGTCTAAGTGGTCGAATGTGATTGGTCAGTAGGTGGGACCGAAAAAGGATCAAACTCTAATAGGTTGGTTGGTTGGTGCTTGTTGGCTATATGGAGACAGTCTGTAAATAATCGAGTCTGGACCAGACAATCCAGTGATCAAGAACAAGAGCATCGATCTACGCAGTTGGGATTTGATGACATGTGTCAACCAAGTTGGCGACCCTGACCACTGGATGCCATCAGTCGCCTCTTACAACAAGCATGGGTTTCTGAAGACCAATTCTAACCCAGATCTACACAGGTTTTAATGGTCCCTTGTGGTGCTGTGATTGAAGAATACAAACGTCAGCCGAGTTAATAAAGGGTGGAAACTTGGACTTTTACAGAAAGAAAATAGCGCCCTGGCCTTGCAATAGTTGCATAGATGCCCCTTTTAGCTCAGCCTTCTCCTTCTTAATTCTCTCCATTAATCTGAAAACAAACTGAAATTGAAGTAGGGCAGGCAATCATTATCAAAATATCAATTGATTATCTAGAAATATCAGAGTGAGTGAGTGAGTGAGTGAGTTCATATTTAACGTCACATTAGCAATATTTCAGCCATATAGTGACGACAAAAGTTAT